CATCTGAATCATTTTGTGCCACGTGCTTCAAAAGGCACGATTGTACGTGACAAGGAGTAGGGTCGCCTGTCCAACCTCGTGGGTTTTCTCCGGGTCCTCCGGTTTCCTCCCACTGCTAAAGACCTCTACTCGCAAGCGAATTATTGAAATAAAATTAAAACCATATGTTAGTCCCGAAATGATCTAGTTTGTGTCGAGTGGACGTTAAACCCCATTTCTATCTCTCTCTCAAAAGGCACGACCAGCTTCCGCAGTGACCCCAGTAGACATACCCCTATGCCGCTACCGCAGTGAATTGGGAGACACTCCAAATGAAATTTAGTTGATACTGGATGAAAGTCATTGTATTAGGTCTAAGGTAGGAGTATCATTAATCTCCAATCCCTAATCGGAAATCTAAATCCCAAATTGAAATTTCTCCTATATTGACACATGCAATCACTTAATCACTAAAATATGTACAAAAATAGATTCAGCTACCTCGAAAACATATATTTTGACACCAAACTTGATCCTTATGTAAAATTCGAATTTTCCCGCCAAAACTGACCACTATCTTGAATAACCCCTAATATTGACTCAGTGGTAACACTTATCACAAACATGTGTATGGAAATTGATTCAGTTACCCCGAAAACGTATATTTTGATACCAAACTCGATCATATTGTGATAATTGGGTGGAAATTGGAATTTACAAGCCAAACGCGGTGATCATTTTGGATTTTGGTCAATTTGACCCATTTGGGCACGGATTTCGGACTGGGACTTTTTTTTGGTCATAATACACGTCTAAACCGACCATAAACCGTGATCGGCATTTCTATTGCAGCAACTGCCCGCACTTTTGCTATCTTGCCTGGACTATAAGGGCAACAGTCTTGCTATGGACTATTTAATTCTAATAGTATATTACTATTCGCGGTTAACTAAGACTTTTATCCAGGTATTTCTGTGGATATTATTGTTATATGATATTCAAATAAACCTAGGACTCGTCGGCGGAAAGTGTCAACGGGGTCGGACGGGCGATCCTACTCCTTGTCACAAAACGAGTCCACTGAACTCAATGATAGAACTTATAATCTAAAGTGTACGTGTTAAACCACTTGACGACCCTATTAAACTATTTTGGCTGTTTCTGGTAAAACAACAAACACGTAACAGTGCAATTTTGTTATATTAAACCGATTTTGTGACATTTCATATCTTGCTTCGTATATTCGCTCATTTTTTTCCCACGAATGCCATCTTAGGGTCTTCGGGCTATTCGAAGTACAGTGCAGCACTGGGTAGAGAATACAGCACAGGATTCGTTGGGTATTTCTTTCGCTTAAGTGTACCGTTTGCTTAACTCTGTGGAGTAATTGGCGGTTGGCCGTCAAGTATGCTAGTTAGGTACGCCAGGATTTTCCTGTCCGTTTGTTTCCTAGGGTGATATTGATTATAATGAAGACATGGTAACTCCTCTTAGGATAGAGTAAACTCTGATAAAACTGGGTTTTTGATTTTATATATTTGATAACTTTGATTGAAACACTGGTAGAAATGAAATGAAATGAGATTTAACGTTCTACTCCGACTGGGCTAATGAGAGAGAGAGAGAAATGGGGTTTAACGTCCACTCGACACAAACTAGGTCATTTCGGGACTAACATAATATGGTTTAATTTTATTTCAATAATTCGCTTGCGCGTAGGGGTCTTTAGCAGTAGGAGGAAACCGGAGGACCCGGAGAAAACCCACGAGGTTGGACAGGCGACCCTACTCCTTGCCACGTACAACCGGGGATTCGAAACCACGCCAGTCGACTCTTTGACAGACTTTATGATACAGCGCGCGCACGCTAACCATTCAGCCATCCCCCCCGGGCTAATGAAGACGGGCATACGCCATGTGGTGTGCTATGAGATAAATTTTTCCCGGTACTATGGCCTACTCTTATATCGAATTCTAACTGCCAAGGGATCTTTTACGTACACGCCAATGTGTACACGGGGCCTCGGTTTTTCGTCACATCAGAACGACTAGACAGCTGTCCTTGTCAGGCCCTCCTTCCTGCACCACTGACAAGGGGAAACCACATCGGAAAATCCCGATGAACTTTCTCGGCCAATGCAGCGATCGAACACGCGACCTCCAGGCTAGCGATCCAGCTGTCCTTGTCAGGCCCTCCTTCCTGCACCACTGACAAGGGGAAACCACATCGGAAAATCCCGATGAACTTTCTCGGCCGTTGCAGCGATCGAACACGCGACCTCCAGGCTAGCGATCCAGCGCCTTACCCAATTAGCCACCGTGATTCCCCCGAAACACTGCCAAGGGATCTTTTACTGGAAGAAGACTGGATAACTGGGGTCCAGTAACATACAGCAATTCAGAAAGTATGAATATCTTTTGTAAACTAATCATGTAATTGGGTATTTGAGATCAAATATAACCAAGTCACATTCGAAATTTGGAAACAGTACTATTTCGGTCCAGGGAGATGACTGCCTTTGTCTGACCTGCTAAAATGTCTTTTCCGTTGATTAAATGTCAATAATAAAATGTACCAATGTAAAAAGTCCAAATACCGATCAATTCAAATTGCCTCTAATAACAAGGTCACTTGTAATGTGTCAACCGACAAATATTTTTCCAGTGCGGTTTCTCGTTGCCACCGCGATTCTTCTTTGTTCGCCAAAAGGAATCATTTCTTGCCACATCCAACACAAATTTATAATAATCCAACACTATTTTCAAGTAAAATTTAGTGATTCAAAAGCCCAAACCAGATTCGTTTGAATTGATTCACCATAATGAAACCCACGTCTGCGCAGACCGGAAGTCACGGGTTCGTTGCTGTGCTTAGCCAATATTCCAATCTTAGGAATGGAATGTTAACGTAAACGAAATTTCTAAACATCGATTAATGAACTATACTTGCAATACTGATATCACTAAACTTTTTAAATTCAACATACATGAATAATTATTACATAAAATCTTTAAAATTACAATTTCATATTTTTAAGTTATATTGTTAAAATGTATTAAAATAAAGCCCTAAAATAGGTGGTATCTATAAACAGTCCTACCTTGTTAAAGAATAATCCTATTGGTCACGTTTATGTGGGAGCATTGGCTTACGCTGATGATCTCACATTCGTGACATCCAGCAGACAAGCTCTGATTGGCCTACTTAATATTGCTAAACGATATTCAGAAGAGTATGATCTTAAGTTCAATCCTGAGAAAACTAAACTTATTTTCTTTTCACATAGCAGAACATTTATTAATCAATTTAAAGACATATGTATTGATGATAAAAAGATAGAAGTTGTCGAATCAGAGAAACATTTAGGTAACACTCTTAACTCCTCCTCACAAAGACAAAACATATTTCATGGTATTAATAGTTTTCTCGTGAAGGTTAATGTCACTATTAAAAATTTTGTATATGCATCATCTAACACAAAATATAAATTATTTAAGACTTATTGTATGCCTCTGTATGGCTGCCAATTATGGGATTTGAACCATAAAAATATTGATAGATTTTATTGTGTCTGGCGAAAAAGTGTTAGGAGGCTTCTTGGTATATCACCACGCGCACATAGCAACTTATTAAGCATAATTTGTGACGATTTGAACATAAAAACCCAATTGTATAAAAGATTTACTAAGTTTTATTTTAGTACAATGTCAAGCAACAATGAATGTTTAAGTATGTGCAGCAAGATCGCTTTAAATGGAAGCCAGTCTTCTATGTGCAATAATATTAATTTTATTTGTAAAAAGTATAACTTTAATAAACATGATGTCCTAAATGTAGGAATTTCTTCTGTTTTAAATAGAATAAATGACCTAGATCGTAATTATTATAGTGATGATGATGTAAGAACAGGGCTTACAATTAGAGAATATATCTCTTTCAGGGACTCTAATCCAAATGAAGCACTAAACCTGAATCAAATTATCAACTTTCTGTGTACTTCATAATCAAAGTGATATAATTATTTGTATATTGATTAATTATTATATATGTATAACCTATGTGTACCATGAGTACGAATAAACTATTATTATTATTATTATTATAAATCCTATAATTCACTATTGCCAATTGAGAAATTGGCAAAAATATAATTTACTACTTAAAATTCAAACGTTTGAAGATAGCTATTCCATGGTGGGGAATAGGAAAACAAGGGAGGTAATTGGGGGTAATTGTGTTATTATTTCCGGTGTGAAGATTTTTAAGTGTGAGAAAGATAACCTATGATCGTATAATAGTGAGTTGACAACCTATTGAGCAAAAGACACATAAATAATTATGCTTTGACTTTCTTAGAAAATATGAAATTGTAACTTTAATTACATTAGACTTTGTCATTAGGGGTATTTAACTGTTTACATTTACGCATTGGGAAATAGTAAACCATTTAATATACATTTCCACAGATAGGCAATGTCAACGTTGAATGTCGACGATCACTTCGGGAGTTATGCCCCTTTATTAGGAAACCTTTATTACGACACTCCAGGACCCACAATTGACCTTTCCGTCAGAGACCTGTAGCTCCTCCCACTTTTTATAATGACGTCACCTTAGACAACATTGACTCGCCCTAGACATAAACAAGCATGGCGATGTCCGAATGGCTTTCAATCTTGTGCCAATCTTTTGGACCTTCCCGCTAATTTTTTGGAATAATTTATGAAAGAGAAGTGTATTGTTAGTTTGAAGTAAAGATAGCAGTGCCCTGGGTACTCTAATGAAGAATATTTCATGGCGTGAACATAGGCGATTGACAGACCAACCATCAATGTTTTACTGAAGTCCGAATTGGCAAGAAACAGAACAAGAAACCATATTTATTTCATTTAAATTTGACTTGAGTTCGAAGTAAAGATAGCGGAGTTCCGGGTACTATAATGAAGGATATGTTCATGACGTGAACATTGGCAAGAAACAGAACAAGAAACCATATTTATTTCATTTAATTTTGAGAGAGAGAGAGGGAGAGAGAGAGAGAAAAACGGGGTTTAACGTCCACTCGACACAGACTGACTTTAAAAGAAGTAACAGACTACCATTGTTCCGGTCAGGTTGGGTAAGGACATACTCTTTGTTTATTATCACTTATGCGGTTTTATTGTAAGCATGGTTGAGTAAGTAAAAGTTATTGAAGCGTAACCGGGTGGGGGGGCGGATACAAGTATTACGTCGTTAAATACTGATTGTTGATCGGACTGTTAACCAGTCATAATTGGGGACAGAAATTTGAGCTGGGTATGGCAGTGTTTGACTGCGATTAGGCCTTATCAAACGAAACACTGCGAGGAGTATGTACATTCTGCGGACCGGCAACGTTTAAATAAATAAGGATCATCATAGTTGTTTGGCATAGTGTGGTCTGGATTTGATATGAATTTAGAGAAAACCAAGGTTGGTTATAGGTACTTAATGCTGTAGGTTACAAGGCCTAAAAGGCCTAGCAGGCCATCCTAAACACAAAGTTGCGTTACTGTCGAGACTTGTACTACTATTAGTATATAGTGTCAGTGAGATACCAAAACTTAAGGCAGCGAATGTACAGGTATTATAACTGGTGCAGTATGTCTATAGTACCCCAGGCCACCCCATATTATGTCCCTTTCAACTAATAAAATAGAGAAAACATACCGAGATTTTCTAAAAAAAAACCAAAAAACAAAACATTTATCATGATGATTTAATTTTTTAGGATTTGCGAATACTGCTCCCTTGCTGTCGGGTTTGTGATTGCACTCCCAACACTGGCAATACACTAACACAACAATGAAGAAAAACCAAGAGGTGACGAGATTGATCCTGTTGTAGTAATCCGCATCCACATTTTCAAGATTCTAGATACCGGTAAGTAAAATTCAAAAGTATCTATAAAACATTAATTATTTAAAACAAATACATGCACAGTGTTTACATCTAAATGAATAGATATAATTGTGCAAACAGTTTTACAATGTATGTTCTGAAGCAACAGGTAACAGATTTTGCAGAGAGTGAAATTGTGAAATTACATGTTAAATTCCTTTGTAAGTGTTTGAAGAATAAGCTTATATGTGGTTATAGAAGATTATTTATAATATTAAGCAAAACTCAATTACCAGTACATTTTTGTTAATTCTTGGTATTTTCTTTTTCTCCAGGAATGTTGCTGTAAAAGAATAAAGAAGTTATAAGCTTATAGTCTTATTTTATTCCGACTGATTATAAAATGTACACATAAATAATGTGGTGTGTCTATAGGGCTAAAGGGAATTTAACATATTTTTGAAATAATATTTACATGATGTAAGCTTATCCATTGAAATTGCAGTATGATTCCACTTAATTGACACCAGCATAAAAAATCAAAACATGCTATTTTATATCAGAGTTTTTCAAAGAAACCCAACAAATTTGTGTCTTGAAATTAAATGAAGAATATTTACCCTGAAATTTCACCTTAATATAAAACAACAAATTTCAAGTGGAAAAATTCATTTGAAAAGAATAGGCCAAGTAACAAGAAAAATGGGAGTAACACTTTTCTATCTTTGAATGATCTGTAGTAATGTCCCTTATGAACCCTTGATTTGATAATAAAATTATTAGTTAACAAGCTGGCATATTTACCTGTCAACAATTTGTCTGTCTTTTTATTGGTGCAGCTTTTGTTAATTTTGGTTGCATGTTATACTTCCATTATGATCGGCTGAATATGGTTCTGGATTATTTTCTATTGGTCCAGACAGCTTCACAAAGTACTGAAAATCAGTTGACTTAACATGTCAATTGAAATACAAAGTACTCAATCATTACATTTAAGACTACTACTAGTACTAGTTCAACAAACCAAATAATAATGCCTGTGAAAGGCACATTTCATCTAACCTAAATTGCATATTGACAAATTATCTTAGAATTAGGCCTAGGCCTCTAGTGTAGCCTTCATTTGATTGTTGTAACAGAGTAATAGGCATATGAGAGCGTACAGACAATCCAGTTAGTTTAGTTTAAACAATAGTTTATTCGTTTGAAAAGGATTGAACAACAGGCAAAGCCTATATAAGTTCTTTCCCAGGGATACAGAAAATAATAAACGATAAATATAACATATACATAAAAATAAAATTAAATATAATAAATTGTAAAACCGAACATATATACAGTTTCATGTGGAAATGATATATACGATGCAATTTTTTGATATTATACAACAATATTATGTAAAAGCGAATCAAAACCTTTGAGTATTTTTAATAAAATAATGGACTGCTTCAAAAATCAAGATATTGGAGGTGTTCGAAAGATCTGTAGAGCCATTTAAAATTAGATCTAGATTAATAGTTTCTGTGAATACCTTTAATGAATTTAATAGTTCGATTCTGATAGCTGAATAAGATGGACAAGAGAAGAAAAAGTGGAAATTATCTTCATCCGAAGAATTGCATTTTGGACATGTTTTTGATTCAGATAGGTAGTGGTGGAAAAGATGATTATTGAGATTACTAGATTTATTTCTTAATTGACAGTGAATGATATTTTCCTTACGGTTTCCATAATGAAAGTAACTAGGTTTTTTATGTATAGGATACTGACTCAGCAGGAGACTAGACTTAAAAGTATTGAGAGACGGTGATAACTGCATATGCGTAGGAAGACTATTCCATAGTTTTATTGTGTTTGGGAAAAAACTTTTTATATAAGAAGACGTTTTACATTGTGGTATTTTCAATTTATGGTTTCTAAGATTGTAATAATTTGTTTCGGGTTGTATTTCCATTAGAATATCGGATAGATACTGGGGACTATGGCAATTAAGGATTTTATAAAAATAGACGAGTTTATGCTTTTGACGGCGTTTGAACAGTGGTTCCCACCCTAATTCGTCATAAACATGTTTTCTGTGGGAATTGCGGCGCAGACCAGTTATGATTCTCCCTGCTTCTAGTTGGATATTCTCAAGTAATTCCGAATCTTTAATACTACAATTATCCCATATACTATCCCCATACTCCAAAAGAGGACGTATAAATGACGTAAATATCGTACATAACGTAGATCTGTTTAATTTAAATTTTAATTGGCGTATTATGTTGATTCTATTGCAAGCTTTTTTGTGAATTCTAGAAATATGTTCTGACCATGTTCCGTTTAGATGAAATGTTAGTCCCAGGTGGCAGTGTGAGGAAACTTTATCAATAATTTTGTTTTCAAACATAAGATTAGGATGATTAGTTTTTTTACGTGTTAATATTAAGTTTTTAGTTTTATTTGGGTTAAATTTTATTTGCCATTTATTTGCCCACGTTGATATTAGCCTAAGATCACTATTGATTGAATTGGCAGTTTCTAAAGGGTTATCATTAATAATTGCAAATAAGGACGTATCGTCAGCAAATAATCGTACATTGTTATCTAGATTGTCTGAAATATCATTTATGTATATTAAGAATAGAAACGGACCGAGTATTGATCCCTGGGGAACCCCGGATTCAACTGACAAATAAGGTGATTGAAAACCTTCAAGTACAACACATTGGTTACGATTTGTTAAATAATTGTATATCCAATCACATAGGTTTAGACTAACACCATACTGTCGCAGCTTATATATAATTCCCATGTGCCAGACTTTAGAAATATCACAGAATACAAAGCTAAGCTCTTTCCCTTTATCTAGATTACTTATGATTATATTATATATCTCAAGAAGTTGGTTTATTGTTGAATCATTTTTTTGAAATCATGACTGATGTTTAGATAATAAATCATATTTTTTAATAAAGTTATACAGGTGTTTTAGGATAATTTTTTCAAAAATCTTACAAATTGTGCACGTTAAGGAAATGGGGCGATAATTTTCTGGTAATTGTGGATCACCCTTCCCTTTAAAGGCGGCTATGACATGTGAAGTTTTCCATATGTCTGGAAGTTGTTTAGTTATAAGGCACAGGTTAAATAGACGAGTTAATGGAATTACAATGGCGGGAGATATGTTTTTTAGAATTAATGGGCTGATTTCATCTGGTCCTGGTGGCTTTGAAGAGTCGAGTATTTTTAATTGATCTTTGACCTCTTGTTCAGTTACGATAAAATCATTCATTGTGATGTCAGAGCGTGCATCAAAGGGAGGTAATTCATGTGAGGTATCTAGTTTTGAAACATATGTAAAGTTAGACTGTCCAGTCATAGCTTAACGTGGGCCTTGAAGCTGGACGGAGTGGACGAAGAAATTCCCACCTTGTTGGCGAATTCTGCAATACGGAATGGGAACTTAGAAGCATATGCAACTGAATGAATGTTATGGAATAATGTGACATAACTCGTAAAAATACCACGGCAGTATCAGTAATAACACACACGGGTTACTCTCGGCGTTTTGACAAATGGTGGCTGTTATTAAAGTAGCTAAGTAGCTAAGTCTCTAACTCAGTATCATCCAAAACCTTCGACATTGAAAACACGAATTATTTGTCAATTGTAATCAACATTGGTTTTGTTATCTTACCAGGAAAAGATGGACTTCAGATATCCAATATTTATGACAAAATAAACATTTTGCGATTGGTACACGACTCGTGTACCACAATGCTTTTCAGCGCAATTTGTAGCAAGCGACTCAAAGAACGAGGTTAGACATATTTCACAAGTCAAGTCAAACGATGACCCCATATTCTTATCTGGAGAGTATGCTCAATAAATACTATCGGTGTAGACTGGAATAACCAGATGCTAGAGATTGCCATTCGATTTCACCGAACATCGGAAACGATTGAATGTAAATCAGTTTATTTACATTCATATTACATTATTATATACGTTGCGACCCATTTGTTTCAATTTGTAGGTCCCAAATATTAGCGATTTAGCCCCTTTAACATTGGATTAGTTTACATAAAATTACATGTTATTAGGCATAAAAAAAAACACATTTACTTACCTTGGAAAACACTTGACAGGTTAAAATTGACGTTTGTTTACATTCAACTGGGAGTGACTTCGACAACAGTTTTATCCATTACAAGACATCCCATATTTTTTTTAACTGTTTCGGGAAGGGAATGAACACTGCATCACCCTGTCTGGGTTGCAGCTATCGCTGTTACGGTGTCCGTGTGAGAAATGTTTAACCACGATTGACGACGGTTCAGCACACGGCAAAATGTCAAAATTCACGTGGTTTGTCTTAGGTGATGAAGCTCCAGATATGTTTACATAACGCTACGCATGGCTCATGAAATTTATTACGCCCAATTAACCAGTGCATAGCAGAATATTGCAGAAAAACTAATTGCGTGACAAACGTGACCATCAACATGGCTACAATGTAAACAATACTGCTTGGAGACGAACAATACTTTCGCCGTTTTTAATACCTTAAATCATTGTCCAGTGTTTTAGGGAAGACCCCAGATTAAACGATGGCTGCCATGTTGCTGTACTTAGGAGAGATTTGATTGAACGGGAAGAATAGACACACTCCCTCAAAAGGTTAAGTATCAGAAGTCAATCCAACATTGGCCAGAGGGGGATATCTCAAACCATTGTTTCAGGAATATAACAAAACCCTAGCACTACAAAATCTTATTATGGTGACTTCCATTCTCGGGTGTTCGTCACTTGATCATGAAACCTTTTTTTAACATTTTATATTGGATCTTTATGATATTACTGCGATGGAATGATAATCCTGTTTTATAAATTAATATCTTTGTTTTTGGAAAGTCAGACGACTTGACACGTTCCAGAGGTAAAATCCACATTTTTTGTCATGTGGTATTGATGGACCTTTGCATTCATTAAATTGCTCGTCATGGTCTACATTTTGCATTTTATGATAATTAAGCAAATCTGTGTATTAATATTTTAAGAAATCAGACGTGTAAATAAAGTGGCGTGACCTAAACAGAAACTATTATAGTAAAGTTAATTGCGCATACACAGATTTATTTACCCCCTTACAGAGGTTGCGTCGTCTGTACTGTAATTTGTATTGGGTGGGGAAGTAGGGGCCAGAGGGTTGGTTTAATTGATCAGCGCTGGTATCTCCTTTTCTAATTTTAAGTCTCACTACATAAGGCGATCAATAGACATTTCCCTTTTTTTTTTTAAAAAAAACTTGTCAAAGTGTTGAAAAGTGTTCTCAAGAATAAAAGAATAAGGTACCTTGGTCGCGATGATTGCAGGAAAGGTTAACGAAAAAGGATTTTCTTGATAAACGGGAAATTTCCCTCCAATTTCGGTAACAAGTTTGGCAAACACATTAAAATAATATGCTGTTTGGCATAAAATTATGTTTGGTGGTGTAGACATAGAGAGAGAGAGAGAGAGAGAGAGAGAGAGAAATAGGGTTTAACGTCCACTCGACACAAACTAGGTCATTTCGAGACTAACATACGGTTCAATTTCATTTCAATAATTCGCTTGCGCGCGCGTAGGGTTCTTTACCCGGAAAAAAACCAAGGAGGTTGGACAGGCGACCTTACTCCTTGTCACGTACAACCGCGGAATCGAACCCACGCCAGTTGACTCAATGACAGACCTTATGATACAACGCGCACGCGCTAACCATTCGCCATCCAAGCCCTTAACAAATAAACAACAGAAACACCAAACCTGATTCGTGATTTCTACAAATAAAAGTTTGTTAGTAGACTGGCCTTAAGATTTGGAAAAGTATAACTGTCTGCGAGTTTAAAAGCAATGCCCCCATTTAGATAACATATTACAGTGCTGCAGCTTAAACGATATTGTCCCGTCATAGTCGTCTTTTACAATATTTAAGTCAATATTGACTATCCCCATTATGCTACCCGTCGGCTAATCCCCCATTTCCTGTGATAAACATATTTGCGTGATCATTAAATAAACATGATGTTATTATACGGACTAAGGGGGTAGCGGAGCCTTTCAGTGCCAACATTTACCTATATATAGACTTGCCAGACTGAAGCTTCGGGCCTCAAGATCTAGGGTGGCTCCAGTCAAGGGATATACTATTATTGACACTAAAGCATTTCTTCCACGCACTGTATAGTCTTAAAGGGACAATAGCACTCTTGCTGGCTTGACAGCTCCAGAAAATAAAAAAATAGCCTTACTCTAAGTACTAGATGTGTTAGTGTCCTACCGGTTGTGTAAATTATCCATTAAATCCTATTTTACTTGTCCAGAGGGTTCAAAAATATTTTTAAATCCAAGTCACATTTGAAAAGCTTTACGTCAGGCTTTTCAAATCATTTAGTTGAATTTTTCCAATTTTTTAAATTAGGTGTGTTAAGATGAAATTTGTATCATCAATTAATTGAAATATTGTAAAATAGTACAATTTGTTGACCAGAATAAAGATTGGGACATATTATTCAGTTACAACAAAAGTGGTATTGAGCCTTTAAGCATGCGCCATCAACCTGGGCTTTGGTCAGTTAATTGTGTTTAAAACACACTTTCATCTTTCTCAGGGTGGGGATTGGGAAGGGGCCTCATAAATGGTTTAGCCTTGGGCCTCTCTCTTTTCATCTAAATCTGGCCTTCCTCAATTCTAGCAAACAGTTGAGAAAATTCAAGTAAAAAGCCAGGACAAACAAAAGCAAAAAGATCAACAAAATAAACAGTGATGGAATTTTTTTTTTAAAAATTAGATAACTGTCAAATTTATTCGGGTTTGTAAATTATTAGTCACATCTAGCGTCTATTCAAAACAACTGAATTGTAAAAGGCCATAAAACAATGTTCATGGCTTTTACCCTATATGAGCTTATCGCCATTTACATCGACACTAATATACCTAAACTCTCTATAATTCAGTTATCCGTTCGTTTTGGATTGTGTTACCCAAGTCAGCTGAAATGTAAGCTACATGTTGTGTGATTATTAGAAATTGGTATATTATCTGCGTAAAATTGTGGGCAAATTAACCCCCTGATCTCCTTAATCAAAATGCTTCCATACGTCAGTGCATATTATTATACAATAACGATATAAAATGTTTAAGTAACACGAATTTTAGCTGGTCGATAGCATAATATAGCTTTTGCATTGCGTTAAACAAGCTCTAGTCTAATAACAAACGACCATCAAATTATACAAATAAAAGGGTCGAAATGGGAAAACAAAACATTAGGGCTTAATAGATCTGTCTAGTTTAATAAAATACCGAGACGAAAACTATACAAAACAATCATTTATGATTTGATAGAACTGCTTAGTTCTCTGATCCGAAAGGGCATTAAACATGCCCACGGGTCCAAATTAGTACTGATTCCGCACTCTGAGAATACCCAAACGATTTCTGAGATTTAAAGATACTTATATAATAGTAATTGTAAAGGTGGGTTTATCCTCAACTAGGCACACTAAATACTAATATTAACTTTTTGATTGAGACTGAAATATAAATCTATATATCTCTTTACGTAGTTTGTTTTTAAGATATATGAAAGCGATAATCGAACCTAAATCACGAAATTGTCCGTATTAGATACACGAAAGACAACAAATCTGAGAATAGGAAACACGAAAAAAATAACAAAAGTACACAAAAAAAATGTCGTGAATGAAATGGGATCAGAACATAGCATATAATTATGTAGTAAAATTCCCGCATTTTCTTTGAATTCAGTCTAATAAAAAAGAGGCAAACGAAAAAATTTCAGCGAAAAATCATAGGTGACGCTAGTTTGTGTTGACCATTTCCTGTATTATATCGTCTGCAATAGATACTGAATGTTCACACATTTTCAATTCATATCTTTCTAAATACAGAACCAAAGTGAACCATTTTTGGACTGATAATCCTTTTAAAGATTTAATCGAAATTTGGCCAGCTCTTCTGGTTCAAAAGTTCATCCTCTAGGATGCAATATAATATAGGATAGATTTGAACATGAGGGTTATAGATACCTGTATACTGACGGTAAATAAAAAGCACAAACCAAATCAATTTTGTAGAATTAACATGCCTGACGTAGTACACACAGGTATGAAAAGGTACACAAGAGAATATAAAGGAATTATTAATAATTCAAAAGATTCCTTCGTGAGGAAGTAATAGAAATTATTAATTAACAGAAATAGACACAGCGTGTGAGAAGGCTTATTGTGAGCAACAAAGTCGTCTCAGTGGAAATCTGTAATAATACTATAACCATAATGAGTTTTATTGTTTAGAATCCAGTGCGCGACAGGAGCATTATTCGGTATTCCAAGTAAATGGCATATCAAGTGACGCTAATTTTGCGTATTCGCCCGAAATGTACTTTGAGCCTAGTCGAGCTATGCAAAAGATATTCTAGCCAACGTTTTTAATTACATTTCGAGCATGTAACAAATCTAGTGCGCAAGTGACATACATTTTACACATTACGAGCGTACAGTATACGATCATATAAAGGAAATGTTTATATGTGGTATTATTTATTTACCAAATGATCTAAATTCGAGCACAAACCCATCGACACTTTCAATTTTACCCCGATCAAAAAGGTCTAGTCAATTTAAAGTAGTAAAATAGTACTACGTCAGTTTCAGTGTCTTTGGGGACGGGGGATAAATATTTACAAGTATAAGCGATCCTTTGTACCAAAATTAAACATGGAAAGCTTTCACTAACTGTATTTTAGTATGTTTAATCAAATAAATGTTATCATTTGAGACATCAATGTTGTTCTAGAATCGGTGCATTTAGCTTATCATGTTGCTGAAAATTTCAAACGTCATCGTAACATTATTAGTGGGTGTGTTTCGATATGTCGTCAATTTTATAAATAAATCACCGACTATGGAATTAGAATATCGTCGACACAACACTTTGATATTTCTAGCGAGAACGACAAAAAGGAATAATCGTTGCAGTCATCGCCACAGCCCACGGGTGATTCGTTGCAAATTCGTTACGATCGAAACATTGTGAATAAATGTTTGACTTTAGAGTAATAATATATTAGATGATTTAGTTGCTTTATAACAATTAAGTAGTTTGTGATATAAAAGAGTGATTTTAAATGCGTAATCCCATTAATGATATTTCTAGAATAATCGGGCCTATCTTCCGTATCTGATATGCTGTCGCATTCAGTGTTTGACTACTATAGGTATACCGAGGGAATATGATTTGCTGGTATAGATAACTTTATTACAACAATAGCTGGTTAAAAATGTAAAGAACTCTAGGTAAATACCCCGAATGATATTTCGATATAATAGACAATTGAGCCTGTGGTATATATAGTCAACATATTTCAATGTCACAGTTTAGTAAGTATACAGGCTGTGTCGAAGCGTAACGTGCACCAAAATATAACAACCTGGGATATTGTGCTCGATTATTGTGATAAACGAATATTACCTGGAAGTAATTAAACATACATTTTATATAATATGTTTCCCTTCGGAGTACTTTAGAAGTATAGTGTAATTTAACTCAGAGTTTTAGGTTGATTGGTCGAGTTATCCAGGTGTATATTAGTGTTATTATACAAACGACATTATGTCTAAACCATATAAAGTGAAAAGTGACTCAGATATTAAGTCGAGCTGTAATAACAGCGATGCTACTAAAAGGGGATCTGTGGTCGCCTATAGTAATTTAGCTCAAACTGATAAAAGCAAACTTTCAAAACTGCGTAGATCTTCTGTGTTTAAAATGTTCAAAAGGGAACCAACTATACAAGTTCACGACGACCAAGATACAGAAATGCCTTTAATTTGTCTGATAGATGATAGTCCACTTAGAATTATTAAGGTAAGACAGATGGGTCTTTATTAAATTAAACAGGGTGTTAGAATCAATCAGAAAGCGCGTAGGTAAGAAAAAGTACAAGGAATCAATATAACCAATAAGCAATTTGGTCCCTTTTAATGATTGGTATTGAATTGAATACGATAGACTAGAATAAATCACAAAACGCTTGAACCTTATTTGAGCAACTACGCAACGTTTTAAGATGACACTGCAAGAAAAAAATGCTGATTTAATGTTCTAGAATGATGTTTGTTGACACTTACTTCATAAAATATAATGTTTACTTTAGTCTGAGTCACGCTGTTACTTAGTCTTCTAAACGCAGTATACATGTACATTGGTGTGAAATATTATATAAAAACATTGCAGGTATAACACACCCCATTGTAGTAGGAAATGGGGTTAAATATTTACAGAGTAAGAAACCACGTGGCTTCTGTTTAGCTTTTGCTTTCACACCTAGATTAGTTTGGATTTTTTTCATTAAAATCTTTATTCAAATATAACAGCAGTAAAAATTATATAAAATATAAAAATATCAGGCAAATATCAGCTTTATATGATTGGCTATTGAGAAGTTGTCTATTTTTCATTATATATAGTCGTGCTACAGGGAACATTAAAATCAAGGATGTCATATTTTGTTTTCCTTTTGAACTGGGGAAACCAAAAATCATCCAGGTTTCGAAATCATTGAATTAGTTGACCTGATACATATGGATATTTTCTTTGAATTATTTAGATTACACGGGCTAAGTATATGATTTATTGACGTGCTGTTTATTAAACTATATTCAACTAGATACCACCCTTATTTATATTCACTTAACTGATCATGCATGAAAATTAATATGCTATAAAGTAATACAAATCTTTGTAAACGTCGGTTCGTATATTGTATAGTATATACTGGTAGGCTAGGGGATAACCGAATATCCATTTACAAACTACGTTATTATGGTTCACAATAATACTTAGGTCAGTGTAACATTTAGCAAATTGTTGATGTAAGGTCGGTAGTGGTGGGGACGCAAATTCTCTTCTGAGATCTGGCCTATAACACCTGTTAATTAAAGATTCATTGTAAGAGGTAAATGTGTGTATTGCCGATCTTATTTCTGACTTCATATGATAAGTCCATAATCAACTTTCTGGGACATGAGAGAGTTTGGACTTTGAGTGGATTAGACAAAGTGCGCCATATCTTCGTTAAACGATAAATGAACGCCACTCGCGGTGTCTGCCCATTGAAGGAATGAAAATAAAGAATTTATTATGTTTATTATCGTGTTAATGGTACTTGACAATCGAGACAAATTATTTTCGAAACTTCAAACATTCATTACTTCAGCTCAGAATCAAGTAATTTGACTGAAATGTATTCATTTCATTATTTTTTATCTATTTTTGAACTATTATAGCAAGAACGTCCAGCTCTTATCTTACATAATGCAACTTTAATAATTCTTTAAGATTTATTCGGTAAAATTAATACAAATATTTCATTTTATTGCATTCTATTTTAGTGAAATTTGATAGAATTGTAAAATAGCCTGAGAAATTATAACTACGTAGGTGTGTAGGGGCGCCCGAAGTTTCTATGTTCCCTTGTTATGCTACGAGACTGAATGACTATTATCGAGATTGACGTTACGGAAGAGTTCATTTGGTGAATGGTTAAGCAAAAATAATATACCGATGTTTCGCCAATAAATGTTCTTTATCATCACAAGCCTTTTATACGAAACGCCATTAATGACACCTAACTTGAGAAAATCAACTTGTTTTATTGAATCGAACATTGCATAATGGGATTGGCTTTAACTCATTTCAATAGTGACGTGTGTTTACCATCTTTAAGATATCACTTGAAACGTTGATATAACTAAAACACTTCTGTTCTACTTTGGTATTTAGTAAATGAAGGGATTAGACTCTCTCATTAGAATTTGAATGACACTTGCATCCTCTCCCTGGGTCAGTAAGACGTTGCCTCGCTAACTTGGGGGTCGCGTGTTCGATCCCTGTGTTGGCCGAGAGAATTTTGGACGTGGTTCCGCCTTGTCGTATAGTCGCTCGGAGGGTGAGAAAAATCGAGGTCCCGTATACACATTGGCGTGCACGTAAACGAACCTTTGGCAGTTGAAATTCGATATAAGAGTAGGCCGTTGCGCCGCCACTGTAATTTCCGTTAATTTCTTTTGGTGTTACGACCCTTGTTTCACATTGTTGCACTTTGTGAACGCTCGAACGACAACAGTTATCATCCTATCTGAATGAAATTCATAAGTATCATGTAAATTAGTAAAACAAAGACGCCTATTGAATTTCTAATAATTACTTCTCGAGTTATCACTCTTGTTTAACTTTGCTGGACCTTGTGAACACTCGAATGATGAAAGGTATCATCCGATCTACATGAAATTTATATGCATCATTTAAATTAGTGAAACCACCAAAGAATTCTATTGAATTACAGCAATTTCCAATAATTACTTCTCAAGTTATGGGCCTTGTTTTACTTTGTTGAGCAATGTGGATGCTGGAATGACAAGTCATCATCTGATCTGCATAAAATTTATATGCATTATTTAAATTAGTAAATCGAAAAATGCTGTCGAATCTCAACAATTTTTGTCTATTACTTCCAGAGTTAAGGCCCTTGTTTCAGTTTGTGGCACCTTGTGAACCCCCCAAAGGACGAAAATTATAATTTGATCTGTATGAAATTGTCTTGTAAATGCTCCCCATTACCCACAAAAGATTAAATATGCAACAACCCTTGTTGCCCGGTCGGACGATTTAGCTGCTGTGGGCGTATGTTTGCTGCCTGACAACCTATCTGTTGAATGTGAATATCTTATTTACAGCTCACCTTAGAGTGTTGGTATTATCGGAGTGTGATTATTCCTAAATTGTATATTTTGTTTAGTCGATTGCAAGTTTAAACTGGACAATAACTAATAAATCTGCCGCTGTCCGACTTTGATCGCAGCATGAACTGACATTAATTCTTTATTTGTTGTATTCTATAATATTGCACATATGGTATTTCGGATTTTTTTATTCTAATGCATATAAACCTGTCATCTTTAATTGTTATCTTGATTTACTCACCATTCTTCACTTTGCTTTTAAATGGTTGAGAGCAGTGAAGGTTGTCTTAAGGGGGCTTATGTCGACCTTGCAACTGAAAGCAACTGGCGTTTCGGCAGCTGGGAGCAACTGAATGCAACTGAAAATGGTCGACCTGAGCGCCTCTTACACATCAAAGCAGCTAGTTGCAGTCAGGTGCACATGTTCAACTTTCTGCAACTCACTGTAACTAGCGGCAATTCGTTGCAGTCGACATGATCGTTCTTGCAACTGGCGTCAACTCGTTTCCATGAAAAATGAAATGAAATGGGGTTTAACGTCTACTGTTCTGCTCCGACTGGGCTAATGAAGACGGGCATACGCCATACAGTGTGCTATGAGGGAAATGTTGCCTACTCTTACATCGAATTCCAACTGTTAAGGGATCTTTTACGTGCACGCCAATATGTACACGGGACCTCGGTTTTTCGTCCCATCCGAACGACTAGACAGCTGTCCTTGTCAGGCCCTCCGACCTGCATCACTGACAAGGGAGAACCACGCCGGAAAATCTGGATGAACTTTCTCGGCCAATGCAGGGATCGAACACCCAACCTCCAGGCTAGCGAGCCAGCGTCTGGTACAAAAAAGCGATGTCTCGTGTTCATATTGGCTTGAACGTAACATAACCCCTTGACAGTTGGAATTCGATATAAGAGTATCTGTAGCACCGCTGTCCTGGCGAATGTTCCCTCATAGCCCACTACTCGGCTTATGCCCATCTTCATTAGCCCGGATGGAGCAGAAACGTTGGGGCGTTAAACCCCATGTCATTCATTATCATTTCATTATTAAGAATTTCTGATGTGTTATCCGTAATTCTATTTTACGGGATTGTTGTATGAGTGTACAAAGCACTTTAATTATCTCCGTATGCCGACTTCCCATGATAAGGATATAAGGTATATAATGTACAATTTATATGTTGAATTAATTGGTTGCTGTGAAACGCGCTTGCGATCCATACGTATAGATTATATTTGATAAACCATTTTATAATAGTAGCCCTAACCACCTAAACTACATATAATATTATTAACATAAAATATCGATAACTATCTAAAACACTACAATATAATATTCAATTTATTTATTTATTATTATTTTTTTTTTTTTTCGCGCTTGTCAATTTGTGAATATAGTATTATTCTAGGGCTTTAATACGTTTGTCCTTCATAAAAAGAAGTGAACGGTGACAAATAGTAATTATTCACATGTTAGTCAAATTCAAGTGTGAAATTAGACAGTTTGAAATATGAAACTGAAATGAATTCTGGAAATATTTTTCCGCTTTTGTCATTGTCGAACTTGACGTTCGTTTCCAACTGGGCTGGAGGGCCTGAGAAGGACAGCTCTCTAGTCGTTTGGATGGAACAAAAAACCGAGGTCCCGTGTACACATTGGCGTGCACGTAAAAGATCCTTGAAAGTTGGAATTCGATATAAGAGTAAGCCGTAGTGCACACTCATAGCACAGTTCGGGGCAGAACAGTAGGACGTTAAACCCCATTTCATTTCATTTTCATTCCAACGGGACTGATATCGTAGACTTTTTCCCCCTTATTCTTGTTTAGTTATATCTGAGCACGAGTAATACATTGTTATTAATGACAAAAATTTAGTATTAAAGACGTTTACTGAAGAAACTGCCAAAATGGTGAGTATTGTTGTATTCGGACAGCTTTCAAATCGGCAAATTGCTATTATATTCTTATGTAATCTGTTAACACAAATTGTTGTTTGCTTACAACCATGTTAGTTGTAATTAGTAAATCCATCCAGTGGCTTGTTTCGGTATCCCGTGAATAAAAAAATATTATTTAAAACAGCATTTGAAAGTTTATAAATATTAAAGTCTGTTGGGTTCTTTCAGACTTTGTAGCACTGGTGCGTGTCGATTTTTCGTGGCCCGAAATTTGTATTTCAAGATAATAGATGTAGACCTCCATAACTATTCCATGAAGATTTGACAATCAATCACATTCACGACCGTTTTGACTATTTTACTAAATAATCTACAATGACCGTGCTGCAAAACCACTGACTGACATCATTGATGATTCGTATGACATTCTAAACTCTTTAATAAGGTTTGTTAGGTTGTTTTACAAAATAATTTTGTATTCAGGAAACTTAGACTTACATCGTAGGCAACAAGATATTGTTGCATGGGAAAGTTTTGTTAAGCTTAATATTTACTCCCTTGGTTAACGACCATGCGGGTTTTCAAATGGTGGAAAAGTATAACATACCGGTGTCAGTAAGTTTCCAGTGCGCGGGTAGGACACTGTAATCCACACCAACAGCGACGGGTTAACCACGGGGCACGGTCGGGCCATGTCAAGGGGTCCCCACGAAAAAATATGAGTTGCGCAAGAAGGGATGTTAGCATGGTCGGACCGAGGACTCCATCTGCTAGTGCCAGTGATGGGGCCTTTCGAGGCCCGTTGGCCTCTATCAGATTTTCAAAAGACCGGACATTGGGGCCTCTTCAATCCACGGTAGACTCGTGTCGCGGTTGATATCCGAGAATTCGGTGTAATCTGGCGATGCCGCGTCGTACTGTTGACTGGTATCCGTGTTTCTATTTTTTTTTTATTTAGTGGCAAAAGTGTTTCGACTCCGGTCGGTTACTACGTCGTAACGTTACGGCCTTCGCGGATATGACTCTTGGTATCAACGTCTCTCCGTTATTTTATCACTGACCGACTTCAGATTAGGTTTTATGTAGTTACATTCATATCGGTGGAATAATCACGCCTACGTTCTGGTACTTCTGTTAGGTACCAGGGCCACAACCATGGTTAATCCGGCGCTGCCCACCAACGTCTTCAAACCCATTCCCGTGAGATTGTCAATGAAAGGGCCATTAAATGCTGTTCCAGTTTGCATAAAAAAATTTCCTTAAAACATGTCACTATATATTCAAAAACGCTGATGACACTGTATGTTTCAAATACAATAAATATGACTGTATTATAGTGTTAGGATGACTAGGGTAATTTTATGCAGTTTATCAAACTGATGTCCTGCATGTGGCATAAGGTTTACTTTTTACACCGTGGTGTTAGCACCATGCGGGGTCTAATCGCCATTCACGTTCTTCCCTCTCTTCTCTTGTTGTCGATAATCCGTTTATCATCCGGACCATAAACGGAAAGAGCCGTTTATGACTGCAGCTTGACAAAATTCACTGGTCCTATTTAGGTACCAAAGCACGCGCATTTTTTTTTTAAAAAAGAGAACTATAGTACTAAATTCTATAACATGAACATCTTTCTGATGAATTAAATATTTTACCGTTCTGGCAATAATAGTTTGAAAATGGATAATGGAAAATGAATATATTGAATATTTCAGTCAAATTACTTTATTCTGAGCAAAGTTATGAATGTTTGAAGTCTTGCGAAGCATATCATTGCTACGATAATAAACGAGGTCTCGATTTTCTATTTTAGCGTAAACCGATTAAATGGCGCATGTTTCTAATCCAGTTAAGATCTCAGTCATCGGATGGCCAAGAGAGTTGATTATAGACGTGTGTCATGTAGAAAATAATAACTAAATAATAAATGTCTATAACATTGGAAGCAGATTTAAATCTTACATAATTAATGCATATTTAAACTAAGCGATTTTATGTAAATTTTAGTGCACCAGCTCCAATACAAATTTGAGTAATATTTGTTTTTTCTTGTTGAGTAATATTTATTTAATTTGTCATTCTGAATCATATCTCTGAAACAATTCAAAATATCTGGCTTTGTACGCATACTAGATTATTATAGAAAAAATGGGCCTTTTGCTTTTCAACAATATAGTAGGATGAGCAATTTTTGTGTGCCCATGGATCCATCTACTACCCTGACTTTCATTTTTCCTCCTTTCTTCTGTGATTTGTCCAAGGGGTCTTGTTTTCAAACTGAGCTGCCATCTTTTATGAATTTTGATAATTGTTTGGTAGTAATGTAAATCTAAAATTCCCTCGATATATGACTATTATAACCAGGTAGCATAAATGAGATGCCTGATACTGTAATATTTGATTTTTGATCACCTATAACACAGAGGCTAACTGTCCAAGATTCCCGGTACCTTTAAAAAAATACTTTGATTTTGTCCGATTCAATAACTGCCCATTAATTTACATCTTATTTCCCTAAAGGTTTCAGAAAAAATTATTTTCTTTTAGGGAACGTGACCTGGCGTTGCACAACTAACATTCATAACAATCATTATTTTGTCAATTTCATCTTTAAATACTGCACCAAATATCAAATGAATAATATTTGTACAGGAATTGGTTATATAAAGTTGTTTTAAAATTATCAGTTCAACCGCGTGGTCCCAATAGCGAACAAAGAAATAATCTTTCTCTTTTATATACATATTTTTTAACTGTATTTATTTGTTTATTTGACCTGAATATGTTTTTATTTCATGTACATAAAATTTGTAAATGTTTAATAATAATTTAAAAAGCACTTTATGTCTATTCAAACCATGTTTATAAATATATTGTATCAATTAATCAGAGATTTATCGTTATTGTGGAATATAATGTTTACATTTGGTACTCAAACACGATAGAAAAAAAAATTAATGTGATAGCGACTGTTTGTTATTATGGAACAAAACTGTTTACATTGGGTACACAGACAAGACAAAAATTAATCTGTTAGGGAGTGTGTGTTATTGTGGAATAAAAACCTTTACAAACAAAAATCAACATTATATTTGGATGGAACAATAGCCCTGGTTCTCATATACCGAACAGTAATCAAAGTGTTAGCGATTAATGTAATAATCAGTAATTTTATTGATGAGCATTGTGTATCCACTAGGAAATTTGATAATAGATCGGTTTTATATAATCGAGTCCATTATCACTTATGAAAAGAATAAACTGGGAGCTAGATACACATTATGTTAGTTGGGGTATTAAAGTTATGACAATAGAACTATACAATTTACAATACTATGAAAATATGTTACGCCGCTTATCTGGATGACGTACATTAGCATGTGCTCAGATGTCTGAAAGAAAAGGATTGGTTAAATTGTTGGCACGTGACGACAATGTTGATGATCAGAGTTCCAGACGATTCTATTTACATATTATGCAATCATGACTGGTGAAAATTAATGATTATTGGACTAGAGTTTCTTACATTTTTATCGCAAACTTCCATATAAGTCATTGATACTATTTTCATTTACCATGGATAAAATAAGAAAATGGTACAACGCGTGGCAATTTGTGCATTCGGGTACCTATGTAAGAAAGCGTAACGAAATACAGAAAGATTTAAAACATGCTATCGAGGACGAATGTTCTACTTGTGGACTTAATAATGTTGCAGATATTATCGTTAGTTCCCGAGGAGGGAGTCAAATCGAATTGTCCTTAACTTTACAACACGATCATTTTACCGACGTGAGTCTATTTGGATTCCTTTTTTTTTCTTTTCTGTTCATGTCGCCCACTTGTCTGTTAATATTGATGACGTATGTCTTCAGGGTGCTGTAGTGTAATATACGCTGTTTCTGTTTTTACTGTGGGTGTTGTTTGGGTATTGCTGCAATTGGAGCTATTGCTATTTTTCTTCGCATGTTGCAAAAGTGTACTTTTATATTTGGTATTTTGTATACTGATGTTGTTGGCTATGCGAATTTTCTTTTGCATATTACTACTTTGTGATAGTTACAATAATATAGTCATTGTAACACGGAAAACGTTATACCATTAACAGATTTTCTGGCTGTTGATAAACGTTTTAAATTTTCTTGTTAAAGAATTGATCTTTTCATTTTTTCCTATCAACAATCTATCTAAAACTTGCGTGAAGCCATACTTTTGACAGAACAATCTAGCACCCCAACAACTCTGTCCTTTGCCACCCAAATCCTTACCCCCACAACACAATAAATACATAAAGTGCGCTTTGATGTTTAAAGTGTCCATAATTTCAGGTTGCTGGCAAAGGAAATTTAGAAGAATTCGAACGATTATACAATGCTGATCCGAGCAGGCTGTATATTGAAGATAGTAAAGGACAGATGGCTATACATATGGCAGCAGTTAAAGGCAGGATAAATATATTGGATTTTATTATCAATCATAATGGTGGTAAGTGTTTGAATATAGCATTAACCGTTTTATTGTCATATTAAAATATGAGTCTATCGAGTACTATTATGTTTATTAAAGGTTTTCCCGATGTTTTGCTATTTACAACAAGGTGTCAGTTTATCATTTAGGTTGAAATCCGAATAAATATAAAATACAGATTGTACAGGTACAACGTATTAGAGATGAAATATGTATTCATTCAATTTACATGTAAACTAAAAAAAATGGAGCCCTGTTGAAAAACTAATGTAGCCTTTTGAATTTGAATACTCAATATCTTTAATCCCAAAAATAATATGATCCAGATTGTAGTGTTCCAAAAATTTAAACTATTGCAATCTGATCAAAATACAGATCTATATTTCGTTTCGTTTTTTTTACTTTCGTAGAAGTGAAGCCAAGTAAAACGACATTTTGAACTATAAAAATATTAAACGAAATAGTCACCTATTTTCCTAATTTTTTACTATTTGAAGATATTAATATCCAAGATAAAAAGGGCAATACGCCGCTACATTTAGCTGTAGAGAATGAACAGCTAGAGGTCATTACACATCTACTAGATAAAGGTGCTGATCCATCTATAAAGAATGAGATTTCATTCTGTCCTTTACATCTAGCTGTTGATATCGACAACATAGACGTCTTAGAGGTAATGCTGATGATTATATACTAATCCGAACCTTTCTGACTATCTCCAAGAATATCCTTTCTTTAGTGAAATTACATAAAGTTTTATTTAAAATGTATGTGGAGATGTTAGATAGCAATCATTAAAGAATACAAGCTTTACATGTATCCTAATAAAATTTGCTTGTATTCTTTTCGACACAATGATTCAAGTTTAGTAAGCACTTATGTAGGTTTAAAAATCTGGAAATATTGCTCAACAGAATATGATATAAATGTTACTGCCTATATGTATTTGAAAAAAATTCGAAACATTCATTCCCGCCCCCCCCCCTTCCGCCACAACTAGTACACGTGCCTTTGTAAATCTTTTATTTGTCTTTATAGACTTTGGTAAAACATCCAAATATAGATAAAGATGTAAGAGGTGAAATGGGGGTCACACCATTACATGTTAGTGCTTTTAAAAATAGAGCTGAAGCAGCCAAATTGCTGGTAAGTCAATAACTTTAAAGTTTATCTTCAAAGTCAAAGTACTGAAGTTGTTTCATAACATGATTTCTTTCCTCCTAGTATTTTTTTTTTTAAAACTAAAAAGAAACTATAGCAGACGTAAAATACGTCGGTATTTGTAAAAGCATCCTTAATAATGTCGTGTTGTCTTGGTTGGTGGTGTGGGGTTGTTTTAAGATCTGCTTGCCATTAACACTTGTTAACGAGTCTTGTTGATTATAAATTACAGATAAGGTATGGCGCCAAACCGTGCGTAAAATGTGATTTTGGATATTATCCCATCCATTGTGCTGCTAAAGCAGCAGCTTCGGAGACGCTGGAAGTCTTAATAGGATATGGTAAGTATATTGACGCTATTTGCAAATAATTGAAAGACGAAATCCTAAACGTATACCAGTGCATAAATGATACCAGGGTAGAAACCTGTCAGTAACCCAGGCCTGTGTGCAATAACAACGTTCCGATATACTTATACTTTGTAGAGGATGCGGGGTGTTGTTCTTCAGCCAGTTTCCGTCTGGGTTTTAATTGCTTCTTGGAAAAATTGGCAAACGGATATCGAATTGTCTCGTTTATCAGGTCGTTCTAAACAAATACGTAACCCTACACATAAACAGTTCCGGTGATCATTTCCTAAACCAAATGATCAGACGAGATAAAAAGTACTTTAATTCACATCTTTTCGTTTGATTTCGTTCAAAGAGGATGGTTTACCTTTGTGGATATATTTTCTCAGGCCAAAACGTCTTGAGAGATTATTGACTTTGAATATTTTGACATTGTCCATAATGCACTTTCTTTATTGTTTTTATAAAGCAATATCAAAGGGATACAGAAGAGAACAGATTATGTCATTTAAAGATAAAGAAAACAACATGCCCTTACATTCAGCTGTTCACGGAGGAAACATAAAGGTAAGAGGGGTTTTGTTTAGGTTTAAAATTGCTGGTCAAAAGGTATTTTACTAAGTGATATTTGAGGCCACCAACTGGTTCCCTTTTCCAAAAATGATAGATTTTTTGCTTATATCTCGACAAAGTAAATGACGTTTCACTTTGAAATCTGAGATTCATCATAGTGCAATTTGATTAGAATACAGATTTATATTTCGTTCGTTTTTATACGCCCACATTGAAATGTAGTCGTATATTGTCGTCGCCTCCGTCCGTTCGTCCGTCGGTCCGGCGTCCACAATTGCTAAAGTTAATATCCGATTGAAATTTATACACAGTGTTAATGGTCATGAGACGAAGAATCCTATTGATTTTCAACGATTTCGATAAACACTGCCGGAGTTATGAGCCCTGATCCCTTTGAAAAATCTTGAGGGCGCTCTAAAGGCTAAAGTTAATATCCGATTTATACAGAGTGTTTAAGGTCGTGGGAGGAAGAATCCTATATATTTTCAACGATTTTTGATAATTATTGCCAGAGTTATCACCCTTGATCACTTTGAAAACTGTTGTGGATAATGTACAGGCCAAAGTGATCATTCCATTGACTTTAGATTGATACAAGGTCTTGAGACGAAAAATATATTGATTTTCAATGATTTTTGATTCCTTGAACAGCTAAATATTAAATGTTTTGTATACTAAAAGTTAGCATGGGACAGAACTTTATAAAAACCAAACAAATTCTAACGGTTTTCTGATAATTACTCAAGGACTTGTTACTCTTAATCAGATTTTAGTGTATTTTAAATGTTTCATTACCGAGAAAAGAAACAATATGTGACAATTCTTATTGACTGTGCGGATGACTTAGCTGCTGTGGGCGTATGCTTGGTTGCCTGTCAACCTATCTTTATACTTTCGATAAATGCCCGGACGACTTAGCTGTTGTGGGCGTATGTTTCGTTGCCTAGCTGTTGTGGGCATATTTTTCGTTGCCTGGCAACCTATCTTTATACTTTCCATGGCCTCAGCTACATTAAGTTCTGACTAGTTGTAGTTGGAGGTCTGGTCAGGGGTCATACCAGCGGCTTTTGATCTTATGACGTCAGACCTTTGATTAGCGTTGATGTTTCAATTGGGTATTTGGAAATACTTTTGCCCATCCTCGGAATCAACAATGGTATCACTTCGTTCTACTCCACTAACCCCTGGGTCCATTCAAATTATCCGTCCTTGATAGGTGTGCTATTTTCATCCACCAATCAAAAATTCGCTAGTGGGCGAAGGAAAGTAACTCGTTTTTTTTATTGCAACTAAGGTCGCCGAATCGGTGTTGCAAATTTGTCAAAATATTTTAGGATATCGTTTTGTGTGCATGCCACTTCTTTGATATTAATTTTCTTGCAACCCTTCTCATAATCGAGGGTACAAACTGCTTTATTGTGGTGAACGTAAACCATATATTTCTATGACGTAAACACTGACGCTAAGACTGGTATGGAAACTGCTTTTTGAGTGGTTCGTAGAATCAAACTACGACTAAGAGCAGTTGATTTGAATTCGTGAAAAACCCGCGAATGAACCTAAGGTTTAGTGGAGTAGAAAGGAACGAATGTCAACCCATAGTTCTAAGCATCGCACGCCAAAAACAAGCCACAGCCAACCATTTGATTAACTAATCCCACACCATCGGCGTTAAATAAAGCTGTTTCACACACTCCTAGTGTGATAAAGACAAGTAAAACGAAATTTTGAACTAGAAAAACGAAACGAAATAGGACCTGTGTTTTAATCAGATTGCATCATAGTGGTGCTGTCCGAACGGATAATCTTAAATGAAGAACCATTTTCTCTAGAGCCTGATTTAATACATGTATTTTAAGGTGTTTTTTGACAATTCATTATTTTATTTTACAGGCTGTTGAGGTTTGTTTGAAAGCCGGGGCTCCAGTTGACACGCAACAGGTATATTTTCCAATTTTATTTCTAAAATTTGAAATTTTTGATATTTTGGAAAATAAAACGGTACAGGATACGCCATGGCCCCGGAGTGCCTTTAATACCGCGTTTGGGCGACTTGATCTGTACAAAGAGGCGTTTACAACGGAGAGTGGTGACTGAGAAATGGGGTTTCACGTCCAGAAGGTCATAGTTCCCATGGTACAAAGTTTTTTAGTTCAATAATTCGCTTGTGTGTAGAGGTAGTTAGCAGTTAGACAAACCGATGAACCCACGGAGTTAAGCAGGCGATACAACGCACAGGCTTGGGAGTTTACAAAGGGAGATATACATTCCAAGATGAAAATCAATATGTTTGCAATAAATATTTTTTATAGTCGCATTTATTACCAGTACCATATTATAATTAATTGCAGGATGACTTGTCGACACCACTCCATTTTGCCGCTTCTCAGGGTAATCTCGAGATGTTAATGATAATGTATAATAACCAAACAGATAGATTTCAGACGGCTCTTCATATCGGTGACGTAGTTAAAAGAACACCACTCCACAATGCATCATTATTTAATCATAGTTTAGTTGTAAAGTTCTTGTTGGAGAAGGTAAGCAATGGATCATTCTTGGGAAAACATAAACAGTTATTAGCTTTTAGTGTCACCTTATTGATAAACAATAACACCATGGTCCCCAAAGAACGAGAACGGGCTTACTCCGACGGTACATCTATGAAAACATAATTATAACGTTAAGGTAAAACGGCATTATTAACCTCACCATGTAACTTAATGTAATTAATTCTGGATAATGGCATATTCACAACCCAGACTCAGGTATTGTCTAAAATCAAAGCACTAGTCGAATTATACATCGAAAAGGATATTTTAAAAACTCCATGAAAACCACTAAAAAATGTACAACTCGTAAATTGAAAGTGGCCTGGTAGATTTTTGTACCTGAAGATACATAGATAGTACGTGCAAGAGGACCGCACCACACACAAACAAAACCAACAAGTATAAAATAGGCATCTTTTTAGAAACTGCATATATAGTCCTGTTCGTCGAAAAGATATTAAAGAGGGCAGCAAGAATTATTTTTGATGCACCAATTGAAACTCCGTCCACCTCTTTATTTACTTACCCTTGACTTACTCGGTTGACTTACCTTTACACGGAGGATTCTTTATAATAAAATAGTTTTATCATTCAAAATTATTACATTTAATCTCTTGTTTCCAAAACTGATATCTTGCTCCGTTGACAGACTAGTAAATCTCTTTTCCTTCAAAAATGCAAAACGGAATCCATGAAACGTACTTTTCATTATTCTGCATGTCTTTTCGTGTATATTCAACTTGCAACTGCATTCTATCTTATTTTGTGTGCAATTATAGTGTTCTTCCTATATTTTACTTGTATAATATATATGTTTTGTAGTTTAGGAGTGACTTCCCAAACTTCTCACTTTAAAATGCTATTGCATTTCAAATGATTTTGAATTTATATGTCTTTGTAGCTTAGGAGGGACTTATGGAAGATTTTTTTTTTTTTTTTTTTTGCAAACTAAATAAGTTGCCTCGTTAAGTAAAGTTTTTATTGTTATTGTTCTAAAGTATTAACGGTTTATATTATTGTTTTAGGGTGCTGATGTTAATGCTGTAGATAACGAAGAGAGAACAGCATTATTGTTGGCGGCGTCTAAAGGTGGTTGGGATACAGTACAGATCCTGTTAGATCACAGTGCTGATATGTCTGTCAAAGATAAAAACAACAGAAATTTCTTACATCTTGCAATTAAATTTGGTGGTCAGTTCAAAGATTTCAAATGTTCTTACTTTAAGGTAATATATATATTCTATATAAGCAAATGCAAAAAAAGTATATCATTAAGAGGCATTATTCAAGTGTTAACCCTGCCTAGTGTAGGTCTTTCTTTATGCCTTAAGTTATATTTATAGCACGGCTTTCATGAGTTAAAGGGTTTAAACATCGAGGCCGTAGGCTGAGATGTTAAACCTGTTAAAGAATGAAGCGTGCTATAAATGACTTGTAACATTGACACCTGCTCAACATGCTTGCTGTTATTGCACAGAAAACCCAGTCCACTTCTCTATATGATTTCTACTAAAACTAGTGTAAACCAGCAAAAGAGTGCAATAACAATGAACATGTCTAGTTATTGCACGGTTAAGCTCCACCCAATCTACTAGATGGAAAACAATCTGCTTATTCAACGAAAAGAACAAAGGAAGATTTCCCGTCCATGTTACAAATGTTATATAAATTATTGATTAGACATTAATTAACTTACCAAGACCATAATCTACTCTCAATGCCATCGGGTGGCTTCGATTTTAAGTATAGTAGAACGGTTCGGTAATTTAATGATTTAATTTAAAAATGGAGAAGCTAGGCTAAGTCTCGAATCGCCAGCACCGTGGTTACATTAATAAACAATCAATGCACACATCTTGTCAAAACTAAACTGATAACTTCGCTCAGAAAAAATAATTTGAATAAAATTTTCAATATATTCATTTTGTATAATCTATAGCAAGAAGGGACAGTTGTTTATCTTAATCTTACATAATATATATATTTAAACAGGAATTATGCAAGAGGTAAATGTGCCCATTGCAGGTCTTTCTTTGTGCCTTAGGTGTTATATAAATTATTAATTAGACATTCATTAACCTACCAAGACCACAATCAACTCTCGTTGTCATCGGATACTCTAGATTTTAAACAGATTTGAATACTATTTTCGGTTGATGATTTAAAGAAACAGTGGATAATCGAGACTGTATTTATTATCATAACAACGATAGCAATGACAATCGAGATCAGCTGTTAGTGTGAAGTAATTTGACTGATATTTTCACCATATTCCATTGCGAGGACCATAATCAACTCTCGATGCCATCGAATACTCTAGATTTTAAACAAATTTAAATACGATTTGAGGTTGATGATTTATCGTAAAAATGAAATAATCGAGACTGTGTTTATTAGCATAACACCAGTAGCAATGTCAATCGAGGCTACACTGTTATTGTACATGATTGACTGGAATTTTCAACATATTCCCTTTTCATTGTCTACAGTTTAATTATAGCGAGAACTGTCAGTTCTTTATCTAATCTTACATAATTCCCATTTAACTAAGTGTTGTTTTTACTTGCATGTATAGAATGTCTCATAATACTTTATATTTTATCATTGTTTCATGAAGTCTTAAACGAGGGCCTAGTCGAAGCGTCGCTCATTAATAAACAATATCTGTTATCCATAGAATTATGTCCTGTTGTTTCAGTTCAATTACTAATTGTCATTAAAACAATATAAAATAATCTAAATACAGGTTAAACTTTTTTGAACAAAATAACAATAAATTTATGTGAAACCCAATAGCCCGCCTTGTATCATTTCCAAATTTATTTTATTTCCGAAATTGTATTTTTAGAACTTAAAGAATTTACTCAATGAGAAAGACGATTTTGGCTGTACACCTCTACATTTTGCTTCTAAAGAAGGGCACTTGATGGCAATAGATGACCTGTTAGAAATGGGAGCCGCCATCAATCCTAAAAACAACCATCGAGAATCACCTTTTCATTTTGCGTCAAAGTATGTGGGGATTATTTTGATACATGTCATTGATTCGTTGCCATAAGACCGTTGTAATTTGTTTTTCGTTGATTCGTTATTCTCTATTTTATATTTTACCGGATTCAAATTAACTTTTCATATGAAAAGCTTTGTGGCGTGTGCCCTAAAGTCCTATGAATGTGTAGATTTTAACGAAAGAAAGATATGATTTTAATTAGACTGTTAAAATATCTTATCCTTAATATAACTTTGAATATCTGGACGTTCTCTCCAGATGTCTGAAACAGACAGTACATTCTTTTTTATTCCCACAGAATCAAAGCGTAATTGGTCTATATCATATTCATAATCATTGTACTCATTGAATTTCTTCCTCCATCTGTACTCCACTTTTATTATTCAGATACGGTCGTTTTAACACGTGTAAAAGATTGCTAGAAAGTGAACAAGGGCCAAATATACTGAACGAGACAGATGCTAAGGGTATGACAGGATTACATTTAGCAGCCATAAATGGTCATACGAAGATATTAACTTTATTAATGACAAAAGGTGCCGTTGTTAACCGGTAAAACTAAAGTTTCTTCAGTTGATTAATTTTTTTATTAATTTCTTTCTTCCACACTGATTCCCGTGAAATATCTGACCATGGGTCACGTTCAAAAGCTACCTGCTTTGCTTCTCCCCCATTATGAGATACGAGTGTTGTTTGAGTCAGGTTTCTTCATTAGGTCCTCACTGAATGTCCTTGCCTTCCTCTGATATTGTGGGCTTCAATCTAATTCTCGGCGGCATGTGATGTTTAAGTGGGGGCGTAATTGCAATCCATTGCCATTTGTTCTTTCCCAGCGTTACTGGTTTGTGATGCGCTCTGGCCATCTTATATACTGGATCTTTTTGGGATAACATAATTTACTTTTTTGTTTCCACGTAAATGATATGACATTTCCTATTGGTTCTTAAATCGTGTTGAAATTCAAACCTTCGCGAAAGGGGACTTACGATGATAAAAAGGCGGGAATTTAAGACTTTATCATAAATCGAGGTCAACTATAATAGATATCTATGAGCTTATGTCTTGAAAATATTGTTTATTTTTCAGGGATAATACAGATAATACACCATTACATTATGCTGCTTTGAATGGTTATACACAAAGTATTCGATTATTACTCAGTGTACATCGTAATCTCTTAGATAGTGTTAATATTGATAAGGTACTCCATTTTACTATATTTTTTTTTCATGAACTCCTTAAAGCAGTAACCATTTTCCATAGCTAAATATAAAAAACAAGGACTTAAAGGTGTTCTTGAGATAGCAATCTAATCCATTTTAAATACTAAACACGTACGTTGCTTTAATCTTGAGCTGGATGTTGTTGATAGAAACTACCTTAGAGGAAAACGAGAATCGAACAAAGAGTAATGGAAACTTTAGATGGTCATAACTCCCATTAGGGTTGCTCAATAAATAATTTGAATACTTGTTTTTAGCACGTCAACTTTCGTACTTTCGTATTTTGCCTTTTAGTCTGGAATATTGAGTGGTAACTTTGAACTTCATTCTTATTCCTATGGAATATAGGACCATGGATCATGGTTTATAACGCCTGGTAATTAGTGGTCTAAATGAAATACGTTGTCACTGCATATTACGTATCCTCAAATACGGGGTTCAAATCGGACGTTCAGCTTCATTTACTCTGATTTACTTTGGGTGTAACTCAAGGGCAATTGCAAATCGGGAGTCAATATTTCATTTCGTTTGTTTTGTTTTGTGATTTTCTATTCAATTTACAATGTAGTGTAAAAAATCAGAAATAATAAAAGAAACGAAATTGTATAATCCAATGTTAATTCGATTTTATGAACATAAGTCATCTTCATTTTGATTTTGTTAGGATACACCTTTACACCTTGCTGCTAAAGCTGGTCATACTAATGCTGTTCTTCTGCTGATGACATTAGGAGCCGCTTTTAACGTAAATATAGAAGACAAATCATTCATAGATTATGTCACTGAAGCAAAACTAACTGACGTAGCCTTGGGTGTCATAGGACACGACAGGTAAGTTGATAGATCTAGTCGTTAAGTTCGTTCTTTGATTCTACCCCCCACCAATACACACACACATGAAATACATAGGCAACCGTCGACTTTATGTCTGAGAACCCTACAAATTATGTCTGTAAGCCAGCTTTTAATTAAACATGCATTATGCAAGAGCTAAATCTGATTATTGCAAGTCTTAATTTAGGCTTCAGATGTTATAGAAATTATAAATTAGATCTTTATTTAAACAACAAGACCAAAATCAACTCTGTAGACCCACGGATGGCTTGGCTACAGCTCGGATTTAAATAGGATTTCACTAATTGATTAAATCAGATAAGGGGTAACCTGAAGAAAATACGTCAGTTAGATCGAGGCTAAATGATAGAGTGTACTTAGAGAGGCCGCTGTAAAGCGTTTCCGTATGCCATTGAAAACTTTACTTGATAATCGAGATATGTAGGTGGAGTTAACGACTGTCAATCAAACGATCGACGAAGGTGAAGACACATTTCGCTACCATTTCTAGGCAAATATTACAACGATGATAACTATGTTCAGAATAAAGTAATTTGACTGAATTTTTCAATATATTCTTCTTTCATCATCTACTTTTGAACTGTTATAGCAAGAATGGCCAACTCTCTATAAAAATCTCCCATAATGTATCTTTAACTGAATAAATGATTATTAGAATCTCTTGGATTTTATCTGTATATCACTGAACTCAAGCTTAGACTTAAAGATCGATAGTCGTTCGAGTGGGACGGAAAATCATCAAGCTGTTGGAATTCACTGAATAGGAGGTTTAAACGCCAATATGGGGGTAAGATTTTCCTCATAGCACACTGTAGAGCGCGTGCCCGTCGCCGTGGTGCAGTAAAGTAGGAGTTAACCCCCATTTCATTTTATTTCATAACTTTACTTTAAAATCATGTGAATACGTTCTCGATATGATTTAGTTTCTGAAACTTTGGATTCTTGGACATAACGTAGACCCCGAAATATTGGAATCATTAATTTTATCCGCTGTCGCAGATGCTTGTTGCCTAAACAACCCTGTCTGTGTCTCAAACATAATTGATCAGTACCGTGTATTTACCAGTGATTAAAAGGAGAACGTGTATATTTTATATTTATCAGTGATTAAAGGAGGTGTGTATATATTTATCAGTGTTTAAAGGAGGTGTGTGTATATTTATCAGTGATTAAAGGGGGCACATGTATATTTTCAGATGGCAGGAGGTATTAGAATGTTGTTCTGAACAATATGGTTGTCCAATGTTAGGTTTTGTGCAGCATTTACCAGAAGTCTGTATGGTAAGATTTAATCTCATAGATTAATATTAAAGATGCATTATGTAAAGCTAAATCTGCCAATTGCATGCCCTTTTCTGACTTAAAATAAATGCTATATACATTATTATTTAAACATTTATTATCATGTCAATCGCATAATCAACCACCTCCCACCCCCGTGCTTAGCTACAGAATTTTTTATCCTTTATCCACAGATGGTGGGATGGGCATTTAAAGCGCAAGATACTGATATAGACATATGTGATATCACAATTAATCCTTTGCATCAATGTAATTGAATCACAATGTGATTGTATTAATTCATAATAAAAATTGCCGTCAAACGGGGTGTTGGGTTTTTCTCATTAAATAGCTCAGTGTGTGTATATACGTGAAAAAGACGATAGAGATATTTATTTCCTAAAACTTTTCAAGTCCGCGAGGGATCGGGCGGGGTGCAAAGATACATTGTCTCAGGATCCCCCCCCCCCTGCAAAAAATTCCTGGATTCCGCCTCTGCTAGACTATTGGGTGGCTAATATATTAGGTGGATTAGACAGTGTCTGCCATCCTCCATATTAAAATGGAAAAATTGAGAATTTGTTTAATATCGTAGGAGCGATACTTGACAATCGTGGCTATCTTGTGAAAACAACAAACACCCATAACTTCGCTCAGTATAAAGAGTAATTTGACGTAAATTTTCAATATAACTTTACAATGTTTTATTTTTTATGCGCCCACATTTTCATGTGGACGTATAATGTCGTCGCCCCTGTCCGTCCGTCCGTCCACAAATTGTTTGTGGACACTCTACAGGTCACAATTCTTATCCAATTTTGACGAAACTAGAAATATAGGTTTATCTCTAAAAGATCCCTGTTCCTTTCCGTATTGGCATGTATCGGATCGAAACTTCATGAATTATGGCCCCTGATTGTAAGAAAAATCACGTTTTTAGCTTGTGGACACTCTCGAGGTCACAATTTCTATCTGATTTACATGAAACTTGAAATGTATGTTTATAGCCCAAAGATCTTGGTTCCTTTCGATATTCGTGCATAGCGTACCAAAACTTCCTGGATTGTGGCCCCTGATTGTACGAAAAATCGCGGTTTTAGCTTGTGGTCCCTCTAGAGGTCACAATTTTTATTCGATTCAAAAGACAGTTCTGATACCTATCACCGTTACGCCATAACGATGATTGAGTTCGAATTTCGTGAAAATCGGGCTGAAACTGACGGACAAAATGGCCGCTCCTTGTACGCAAATAGTGTTAAAGTATGAATTATCAAGGTTGTGGACCCGCTGGAGGTCACAATTGGAGGGCTGAAAAGCCAAATGATCCAAATACCGACTTTATCGTTTTGAGTAAATGAAGTTTAAAGTTTTAACTGTAAACTTCGTTTACTCAAAGCTAAACTATAAGACTGATGTTTTTTAAATCATAGGAAGGTTGATAGTATATAATAAAGTGTACTTTTGAAACAGATTTTTGATTTCATTCATTTAACGGTCATTTGACATCCACTTGGATCACTTTGACGTGATCAGGTTTTAATACATATGTTTTTATCCAATCAAGATCTATACAAATTAGTGTAGTAGGAAGTGAATCAGGTTGTCGAAATGGATTATTATTATATCATCTTTATATATGTCCGATTTGGTTTTTGATAGGTGCAAGACGGAGTATCAGACACTGTGAATGATCCAAGTAGACATGGATTAATCTTCCAGAAAGTCATAATACAATTTCGGTTTTAAAAATTATTTAAATCAGTAAAATGTTACTTTAAGTATTAACAAATTACATTTGACACGATAAAATATATTTCGGGGGGATACACACACGGGGACTAATTTAATTTACTTGACATTGTGACTTGGGTCACTTGGCTTTTAAGCCCTCCAATTTTTATCCGATTAAGATGAAATTTGAAATGTATGTTTATATCCCAAAGATCTTGGTTCTATTCGATATTCGCGCATATCGAACCACAACTTCCTGGATTGTGGCTCCTGACTGTACGAAAAATCGGGGTTTTAGCTTATGATCCCTCTAGAGGTCACATTTTTCCCGATTTAAAACACCCTTCAAATATATCACCGTTACACCAATATGATGATTGAGTTCGAATTACGTGAAAATCGGACCGAAATTGCTGGACAAAATGGCCGCTCCTTGTACGCAAATAGTGTTAAAGTATGTAATTTCAATTCTGTGGAACCTCTACAGGTCACAGATTCGATTTTGATGAAACTTAAATATTATGTTTATATCCCAAAGATCTTGCTTACTTTAGATAATTGCGCATATCGGACCGTAACTTCCTGGATTATGGCTCCTGATTATATGAAAAATCACGATTTTAGATTGTTGTCCCTCTAGATGTCACAATTTTTATCTAATTTTAAAAAACGTTGAAATATATCACCGTTACACCTTAATGACGGTTCGTGAAAATCGGACCAAAACTGCCTGGCGAAATGGCCGCTCCTTGTACGCAAATAGTGTAAAAGTTGAGGACCCTCAAGAAGTCACAATTTTTATCAGATTTTGATGAAACTTAAAATATATGTTTATGCCCCAAGGATCTCGGGTCCGTTCGTTATTCGCACATATCAGACCATAATTTCCTGGATTATGGCCTCTGATTGTACGAAACGAAAAATCGCGTTTTTAACTTGTGGACCCTCTAGAGGTCACAATTTTCATCCGATTTTAACAAAAAAATCGTTAATATATCGGCCTTAGACCATAATGATGGTTGAGTTCGAATTTAAATATCTGAACGAAACTGTCCGACAAAATGGCCGCTTCGTGTACGCAAATAGTGTAAAAGTGTGTAATACCAAGGTTGTGGCCCATCTAGAGGTCACAATTTCTATCCGATTTTGATGAAACTTAAAACATATGTTTATATGGTCCCTGATTATACGAAAAATTGCTTCTTTTTTAGCTTGTTCTTTGTCTATATCTTGCAAAAGTGTGGGCGTATCTTTCATGGCAACCGCTTGTCTTTATTACAGGCAGTTTTGGACAGGTGTCAAACATATTCAGAACATGATGGGAAAAGCAAAGAATTATTTGTAAGTGAATGGTTTTAATTGTCTAATGTTCATCTCAAACAACCCCTAACTTAGATTATCATGGTTTCATCTCTTTCAGATTCAGGTCCGCGGTTATTGTTTGATTCGGTCTAATGAAAGTTAAACTGTGTTTTCGTTTCCCTGTCTCATTTCAATATTGCTTATATTTACACTACCGTGCAGTCTGCTTCACTAGACCTCCAAACGGAACTAATTTTTTAATTAGTGCGGGTCCACAGTAAACCAAAAAAGGCAACAAATTAATAATGTGCTGGTATATTCTGCACTTGTGATAGTATATGCATCATTCTAAGTTTCGCTGGGGCTTTCCCATAGCTAACATGCTGTTTCAAGACTGCCAGTCTGTCTGAAACACCATAACTTTGATGCAAATTAAGTTTACATGCGAATATCTTGAAATAGGTCGATGATGGGCGATTTTTGCTTAGGCTAAACAGAGACGAATAATTTTGATTTGTTGATGATGATTTGGAACACATAACTCCGATTATAACTGAGCGAGAGTGATGAAACTTGATGTATAATATCATTATTACACCAATACCTTCAATAATGGGCATGTTCTGCTCAGGTTAAGCATAGTGATGTGCTATTTGGCTGTTCGATGCTTTCTAAATCGATAATGTGCTAGAATGTTATGAGTATCATCCTTTAATTTCAGATTGAGTACAATTTTAAATATTTGAGATGTGAAATGACCTATGCGTCTGACCAAACAAAAAATGTAGATTACAGACCTCTTAAACCGTTAAATGTATGTATTTTGTGTGTGTTTGGTTCTCTTAAATGAGTTAATTTGTTCAGCGTATGAAATTTAAATTTTTTACAAAACTTGTTCTCTGTTGTCAATTTCTTAACATTTGTATAATGCTGCCCAGAACTGCTCAGAAGACTCGTATGTCAAGTTTCTGCAGACAATATAAAGAAAGGATTGGTATTTTATGACATGTCAGGGTGCGGATAGTGAATAATAATTATCTGCCAAGTTGTTTAATTCTGAAAGAGGAGAGTAGGCGGAAACGCTACTGTTCGGTTCACTTATTATGAATTGCACGACACCTGTATTACAGATCGAGGACTGTAAAGTAGAAGCTTGTTACTGCTTGATGACTTGTGTTCCTGTTTATGTGCTGTTTTGTCTTCTTTCCTGTATACTTATATAATTGATTATTAACTATAGTCCGATCCTTAATATAAATCCGTCGGCTTTTCGGGTAGAAATCGTGGAACAAGCTTTTTTTTGTAGGTTTTGATGTTTGGTGACAGAAAAACGATGTTGACATATATTCCAACTTATATTTTGTTTTCAACTTATTTATAATGTTATCGACATATCAATTGTGATTTGGCACTGTATTAGTATTTACAGGGGTCAGGGCTATATTTCAGATTTTTTTCCATCACTCCATGGAGATATTTCCAAGATGGCTGCCATTTTTGGTGGGAAAATGAGACGATGTGAAGATTTTAATTAAGTAGTAGTGTTTGGTGTCAATGTATATGTTTTTGGGGTCGCAGATTCCATTTCTGGCATTTGTAACCTTGCAAAATGATCATATGTTCATATACTTAGCATATTTCCAAGATGGCAGTCATTTTTGGTGGTGGTGGGGAGTTGGGGCGATGTGCAGATTTTGATTAAGTAGTGGTGTTTGGTGTCAATATATATATATATATATGTTTACGAGGGCGCAGATTCCATTTCTGACATTTACAACCATGTAAAATGATCTCATTTTCACATATTTAGCATATTTCCAACATTGCTGCCACTTGTGGAGGGAAAATCGGACGATGTGTTGATTTTGAATAAGTAGTCGTCTCTGGTGTCAATATATATGTTTTCGGGCGCAGATTCGGTTTCAGCCATATACAGCTGTGTAAAATGATCGCATGTTCACCAATTTAACATATTTCCAAGATGTCGGAACGTTTTTTTAAACATATTATAATCATTTATTTACTTATCGGTGTTAATTACAGGTTTCTGAGTCCAATTCGAATATGTAGGCTATTAGCTTGTAGCAAATTCCTCACAGCCGGCACCGGGTCGTACCCATTTGGTATACTATCCAACGATGAACATTCCTCATCCGAGATGACCACGGAGATGATATCGATTTTCCTGGGAAGGAAAAGCCTATTCTCCTGGCATGAAGGCAAAGAGAGCGTAACGGCAGAGTGTGGACACGTGCCCATCATGCTCCTGCGACGACCACACCAAGCGCTTACTACGACTAGCGCGCTCCAGTCAAGATCTTACTAAGCTCATGACCAGGCTCTGGCTACGCGCACCGTGTTCCCACCATGCTCTCGTGGTTAGCCGTCAGGCAGGGATACGTTCTCACGACACTCCCGTGACTTGCCTACCAGGCGTAAGCCGCTCTCTCGCCACAAAAATATGGCCTATGGTCACCCCACCTCCATTCACTTTCAAACCAGAGAACAGCCAAAAGTCAAGAAATTAAGAACATTTGTTAGTTTTCTTGGTGTTTCCTCATTGGATGCTAGACTGGAGCTGTTGGACAAGGGCACAAGGATCAGTACCTTCCCTATAACTGGCCAAGCTGCGTGTGGAAGGAGTCGTTCCGAGGAATGTTGTTGCGTTGGAAAAACAAACTGGTTATATAGTTTATTTTTTGAACGCAACAGCATTCCTCTAATGCCCCTGTCAGACCGGGTTGGCGTCCTTACTGCGCTGCTGCGACCGTACGGCGACATGGAAATGCACAAAATCGCCGGCAAACGTGAACACAGTGCGAGAAAATGGCCCCCAAAATTATAAACTTGAACAAAAGGGTGTTCTCACAGCTTTCCGGGTCAGATCGCAGAACCTTGGCTTTTGATTTGAACATGCTCAAAACAAACGCCGTGACTCAGCGATCATTGGCGACCATGGAGACCACAGCACGATATCTGGCGTTTCCACAGCGCTTAGTACGATCTTGACGCGCTCTGAGACCATTTTCCGTCGCAGTAAGGACGCCACCCCGGTCTGACGGGAGTATAAACGACTCCTTCCACACGCAGCTTGGGTCACTGGATAATATAATCTATGCCAAGAAGGTTTCTTATAGCAAGTATTCCTATTTCATTTGCAGTCCTTGTTTTTTATTTCTTTGTATACCTCTTTATATTTAATATTAAACATTTATTTATTTACTTCCTTTTCAAAAGTTGTAAGTCTCGCATTTTTAACCATCGTTAATTTTGTATCTATAACTGACAGACGACATAAACTGAAAGTCTCGATTGCGCCACCAAGTCTTAAAATCAGACTGGAGTCCAATTACTACAACGCGATCCACCAAGTAAATGTGCTATTTTCCTGGAACATCGATAATAGCTCAGTGGACAACTTGGATGAGGAATTCTCATAGTTTTATAATATACCGAATGGGTAAACACGATACTGGCTTCCAGGAACATGCTACAAGCTTATATAAAATTATACATAGCAGAATTGGATTCAGAAACCGTTTCAGTAACGTGTTTAGAAAACGTCCAGCAACAAACGGCGGCCATCTTCGAAATGTGCTGAATGGGTGAACATACCACCATTTCACGCAGTTGTAAAGTGCAGAAATCGAATCTACGTCCCCCGAAAACATATTTTGACACAAAACACGACTACTTAATCAAAATCAGCACATCGTCCCATTTTCCCGCCACAAATTGCAGCCATATTAGAGATATGCTAAATGTGTGAACATGTGATCATTTTACACAGTTGTAACGGGCAGAAATGGAATCTGCGCCCCGAAAACATATATATTGACACCAAAGACGACTACTTAATCAATACGACTACTTAATCAAACTCAGCACATCGTCCAATTTTCCCGCCAAAAATGGCCGCCACCTTGGAAATGTGCAAAATAGGTGAACATGTGATCATTTTACACAGTTGTAACCGGTAGAAATAGAATCTGTGCCCCTCAGAAAAAATGTCAACATTGTTTTGTTTTTTTTCTCATCAAACATCAAACCCTTCAAAATAAAGCTTATTCCACGATTTCTACCCGAAAAGCCGACGGATGGGAATTATGTTACAAACCCAATCAGGCTATTAATTGTTATGTGCAGTACGGTCCTACTGTACTTGATGTTAAAACGTTATCTACTTAAGATAATATTTCTGGTTGTTTTTCAGACTATGGTGCAACATGGGAGAGTTGAGTGCCTCTCACATCCAGTCGTAGTCAACTATCTCAAGATGAAATGGTATGGAGTATATATTAATAGATATTTGTAATAAGATGCTACTATTTTGGGGCGAAGGGGTGGGAATCCATTGTGTCAAGTCGTATTCATTGCCATGTGGCAAAATGCTGGTTTTAAATTCATTTTCCGTTTTTCATGATTTTAGATTTATATTTTTATGGTTTACTCGGCATAGATTTACTTACCACCGTAACAAATTTTGTCGTTGTGTTGTGTTCTTGGGACTAAAAACGCTGCTGTTCCAATCACGCCAAGACATTTTTATAAACCCATCAAATCCTCGTGCATCAAACAGCCGACTTCAGCCTTCAGAACAACACTCCCTTTTAAATTTGATCTTACGCAATGTAGAAAATCGGAAACACAACGACAAAAAGAAACTACAAAATAGATGCCATGTGCGTGATCATTTAATATCAAAACAAGAACGCAATCAGTGGATTAGTTATTTTGAGAAACTACACGTAGGTTGTTATAATGGAATGTCTTTCTATTGTTACGTCAACGATTTTGTGTTTATGACAGCAACAGAGTATCCATTTTTATGTATTTGTCCTAATATATTATGTGTTATATTTACAGGAATAACTATGGAATGTGGTTTTATACTTTATATCTCTTGGTTTATGCTACATACCTGGCACTGCTTACTGCTTTTGTCGTCCAGAGTGATTCACTGAAACATCATGATAAAACCAATATTACTAATACAACTATGGAAATGTTACATGGCAATAAACTAGATGGTTATGAGGTACAGTTGATTATTTCAGACGCAGACTATATACTCTTGAGTAGAGCTATCTTCCCTTGTAGCGAGATTCGTAAGGGAGAACGGACGTGAACATGTGAAGTGTCTCGGGCTTCGAAACCTGGTCTCGGCCGAAATGAGGAAAGTGTGATGAAATTCAAAACCATGTTCATATGGGCGTGGACGTAAAGTAACCGTTGACAGTTTTTATAATCTGACGAAGATGGCGAAACTCCCTTGTCCTGGCAAATATATCCCTTACATTTTAAACATAATATACTGAATATAGCCTACAAATAATCGCATGTTAGTGTTAAAGTAAAGTAGGTGAAGGTGTCAACCCTATTCGATTCATGCACGCTATGGTAGTACAGTTAGGCATATTATAAGACAAAACCCTAGGTATATATTGACTATATTCTTCTCGGAATTAGAAAAAGTACATTGTCAAAGAGATATCTATCCCGCTTTTTTTTGGATAACTAAGAAGAGAATTTTATTTTTTGTATTCGTTATTCTATTTCAGAGACATCCAAAGTTTATGGCGTATAATGTGGTGATATCTGTGTACTGTGTTTTAAACATCATAAAAGAATTGTTTCAGATGATTACTCAGAAAAGGAAATACTTTGAAGACCCACAAAACTTCCTTGAGTGGACATTATACCTGTTAACACTCTTCTTCCTGGCCCCATTTCTACTTGGATATTCATTCCATTGGCAATGGGAGATAGGTACTCTAGCAGTCTTCACTGCTTGGTTTAATTGTCTTGTATTCCTTCAAAGGTTTGTTATTATATTGTTATTCAGTGTATAACTTTCAAAACTAATGGACCCGGTAGGGATGCTTTGCTGTATTAATCGCGCGAGTCATCTGCGTTTTATATCTGTGGTTTCAATTTCGCTGGAGTAGTAACGCGAATACCGTAAAAGTTTCGGCTCGCGATTGACGAATTGTGTATGGAAGTGGATTTGTACCGACAGGACTAAAGCATGAGATAAATTTGCCAGGACAGCGGCGCTACGTCCTACCCATAAGTTTTTACACCTGTTGAGCCTGCTTTCTTTGTGTTGTTGTTTGGGGTTTTTTTAGCGGGGGGGGGGGTAATTTCAGTTTTAATATACTGACATCTTTATAAATGACTTGTTTTTACTTTTACTAGATTTGACTTCTTTGGTATTTATGTGGTTATGTTCCTGGAAATTCTGAAAACATTGGTTCAAGTTATTTGCGTATTCTCCATCCTCATCATTGCATTTGGTCTCTCCTTCTATATTCTGCTTTCAAAGGAAGTAAGTAAAGTGGGACAATGTTTTGGATTTTATAGGTATAAGTTGATAAAAAGAGTTTTAAATATGTATTTTATTTTATAGGACATAAATTGATAAAAAAAAAGATAGTTTAAATATACAAATTAAAGGGACAATAACACTCTTGCTGGCTTGACAGCTCCAGAAAATAAAAAATAGCCTTATTCTAAGTAGTAGATGTGTTTGTGTCCTACCTGTTGTGTAAATTATCCATTAAATCCTATTTTACTTGTCCAAAGGGTTTAAAAATATTTTTAAATCCAAGTCACATTTGAAAAGCTTTACGTCAGGTTTTTCAAATCATTTAGTTGAATTTTTTCAAGTTTTTAAATTAGGTGTGTTAAGATGAAATTTGTGTCATCAATTAATTGGAATATTGTAAAATGGTACAATTTGTTGATCAGAATAAAGATTGGGACATATTATTCAGTTACAACAACTGAACAAGAGTGGTATTGAGCCTTTAAATTCCATGATAATGTAAACCCTTTTCGTACCTTCCTGAAACGAAATTTCCAATGCAAACTTATTATTTGACAAAGGGCCTATTATTTGATTACTGCAACACAAAGGCAAAAACGTTATCGGTCATTTATATTGCGAAATTATTTTGGCAAACATTTTCCAATCCCAATTTAATAGTCTCTTTGAATACTAACAGCTGCATATATGTGTTCTGTAGACATTTACATTTACTCATAACCTTAATCTCTATCTTTATTCTGATTAAGACAAAATTTACGTTTTGGGGAAATGGGGGAGGGGGGGGGGGTCTTAAACCACTTGCCACTATCCGTGAGAGCATGGTGAAGATAGGTTTTAACTTGTGGTCGATGCACGCAGCTAACATTTGATTAGCTTTGTCTAATTATCTATGTTGTACTTTTCATTGACTGTAATAAAAGAGACCAATGAATGACCTTGTTTTTATTTGGGTTTTTATAGCAATCGATGGCTTATTCTACACCAGGCTTATCATTGTTTAGAACTGTCATGATGATGTTTGAACTGGATTACATGGAATCATTTAATTCACCTTTCACAGACAGTTTGGGCTCAACTCTTCATTATGGTAGCCTGACATTCTTCATGTTGGCACTGTTTGTTCTATTAATGCCAATCCTGTTGATGAATTTGCTGGTAAGTATTTTCAGAAATGTATCCCTTTAGTCTGGAGGCTCAGTGCGCGGGGGTGTCCATAAAATGGGCACAAAACTTGTCTATAATATTTTTTTGCGTGGAATACGATGCCGAGTGGTAATCAGTCCGCCGTTGTGGCCCTTTCGAGATATTAGGGGTCAAAGGTCAAATGGGGTCATTTACACTGAAAATGAATACGCAGCCATTCTTGCATTATAAAAACATGCTGAAAATGATCGAAACTAATCACTCTTTCAATAAAAATGTGAACTTGCTAAATTGACCTTTGTTCTTTGTGACCCCGGAGGTGAAATTATCAAATTTTCCGTTTTTGCACTAGGAAGATTTAACACAATACACATCAGCGTAAAATATAAAATCTACAGAGAAACCTGTTCTAATTAATAAAAGGAACATTTGAAATTTATCTTTAGGGTGTCTAAGTCCTGCACGTACGGTACTAACACCCCCCTAAAGATAAATTTCAAATGTTCCTATTATTAATTAGAACTCTTTAGTTTTTATATTTCACGCTGCGTTAAATGATCCTTGTGAAAAAACTGAAAATTCGACCTTTTGACCGCCAGGGTCACAAAGGTGAATTATTACATTTTTATTGAAAGAGTGATTGGTTTCGATCATTTTCGGTGTAAATGACCTCATTCAAACTTTGACCCCGAATATCTCGAAAACGCCCAAATGGCGGACTGATTACGCAAACTTTTACTCTCGTAAAAAAGTAGGGTCTGATTTTGTGCCCATTTGATGGAGGACACCCCCCCCCACCCACTTCTCGCACTGGGGATCCGGTCTACTTATTTTGAGAAATCTGATATATATATTTAGAATTTGGAAGCGATAAAAGGGACGACGGCAGCACGGGGGTAGCAAGTGTGCCTGTTTTTTAACCTGAATATGACTCACGGTGATTACGCTTTTATCACAATAAGAGAAAGGATTCATTTTAGGTATCTCTAGCTTTAAAATTGCCCCATGAACTCCTACAAAATTCGAATATGTACCAGCTTGAATGTTTACGACGACCGAGACCCCCAGCTGGTGTGCTTTCTTGTTTGACCGATCTCGTCACTAACCCAACTGCCCCCCCCCCCCCACCTCCACACACCCATACACGCGCACATTATTTCAGGTGCTGGGCGAAAGTATAATTTGAATTAACTCTAAAATTTATATACATGTACCTTAATACTTTACAGATCGGTTTGGCGGTTGGCGATATAGAAGCTGTTCAAAGAAATGCACGCTTGAAGAGACTGGCTATGCAGGTAAATTTCCATTCAAACCCTCCAGTATCATAAAAAAAACATGCTTCCTTTTGGCTGGCATGACAAGCCATGGGGTATTTCTAAAAGTAAGATTTGAAAAAGAATCTCCGAGAAACATGCATCCCCTGAAAATCCACATGTATCTCAGTCCAGTAGATGTTAGTGCCTTTGAGAGATAAGTGAGGGTATTGTTGTTTGTGTTGTTTTGTGAATAAGGCTATAATATGACTCTATTTGTTTTGTTTCAAAGGTTGATATGCACAGTGATCTTGAAAGGAAGATGCCACAAAGATTGTTTGAACTGATTGATAAAACAAGTTACCGGATTTATCCTAATAAATGTAAAAGCCTACTAATTAATGTAAGTCCATTCATTGTACAACATGATATTATGCCTATAACCTCCTTGACAATTTTTATCCGATTTAAAAAACCGTTTCAGTATATTACCGTTACACCCTAGTGATGGTTGAGTTCGAATTTCGTGGAAATCGGACCAAAACTGTCGGACAATAATGGCCGCCCCTTGTACGCAAATAATGTAAATATATGATATATCAAGGTTGTGAACCCTGTAAGAGACCACAGTTTTGACGCGATTTTTATGAAACTTTAAATTCTTGTTTATATCTCAAAGATCTTTGTTCGTTTCGATAATCCGAACGTAACTTCCTGGATTATGGCCCCTGAGTGTTCGAAAAATTGCATTTTTAGCTTATGGAAAAATCACGATTTGAGCTTGTGGACTCTCTAGATGTCAAAATCTTTATCCGATTTTAATGAAACTTAAAATATATCTTTATATATTTAAATAGGTGTTCAAGTCCATTACGATTATAGTGTTTTTGGTTATAGTATATTATTGTTTTATTTCCTGTAGTTATGGTCTAAAGTAACCTGGTCAGGTGATAACGAGGGTAATGCATGCATGGATCCATTCTCAAAACAGAATACCTATATATATCAGGAACTCTTCAAACAAAAACAAAGGTAACCAATTTGATATTTTTATTGACGATAGGGGGTTACTATTTACGCGTAGGGGAAACAATTAATTAAATTCCATATCCAATTAAAAACATATATTTCAGTATGATCATGCGAGCTTAACGTCCGTGTACAGTTAAAGCGATATCGCAGATTCATTATGATCTTGGTTGTCCAGCTACCATTGACGGGAAAGTGATGAAACCGATGTTCTGTTTCAGATTTTGCGCCTAGGCCATTGGCGTCTTGACTAGAAAGTCAAACCGAGGTCCCGTGTACACATTGGCGTGTACGCAAAAGATCCATTGCAGTTCGAATTCGATATAAGAGTAGGCCGTAGTGCCGCAGTCCGGGCTAAATTTCTCTCATAGCACACGGTATGGCGTATGCCCGTCTTCATTAGCCCATTTCGGAGCAGACCAGTAAGACGTTAAACCCGATTTCATTTCATTTCATTACGGCTTGATGTGCACACTTGTAATTCGAAGAAACTAATGACGGAGACGACTCTGAATAGACAGATTTATCTCCCCTCATTGCACTCAAAATTCGAACAACTTGCGGTATGTCTCAGAATATCCCAGGTAACGTTTCAACAATGTTAAATCCCCTCCCTTGTCATTCTAGACAAAAGATTATTCTAGTAAAGGTACCAACCTTTTAAAGGTATTAAGCCTGGGAAAGTGACAATTTTGTATGAATAGATTTTCATCTTTTCAGGATAAAAGAAGTGAGCAGTACCATTGAAAAGAACAATAATTTGTTGAAACTGATTGTACAAAAGATGGACATCTACACAGAAGATGATGCCTGGGACGAGGGACTTTGTCCAGCTGACAGCTTATCCAGCATTATCCATCCCGGTAATAATATGAATAACGGTTGGCGCTCATCATCCAAATTCAATGTTGTGCGCCAATCAGCAGTGATCAGACAGTGGAAGAAAAAAATGGATAAATGAGCAAGGATTGGCCGTAGATGGAGTCAATTCTTTAACGACTTAAGGTTTATTGTTCATAACGTGCGAGAACTACTGTCATGGGGTGTTTATTACGAATTAATATCGACGGGGCCGGATTTACCAATAAGCATAGTAGGTTATTGGCCTAGGGCCAACTGATATCCGAAGGCCCATTGCGTATTTCATTAAATAATATATTCAAAACATAAGGGCCCCTGTACAATAATTTTGGGCCCACTGGTGAGTTTCTACTACGGCCCACAAATAGGTAAATCCTGTCCTGCTTATTCCATAATGATCTCTCGACCTCTAGGGAGCTATAGGATTTTCAAAGATTGTATCATTTAGGTTCTTAAATTTCCCACAACGGGCGACAACCAAATACACATTACGAACTATATTTCCCCGTGGTCCTGAAGACACCCAGATGCGTTGCTAATAGTGACAGCATATTCAAGATTGTTCATTTTTCGTGAAGTGTTGTGATTTTAGTTTTTTTATAAATCCTTTTTAAAAAATATAGCAATGTCAGATGTTTATAGTTATTTTTTTTTTTGCGATTGAAAATCTATGTACTTGATAATAACATTAATGTAAAAGTGAAATGTAGTTAGTAATAGACTATAACACAGAACGTTTACTACTTATATTTGCATTTGGTTGACATTTCTAAGGGTATCCTCTCGACGTTTTCAAGCAAGTACAGTAACAATTGGGTAGGGCAAAAGGATTATAACAAAGCGTAAGGCAATAGACGACTGTATACATTCATAATCTTTACCCAAAATATTCATGGCTTGATTTGATCATAGTCTTTTTCTTTAATTCAGTATTTACGTAAATCACTCTTGGAGTACAATTCTAAACAATGTAGGGTTTATTTTAGATATTAGGTAAAAAAAAAATACAAGTCCAGCGAACATATATTTCTGGATTAAAAAACAAAACAAAGGGTTTAAAAACTAACTACATTCATATCCTTGAGAATGCATGTATGCCATTAACGAATGGTGTCTTTTATAGTCTAAAGCTAGATTCGTTTGTATTTTGTTATATCTATTGGAACATCCATCATTTAAAAATTCGAATTCAAAAACAAAACACATTTAATTGAATTTTGCAATACTGTCTCATTCATGGGCTGTTTATTCGCCTACATGTTAATCAGATGTACATTGTCCTCATCCCTGTCCGGGCGTCGGTCTTTCTGCACATGGTTAAATTCTTATCCGACGTTGGTCATATTTTACAGAAATAGTTCGCAGAGGGTTCTCGAATTTGCAGTTTTCTCAAAAGATAATTTCAGAGTTATGGTCTCTGTTTACATGCATTCCCTGATTTTCATCATTTTTTTAAGAATCGTTAGTATTGGGTTAAAGATGGTCCTATCGATTTTTAGTAGGCCCAGAGTTATTAAAAATCCAAAACACGGAAAACATTATCGGACGAAGCTGTCGCGGTGCTGACAACAAAATTGCTGGCGTGAGTATGTTGCATTTTGATGGCAAACCATGTTTACTCAATTCAAACAATTCTACCAGACAATTCAGGAAGCCCATTCAGCAAAACATATGTGCACAAAATACTTTTGGTTACATAAATTACTACAGGCTGGATCCGCTTGAATATGTCCAGTGGACAATATCGAGGTTTTTTTTGGAAAGAGTAAGTGTACTTCGCCTTGTGGACAACACCCATCACAACTTGTAGCTGATTTTATTTTTAATAATGCGACTTTTTAATTATAGCGCGTCTAAAATAGAAGTCTGCTGTTTGACAAACATTCCTTTCTTGGTAAACAATCCAATTTGGCATGGTTCCTAATAGTGTAACTGAGAACTCGGTAAGCGTTCAATTCGCCAGGGCTACTGGATAGGGTTACTCAGAACTGCGTTATATCGCCATTCAATATAGATGAATGTAATTCATATTAGGTCCGATGTCACACATACGATGTGCCGTTACCCAGAAAGTGCCCCGTGAAATCTCTAAGATTTCAATTTTATTAACCTCATAAGTTCTCACATTGAACTGTTTTAGTCATTCCTTTTATCATGAATTTTATGAACATTTACTGTTTTTGATTTTATACATTTTATTGAAGATAATATATTTGTTATTTGTTGTGTATATCATTTTAACTTTTTGTCAAATAAAAGAATCTCAAAAATGTAATTATATTTTTTTTATTAAAATTTAATAATTAAAATAAAAGCACATCGCATGAAATAACCGAATTTTTACGAAAAACAAGCATCTTAGCGCTTTGGTGCGCAGGGGGCTATAATTGTCGTATTACCTGATGATCGAGAGTAAATACCCTATAAAGAGAAAAATAAACTGATCTGGAGTGTGGAAGCGGTCGTAAAATACAACTAACTCGCACAGTTCTGGAGTGATCAAAAACGGAAGTTAACGACAATCCCCATGTGGTAGGACGTTTACTTTTAATATCTTCAGCATTACTAAAGATAACTGTGTAGTTCTGGAGGAAACTGCTTTGCGAAGAACAAGGCGCTTTTTTTTTGTTTCGAAGAACAAGACACCTTTTTTTGTTTTAATGAACATTATTGTTTCTTCAGCTCGGTATACAAAGGCCGCGACAATACGTTTTCCGAAGAACACATAAACAAAAGTTTTGCCTATTCCCATCACTTCAAATTAAAAGTAGTTAAAGGATTTCGTCGCTTTTCCATTTAAGAGTTTTGACAGTGTTCGGTTCTGGTAGGAAGAGCAGGGATTTCGTTTTTAAAGATAATTCCATGAAATGGATGTGATTTCTTTCCGGTGTTCTGTGGTATCGATGTCTGACTCGTGGACTATTTAAAGAGCACGTACTGCCATCTATACTGCCGAGGTCACTCTGTGAGCTATATATCTCGTGTAAACAACGTAACTGTAATATGGTTGTTCTTAAACTGATAAACTGTTTTAAAAGTGATTTGTCCTGTTCCTTCATTATTGCCTATAAAAAAAGAAAAACATATGAAATGTTAACACAAAGATCTGGCACTATAATTCTTTTTTGCGGAAACGAAAGCACACTTATAACAAAAAACATGAAATTAAAGTTAACCATCGCTTCGATGTTATTAACCATAAGTTCGACCCCATGTGTTTCAGTCGTTGTGTAGGTTCTACTTAATTTTACAAGACAAAAGACTAACGTTTCTTTACTATTCTTGGTGGGAGGAGCGGGGGTTAACCACATCCTCCCCCCCCCCCTCCAGAGAATTTTGGAAAATAGGTTTTGCGTCTAAGGAGAGGAAATTTGCGGCTGAACTGTTTTTGCGATATTGGCGTATTATGATATTTTGATATGAACATTATAAAAATTTGAAGGAACGAATACTACTTTCGCGTACCTATAATAATTTATTCGAAAAACGAAAAGTTCGGAATCGGGTTAGAGTGCAACTTGTTTGAATTTTGAAGATTATCACGCCTGGTGCGGGCTTGAATCAATCTCACTCGGAATTATGGATTATGGGCACCCCTCCGGGATAAGGTACCGTACAGATCACCCCGTTTTGAGCGCCCCGACAATCAAGTTGTGGTGTTATTCGTGTGATTCATTATGAAGTGCCTCACCAGTGTGTGTGTGTGGGGGGGGGGGCTCATATATAACGGCATGATTAGCGAGGCGCCCGTAAGACCAAGTGACCATCACTCCCACCGGCTAGCTACGTTCCTATCACATTTTACAAAAAAGAAACAATACAGACAAAATTAAAAAAAAAATACTATATGACTTGCAGTTTGATTAAATGAGCAACACATTTTGCATGTTGCCATAGTAATCTCTGAAGTTGACAAATTTATAGACAAAATAACAAATCCAAACGTTCATACTGTAGAAGTTGAACATAAAAAGCCTGTCGGGCCAAATTAACTAAGGGCAAACACCGATAAAATTGATTTAGTCAAAATTAACATTCCTGTACGTATTTGCACGAATCGTAGCTTTAAAACGTATACCTGACATTACATCCTCGCCGAGGACTATATTGGGTTTTAAAAAAAAAAAAATATATATCTTCTAAGAATTTGTATTACGTTACAACGATACATCGTTGAAGTATTTAGTCTACAAGTGTCTGTCAACAAGACAATAAGATCAAGTGTAGCCATGTTGTTTACAAAAGAGGTGTGAGACAATACGGTCATGCAAGAATTGATTTTGGCAGCCATTGTTTTTATCGGAATATGTTGAGTTAGATCGCTGTGAAGTTGTTTGTTTGTAAGACCGGGCCAACTTCTAAAGGCAGTGGGGATTAGTATTGTGAATAAACTAAAATAGTTATCAACGGTTCCTGGTACGGGCAACGCTAGGCCATCATATTGAAAATAAAAGAAATCCAAATTCTTCGTCCACATGTACTGATAAAGTGCATAATATGTCCCGGCGACGGTAAAACATGTTGATGGTTAATTTTAAGAGTTGTGTCCACAAAATGTTAAGCACATTGACCACCTTAGTCGGTAAAGAGAGAAATGGGGTTTAACGTCCACTCAACACAAACTAGGTCATTTCGGGACTAACATATGGTTTAATTTTATTTCAATAATTCGCTTGCCCATAGGGGTCTTTAGCAGTGGGAGGAAACCGGAGGACCTGGAGAAAACCCACGAGGTTGGACAGGCGACCCTACTCCTTGTCACGTTCAACAGGGGATTCGAAACCACGCCAGTCGACTCAATGACAGACTTTATGATACAGCGCGCGCACACTAACCATTCAGCCATCCAACCCCCTGGTAAAATAGAGATGTTCGATTTGATTTGAATGGGTTATGTAATTACATTACAAATTGTATGAATTTTTTCACTTAATCGGCTTGTCTGTTGGTGTATTTCGCAAAAAGATTCGTTCCAATTTCCCACAGTAAGACAATTAATTTTGCAATGGAATCGGCGAAAACATCTAAGATGAATACGAGGAACACGCTCCTAACAATGGAGACTTTCACCGAAGGACTAGGAATATATATACACAATATTACTTACAAGCTGTTGTTTTACCCATTCAAAAGCTGCTCTCAAATCTTTCTCTCTGGATTCCCTAGATTCTGTAGTTTCGGGAACATTGACCAATCCGTTCATGACATCATTAGTAACAAGTCTTCTATAATAGCGTTCTGGTAATTGAGAAAAATCATGTTGGAATATCAAGGATTCCAGTGGAGAGTCTGGGGGTGTAGATTCTTCGTCTGAAGATGAATATGGGGTTATCATGACACTTTCGTCTAAAGCTATTAATCTTCCAACTACTAAATTGCGCTTTTGTAACAACAACAACAAGTGCCGGGTATCACAGTGTTTTGAAAGAAGTTACCATTGCGAAATAGGAGACATCAACACAGTGTGCTAAATCTGTTACAGCCGTTTTCATATAATTACAAAATATCCCTCATTATATTTAATTTACTCAGGTTTCGTTACCCGCTTGTCACAATCGCTATAAAATTGGAAATTACGTCTTCTTATCGCTCCGAGTCACTTCTGTCGCTGACAAGGAAGGGAGTCTCTATCTGCCAGTCCGCCAAGATACAGTTTAATCAAACAAATTCTCTTTCGTCCAGACCACTTGGCAATATTAGCTATTTTGATTGACCTGCTATGAACTTCTCGGTGGGTGAAGGTATTTACTTGTAAAGAAAGAATTTGATGGATAAATTGTTTTTGTGTGGAATGTGTTATTTTGTGACGCTAATCTGGTGTTAGGGATAACAAAAAAGGCGAATTATGCGCAAACAATAGTCGTTGCATTTGTAAATATTTCTTTGGGTCAGGTCGATGTAGACAAAATTTACTTTTAAAAATAAAAAAGGGAAAAGGAGGGGCAAATTAGCGTGCTGTTAATTTAACGCGAAATTCCTAGCATATGTTAAATGGTATCTTCTCTGTGCGTCAACACAAAACATTAACCACTACCCGTGTCGCGATTTCAGACATATACCCAGTTTGTCTTGGCTCCTTGTGATCTTTTCCCCGTTTGGTTTCCCCCTGCCAGTGTATGGGCAGAACGGGGACCTGACAAGGAACAGCGTCTAATCGTTCGGGTGGGACGAAAAAAAACGAAGTCTTGTGTACACATTTGCGTACACGTAAAAATAAATTCTCTATACAGAACACAGCATGGCGTATGTCCGTCTTCTTTAGGCCGGTTGGAGCAGAACAGAGGGGCGTTAATCTCCATTCCTTTCATATGGAACTCGGATGGGGCAAAAAAAAATGAGGTCCCCTGTACACCATGGCGCGCACCTTAACAGGTGGAATTCAATTACTGTCTGGGCATTATTTCCTTCATTGCACACTGCATGGCGTATGCCCGTCTTCATTAGCCCGGTTGATTCTCCGTTTTCATACGGAGCCTATTTCATATCAGTCGATAACGGATTTATCATGATGTTCCACTTTTTGTTCGGGACAACAGACTGATTCAAGAGATCGACTACAAAATAAGCTATCAAATTTTTAAGACAAAACATCAGACATAAATACTGCTACTTTATTTGAAAGTCCGTATTAGGTAGATTATTATAGTTAATAAATTATCCAATAGGGTCTGATATTTGACAAGTACCGTTAGTTTTAGACAAAGTATAGCCCTTTTTACACGTCTTACAAGCATTTCTGTCCGTACATGAGACACATCCATTACCACACCCTGTAAGAAAAAGAATATTAGATAAACCTTAGGAGTTTTAAACCATGCAGAGTTACAGGTTTCCTAAAATTTTCACGGCTAATGTTTATAAAAGTATTTTGAAGTGCATATCGTACAGGATTTTTCAGGTTTTTGATCAATATTATAGGAATATGGATACAAGCTAAGCAACACTTATATTTTACTGAATACATAAGATTCCTCGGGAGAATGTCGCTGACGTATTATCAGGAAAAAACATCAAGCAGCCATTTTATATTCCAGCAATAAATATCCTAATTGCAGTGTATATGCAATGTAATATAACCAGAATAAACATCTGGACAAATTTCTCAATTTTGGATATAAATTGAGAACTTTAGCCCAGAACTAGCAATTCTCTTTGAGATTAAATTAAAGGCGCAGTGACTCATACTAATGTGTAAAGAATTTGATAAGCATTGAGTATATTAAATCTTCGTTGTATGTAATTTTGGAGCCGTAAAAAAAACACACACTGAACCTCCTAGTTGGGATTAAAATACATGCATGTAGTGTGTATTGATTTGGGTCATTACGGACACAATAAATTGTCCGAACAGTCTGATTGCTGATCCAATTGGAGTTAAATTCTCTAGTAAAGGATACACTGCATAACCGAACTTATCTTGATCCTTTAAAATGACTAAATAGTTTCCCAAATTAATCAACAGATTATATACACGTTTTTGACTTTAGCACAAAACGATTTGTGAAACTCAACGGATATACGGATATATACGGAGACTTACATTCACAGACTGTTAAGTCACCGGCTGCTCGACTGTAGAAACTATCAGCACATGTTTTGCCGGCAACACATGTATAACGAGGTTCATTTCTGAAATAGAGAATTCCATATCCCCCCTTTAGACAAATCATTTACAAACGACGGCCAATGCTTGAAGTTTTAAGGAGTTTCCAAATAGTACAACAAATGCTCGTTCAAATTTTTTAGTCAGTTTTTGTTTTTTGATAATTTAGGTGAGTCTGTGGTTATTTTGAACAAGGTATGTATTCAAAACCATTTACATTTATTTATTGCTGGGAGATAATTGTCTCTTTAACGAAGCTCTGTATATGGAGATCTAAGATTATATTAAATACCATATTGTTCAGAATTACTTCAGCGTGAAAGCGATGTTTCCGAATGCTACGATCGAAATCGTGGTTTTAAACGTGTAGTAATCGTGGTGATCCTATCAGGTCTTATCATATATTGAGGTCAGTCGTAGCAATCGTGTTGACCGTATTGAAACGTATTGAATTGTATCTGCACGTAGCAGACCATGGACTCAATAGGGACAATCCGATCTTCACGCATCGCGTGACAGTGAGAACCTGGCATAAGATAGATCATATGTTCAACCAAAAATGGAGAGGGCGCTAAATAATGGATTTAGTTTCCTCCCCACCTACCAACCATTATTTTGTAAGTCAGTTATAGGGCGTATCACTGCATCCACCAAATATTGGATTGACACCACTTACATATCAACACTACTTCTGATCTGAAGGCCCTGATAATCGTATGAACTGGATGTACTAGTTTTGGTACTAAAATACGAGGGATTGAAGGTGACGGTAAAACCAGGATTACACAGTTGACATCCTAGACACCCAGCTCCACTTATAGCATATACGTCATAGGTGCAGTTTGGTGGTTGAACTGGACATAATACTGCAATAAATTAGTACATGGATTTATTATCGGTTTGGCTTAATTAAATATGTTAACAGACTGTTTCAGACTTTTACTACCGACTTTCATTTTGTAATACGTTTGATCCTCACCGGTCTACAGTGACGGTTTAAGCAGAGTAGGCTTGTGTCTTGGCCGGCGTGACTGGGATCCCATGGACGAGACATATCTTCCTAAATTTGTATTTATAAAACGATCCCCCAGACGACAACATGTATGTACCCAGCATGTTGTGCATAAACCCGCAATATTTTCCCACGTTCTAATTCTTCAGTGGTCATTAATTCAACAAAATATATAACATTCATTTATTATACACGGGTTATTATTGGGGGTGGGGGCGTTTAAAGCATAACCGGGACAGTTTCCAACAATATAAATCCTATATACGTCCACGAATATTTTAATCCATTGTACACAATGGCGTGCAAGTGAATGAACCCTTGACGGTTGGAATTCGGTATAATAGTTGGTCGTAGTGCCGCTGTCCAGACAAAATTTCCCTCATAGAACACTTCATGCTGTATGCCTGTCTTCATTACCTCATTCCATACTGCTTAAGCGTTCGTGCATACTGGGGTAACTGATGTTCACCACACGAGCAATACTATCAATCTGGCTTTTCCCACACCCGCAACTCGAAAGTTACATGCTTACCATTTGAATGTTCGCAAGTTGATCTTTCAATTCCTAAAACTGTTGATGTTGACACTCGTCTGTATCCTCCAAAACAAGAATCACACATATCGTAACGCGTACATCTACTGCAGCCCTCGCCACACCCTATTTCAAAGACAAATGTTAGTTAGATATAGCCTAGATATAGATTTCGTTATGTTTTGATTTGTTTGGGCCAGAAAGAGTTATTGCCCTGATCACCGAAACGTTATACACGTTCTGTCAACGAAGCCTTTCAAGCGTTTTATTGTTTCGAAACTTCTCAGTTCGTTATGGCGTTGGCTGACATCGGTATGTTCACATTATTTTGTAAGTGTTATAGTTCTGAAAAACTGTAATGTGAATAACAGAGTTAAAGACTTACAAGCACAGTAATTGGAAGAACTTGATGAGCCTTGAAAAAAACCTGGTAAACACTTATCACCAGGTGTACAAATCCATTCTGGTTCCTCTCTATAAACACAAAACATGAAGTAGTACTAGTGTAACAATCCCTGCTAAATTTTAAAACTGTTCCCATAAATGCCAAAAGGGTTGGATTAACCTGGTAGGGACACTGGGGCCTTGAACTTGTGGGAACCCCATGACATTCCGCATGTAATGGTGCAACCCGTTTCTTACTGATGAATGAAAAAATCATGGAGTGGGTCGTAACTCACAAGATCAAGTCTCACTGCATTTTATGCAACTGATATTTTTTGTGTCCGTGGGCCTCCCAGTGCGGAGGGCCCTGGGATCCGTGTCCCAATAGATCCCATTGTCGATCGGGTACTGAATGCCAGTAGAAACATCTATGTAAACCTTGCACGTGTAATTTTTTTGTCGCTCGCTGTCATTCCAAATTTGAATTCGTATTTTAGATGTTATCCATGCAATGAACCTCCTATAAGTGCTATATAACTATTCATTCGACACATAGAACTGTATTTAATCTATAGACACGGTTAATCGCAGCTGGTGTGGGAAAATACTGTTTGTGTTCAAAAGTACTAATAATGTTGACAGATATTTGGTGAAAGAGTTGTACTTACATGTTAACGCTAGCCTGTATTTGAATGCCATTATAATCTTTAGAACCAGTTAAAACAGGGGAATTGTTATAGTATTTCTGGTTAGAGGTTTGCATAAAGCCTGGTTTACAGCCCTCTTGACATCCTATACAACCTAACCCCGGTATGACATGTAGATTATATGTGTCTGTCAAACAATTCTCAGCAGGCTTCGGGCATTTTACATCTTTAAAAAAATGGTTAGAATATGCGCTTTTACAGAAAATATTAATTGAACAAGAAAACAAATATAAAGAATATATAAATGATAGCAAAAATTCCAGTGTCCGAGTCCAGAATGACCACCTTAGTTCGAATAAAGTATCATAGTTAAAGGAACTAAACCTGTAACTCAATATTTTCCATAATATTCGAAATTAAAATCACAAATTAGAATATCAATATTGGCCCATTTCAATCAATGTTGATGTTATGTTGCCGTATATACGTTCACATTACATTAATATGCGCCTTTTTATGAGAAAAGTGTCACGGTCGTGTGCTTTGTCCTTTATCATCAGATGGTGAGATGGGATGGACATTCAAAGCGCGAGATAATGATATAGATATACGTGATATCACAATTAATGCTTTGCATCAATGAAATTGAATCACAATGTGATCCTATTAATTCATAATAAAAATTGACGTCACAGATGGTCTTGGATTTCTCTCTTTAAAAAGCTTAGTGTGTATGTATGCCTACGTAATTTGAAGGCGATGATGCATCATGCATTGTCAACTGTCAAATTTCCTTAACAGGAACATGGCAAACCCCACCTGCAATAATTCCCGATAGTTCATATACATCTCAAAATTCAATATGTACTATAAGTAAAGACTTGTTTAAATATATAATTAAGCACAGCCGAGTATTAAAATATCCTTTACCGACAATGGGTCGTAATTATTATTAGTGAAGATGGTGATTCAATTTCAATAGCAACCAACGTAAACTTTAAATGGCCATTTAAGTTTAGAACTGATCGTCTGGAATAATACGTACGTACTACATTAAAAAAAATCCTTGAATGTATCCGGGTTAAATCTATTTGTTAAAGCCAGCTCAATTATCGTCAAGATCGCTGAGATATAAATAAGGTTAGACAACGTGATTGTTGGCGAGATTGTAGGTTGGGGTTAGGGTAAGCATTAGGGCTAGGTTCGGGGTGAGGGTTAGGGTTGGGATTAGCACTATCCCTGTTTACATCTCGTAACCTTTGGCCAAACTTGAAGATAGCCTTATCAAATAGATTTAATCTCAAATCAGACAATACTCATACACAGGACACAATTCTATGGAATACAATTACTGTTTATTAATCAGCGACTGTTCGACTTGTCTTCTCTAGTCTTTCTCTCAGTAATAAACAATAATTGTAATCCATATAATTGTATCCTTTGTATTGAATAATTAAATGTCATTGAAACAATTTAATATAATACTCGCACAAATTTAGTGATCAAATTAATATTCTTACCGACCGCAGCAATAAGTTGTCCCCCAAATAAATCGTAAATGATCCATATTAACAAGAAGTACATTGTTCTAAAATTGTATGTCACTCTATTCGTATAATGTCGCATGACAAAAACAATGAACTTGTGGGAACAGATAAAGAAGTGCCGTCTGTTAGATCCTGTTACAATACGGACTAATTGTACGTACATGTCATCGAGTTTCGATAAATATATATTTATACGCAATATTTTTTTTATTATGATGCAGTCCACCTGCGTTAATTCTTTAAACACCTACGTGTTTATGGGCATATTAGTTCTCTTAGGAACGGTCTTTGATCGGACGGCTGACATCGTCTGATCAGAGACCGTTCATAAAGGAACTATGGTCATGTATACGTATTTTTGTTATTGTTCACTGTGTGAACTGTATGAACAAAAGTCCAGCTGTATCGCTATTCGATAGACATTCTTCTGTATCTAAAAAAATCTATACATGGCAGAAACTAAATTCACTGGACCTGGATTGTATATACTGTGAAGATTCACTTATGTACAGCAACCGCGGAGTCTCGGGGTGTAGCACCAAGCTCTTCGGACGAGATTAGCCAAGATTTGAACAACAACTTGTTAACCAAATTACTATTTATTTGTATAAGTAACCGACTTCTAACCTCAGGAGTCTTGGTTACATACAGTGGTACGATTTTGTAGAACATCAATACATGTATCTGTACAAGTGCACTTTTCGTGTATTTTCTGGAATCTTCGTTGTTGATTTAAAGAAGACAGGACTCTTGTTGATTGTTAATATTTCTCTATATTCTTTTGGTAAACAGTAATCAACATAAATCACAGCAGACAATTAATATAACAATTATTGGTACAATGCTTAATAGTAAATAAGCTCCAATGTGGATATGGGAATTGACATAAACTTATGTCTCCAAATCCCAAATACAGGTAAATAAGGTCTGTCCTTAGGTATGTGATCTAAGTTGATCTCGCAAGACACGTGTGTAGCAAGCTTCCCCCAAATTCTGTCATTCGGGTCTATATATCCCCATACATCGCCTAGGGCATTAATCCTATAAATCTATCGTCTATACAAACAATATACCCTGGTAACTAAACGTTAATTATAATTTATAAGCTCAATTTAAAGTTTAAAACAAAGAATACTGGAGACAGGTGATTAATGAAATATATAAGACAATATGAAGTAGATATATATGGGGGTTAATTAAGGTGGATTAAGATCCATTAAAATATGATTTACTGACTTAAGTGATACTGTGCGGATTAGCACGACGTATTAAACATTTACTATTGAGTCCAAATTGTTCTCACTTTGCCAGCAGCTATTGTTTTCCAGGTAAAATCATTGGACCAGTACTAATTAGGGTAACAATGGTGTTAAAACTATAGTCTTTTTCATATCAATATTAACCACTTTACATAAAAGTTATTTTATTAACAAATTTAGCATGTACATATATATTTTTCATATCAATATTAACTACTTTACATACAAGTTATTTTATTAACAAATTTAGTATTGTACATGTATATTTAAAATCCGACTTAATGTGATATCGAATTTCCATATTCATATAAAGTCGTCAAACCAGTTCATAATCTCTGTTTTTCATCATGTATTCTTCTGTTTAATTCTATGTATTTTCTTTTCTTTGGACTGAAACGCCTCCATTTCCATATTGTAAAATTTGTATCTCTGTGTAACCCTGTTCTGGCGTAGTTCTATGAATCTAAAAATATTCGGGTGGTTTGACGATACTTTCTTTAACTTTGAATGCCAACTTTCAACATATTTTTTGGTTGTTCTTGCACCTTCAGTGTAGAAATGGTTCCATAAACTTATATCTGCACCTTCGACCCTTTGACATATGAATGAAAAATCAGACAGTGATTTATAGTTCATACATGTCATAGGTTAAATTGAACTGTTTCGTGCAATAATTAAAACAGAGTATAACTCACTAATCTATAACTAATCCCTTATCCGCTTAATTAGTAGGGTTAATCTGCTGGGAAAGTGAGAACAAACCTCCAAATTCACCCTACATATCTATCAAGCATTAAATAGCGGACGTTCAGTCCGACCCAGATCGCCATGATAAAGGTGGCACGGACTGGCAGTGGCACTATATAAGGCACTAAATGAATGTACATTCAACAACTAGGTAAAATTACAATAGAAACCTACACCAAAGTGGGAAGAACAAAATGGCAGTGCAAAAATACAGACAATGATATAAACAATACATAAATATGTATTATGATAAACAATTATCATATTAATGGGAATCTATTACACAGTGTGGTTTGATTTATATTGATGTACAAAACATATAAATTAGGATATTGAACATTTTAATCAACAGGTGATAAAAGGCACAGTTGTCTTGCTGGACACTTCATATGCATCTGTGGCCATTTCAGAAGGAAATATATCCTTTTTAATGTATAGGCTCTCTCCTATGCTCTCTCCTGGGTCTCTCCGGTATAGGCTCCGCATGAGCAGGGTGTGTGTGTGTGTGGGGGGGGGGGGTCCCCACCTCACCCTTGGACACGCGCCTGTATGTAATATAATATTAGGCCTACCGCTGATCTATTTTTATTCAGAAAAGTTCAAAAGTACATCCACCAACACTACCGTCCACGAAATTTGCGAGTCCTATTTATATTCATGCACTAATGTAGATTTTGTAAAACAAAAAGAAGATAAAATTAATAAAGATGAGTGCACAAACGTCGAAAGTCGCTCAGTCGTGTGGAGGCAGACCACCATTAAATTTCATCTCGGTACCCGTCTATTTATAGCAATTCTCTCTCTCTCTCTTTTCTCCCCTTTTGCGTGCCCATTTTTGTTGATTTTTTGGTCTAGAATGGACGAAGAGGATTTGAATTAACATTTTCTGCCAGGTTTTGGTAAATATTCATGATTTTGAGGCGGAAGGATAAGAGGGTTATCAGGTTAGCTACGGCGATGTGTACGGCAACTAGTTATATGTTTTTAGTATGCTTCTTCAAGTTTGTGTATCTCAAAATTTTGGTGGTCAACCTCATACAAATTTTAGTGCAAAGACATGACCATTTGTTCCTCTGTCTGTAGTGAAAAGCATTCAGCCCAACGAAAATTTGGGGAAAAGTTGGAGGTGGGCAAAGAGGCCAGAATTAACATTGAAGTCAATGGGGAAATTAATGGTGGTCTGCCTCCGTGTGATCCGAGTCTTTTTTTTTTTTTTACCTCCCCTTAGTAGTTCTCTTTAAAGGAAGTGCTAAACCGTGTACATTTCCGTTTCAGAAATTTTACCACATTGATCGTAATAAATTCTGTAAAATGTATATTTTCTCTTGTGACAGTAAGTATTTTACAAAGGTAACGCATTGATTATGTGGAAACATATCTTACCTTGAACTGTGTGATGACTAGAAATGATAACACTATTAACACATTCGATAGACAAACGTTTTTATAAAAATCTTCGTATCCTATGTATGTATAGTATGTACATAACATATGTGATTGTGAAGATTACCTCAAGTTCTGTGCTTTATACATCTTGCACTGCAATACTTGTTGATACACGAAAACACACAATATAATATCGAAATTCAGAAATTGTGCATAGTTATATTGTATAATTTTGATTAATTTATGCATATGTTTGTTATTAGAAGTACATTGTCACATTGTCGCTTTGTCTTGTAGTTGTACCCTGAATAAAATGTAATTCCTAAACCATGCCGGATAATAGTAATGGAGACTGACTGGATTATAATTGATTGATCAGATTTAAGAATTGAATAGTGTATTTTGCTAATATATAAATTAACATAAACATGTACGTAAGTCACCGGACTCTGTTTTGGACTCTGAAGAATACTTAAAAGACTTGAAAATTTATGTGATATACAGTAACAGCTGTGTTTTTTTTTTGTTTTATGTGAGTCTGATCTTTTAGTTATTTAATTGATCGGCGATTGTTGAGACTGCTAATAAAAGATTAACACTGCTAGTTCTGTTTTGTTTTGTTTAATCAGTGACTATTGAACTGGGCAATAAAATATTGTTGAAAGTTTATGTATATTTAGTAATACTTCGTTGTTTTTCTTTGATCAAATTGAAATAGTAAACAAGCTTGATTGACCGATCACTGCTAATGTTTTTACGTGAAAGGGAATAATTGCAATCAACACATGATTGGTACTGCTATCTATGACAAGCTTGTCCAGGAACGCATGTCAACGTGCAGCTTGCAGATTATCGTTACAATTTTCTAGGGTCTTGTAAAAACAGTGCATGTCGTGTAAATATTTTCTTTTGTTTTTGTGTAGGTCATTTTGAAATAAATTCATCAGCATATTATTCTTTTTAAAAAAATATATATTACTTTTACAGGAAGTGATAATTACGCAAGAGCTAAATCTGCCTATTGCAAGGTCTTTCTTTAGGCCTTAAATGTTTTATAAGCTATTAATTTGACATTAACTAACATGACAAGACCATAATCAACTGTAGATGCCATCTGATGCATAGGATTTTAAACAGATTTGTATTTGATCTGCGATTCAAAGGCTGTTCGTGATTTACCGCAAAAATGGATAATCAAGACTTTGTTTATTATTGTAAGAACGGTAACAATGACAGTCGAGGCTACAATGTTTTTGACATTCAGTTTTCTCGGCTCAAAGTGAAGTAATTTGACTCTGAAATTTTCAGCATGTTCTCTTTACGTTACCTATTTTTTTTAAACTATTATAGCAAGAACTGTCAGCTCTTTATCTAATCTTCCATAATGTCCATTTAACATTTAACAAAATTATATACAAGAAGACCTATATCCTTTTACACAAATATATATATATAGGTCCGAATCCCGGCTCCTAATAATACTGCAGAGCATACTGATAATATTGTCTAAATAAATCTTTGACAAAAATCATGGTCTCGCTATTTCACCCTGAATAGTGATTAAAATGGTACAATTAAAAATGTATAGGACATTAAATGGATAAAACTATGATAGTACATGTACTATGTACACGATCTCTAGCTTAGAAGAAGAAAACAAATCAAAGATAAGAAATAATCCTGTTAAAAATTTATCTCTCTATTATTTGGATTAATTACAGAATACATCCACCAATTTCTTACCTGATGTACATAGAATCTCACCATAGGAACAATACAAGTAATTTCAGGAGTTGAATAGCCAATTATTTCAATGCATATTAAATTGTAATTTGATTATTTTCTATTTCAGTTGTTTCTCCACCATACATGTTATATGTAGGAGAAGAAAAGCATGAAAGTAAGTTACAAAATGTTATTTAGAATTTTAAAATTTAGTTAGTATTCAAGCATTTAGAATATATCTTTTTTATAGAAGTTAACATAGTATTATTTTGTGATATCTTTTATGCGTTCCCTTAATCATTTTTATCTCTAAAACATTTTTGTGATTTGTATATTAAAGCACTCCTGAGCTGTTTTTAGTTGAATGTACAACACTAATTATTGTACACATTAATGAAACAGATTGATGAAATTAACTTTGCAATTAAACACCATAACTTCATTTTTTGTACATTTGTTTAAAGCTGTTTTACATCCATTTTTATTTACTTAACAGATGAAGAATTAATAAGATGGGGCTGGCCCGAAGATGTATGGTAAGTTTAATTAATTACCCATTATATGAATTATGGATATAGATTATATAAGATACCAGTGCGGCAGTTTGGCTGGATTCATGGTTTTGCTCATTGTTTTTAAAATAAAAACTCGGTTTGATATGTTGATAATATGAAGCTTTTGTATTGTTTTATGGAATATTTTCCATTCATCGATTTCCGGATATTTCATACAAATATTGTGGACATATTTTTATCAGCAGTAAATTGTCACTCTGGTACCATAAATTAAATTCAATTTTGTAAACCGTGTAGTATAATAATAATATGTATTATGTCAAATGATAACTCCTACTATCTCAAAGATGAAGAGTTACGAAACTTAGCATGGAATAATCATTGATCACATCCCAAGTCTACAAACACAAATAGAAAGTCTGCAAATAAATCCAATATGCATGAGTCCGATGTAATCCACTGAAAGTAGACACTGTAATTATCTTCTTGACTTATTGTATCCTGACTGGATTGTCATTGATTTCTCAGACGTAGGGATCAAATACGTGTAAATCTATGAAAGTACACAATCTCTGGCGACGGGGAACCAAATGGATATGCAAATAAAACATTTCATCATTTTTAGGGCTTTTTCCTGCATGTCATGCACGGTCTTATCTTATACCCAAGATATTTTACTATTCTTAATAATATTTATATGAAATGTACTTCATCTTTTTCTTTATTATTCAAATAAGAGGAATAATAATCATTTTTGTTTTGGCGTTTCAGGTTTCATGTTGACAAAGTTTCATCAGCTCATGTGTATTTAAGACTTCATGCGGTAAGTATTTACTCTTTTATTTCTTGTTACACTTGTCTGTATGGTCATCCAAAATTCATTTTAGAAACTAAGTTTATGAATGAATCTTATTTAAATTTTTAATATATGCAATGATTATATTCATAAGAAAGAAACACCTATCAAATTAGACCAATGCCATCTTCCTTAGCCTAGATGGTACAGATGACTGATAATTACAAAGTTGCCATAATGATAGGTGGGTAAGGCGCTGGCTTGCTAGCCTGGAGGTCGGGTGTTCGATCCCTGCATTGGCCGAGAAAGTTCATCCTGATTTTCCGACGTGGTTTCCCCTTGTCAGTGATGCAGGACGGAGGGCCTGACAAGGACAGCTGTCTAGTCCTTCTGATGAGACGAAAAACCGAGGTCCCGTGTACACATTGGAATGCACGTAAAAGATCCCTTGGCATTGGCCGAGAAAGTTCATCCTGATTTTCCGACGTGGTTCCCCTTGTCAGTGGTGCAGAACGGAGGGCCTGACAAGGACAGCTGTCTAGTCCTTCGGATGACACGAAAACCGAGGTCCCGTGTATACATTAGAATGCACGTAAAATATCCCTTGGCAGTTGGAATTCGATATAAGAGTAGGCGATAGTGCCGCTGCCCGGGCAAAATTTCCCTCACAGCACACTGTATGGCGTATGCCCGTCTTCATTAGCCCAGTATATGAGCAGAACAGTAGGACGTTAAACCCCATTTCATTTCATTTCATTTCATTTCAAATAATTGCTTTCGAAGTTGTGAATGCTCCAGAGGCAAAACTTGTCATCTGATTGACTTGTTATATATAAACACAGCATTTATGATCATGTGACAAAAAACTGTCTTGAGTTATTGCTGTCAATAACTTTGAAATATCTTATGTGTGCTGTAGAGGCTACATTGTCATCTCATTAACCTGGAATTTAAATACTGTGTTTATGTTCATAAGACAGGAAATCAAAGATGTAGCTGGTTTACAAAATTTCTAGTCGGCTGCTTGGTCTTCAGATAACCAAGCATACATGTAACTGGTTAATCGTCTTGTGCATATCTAATAATTTTTTATAAATTAAAATATTTGCTACGTCATAGAAAAATTTGATAAGACAGGTTTATATCTTTATAGCATTCCTCCTCCACAGTTCATGCCTTAAACTTGTCATGCCCTACCACATAGATCAGTCACAGTCAGACTGACATAACCCATTATCTAAGATAACATAATCTACCAATTTATTGTTCGTATGACAGTAAATATTAAAATGCATAACTTTGGATTTTTGAAATGAAATTGGGTTTAATGACCTACTGTTCTGCTCCTATACTGGACTAATGAAGACGGGCATACATCATACAGTGTGCTATGAGGGAAATTTTGCCCAGACAGCGGCACAACGGCCTTCTCTTATATTGAATTCCAACTGTCAATGGATCTTTTACGTGCACACCAATGTGTACACGGGACCTCGGTTTTTCGTCCCATCCAAGCGAGACAGCTGTTCTTGTCAGGCCCTCTTTCCTGTATAAAAAATTTTATATCCTGTCTGTGGGTATGTATGGGTGTGTGTCGTCGTCTTATGGCCGCAATTCTTAACTGATCATCTTGAAATTTTACATAATGTACTTATTCCAGATTTCCTTTTGTTTTTTTGGTGCATGCCGACCATCAGGGGCAGAGCCACGTCCATTTTTTGTATTTGTTTGTCGTCTTTGCATACTTATTCCTTATACCCTAAGGATCATCAGTATTGTTTTTGGCAGATGCCCAACACTCAGGGGCAGAGCCACACCCATTTTCTTTTTGTGTGTCGCCTACAGGCTTCAATTCTTAACCGATCGTTTTGAAAACTTTTCATACTTACTCCTTATATCCTAAGAATTTCTCTATTATTTTTGTTGTATGCCCAACCCCCTGGGACAGAGCGACGCCCAATTGTTTTTGGTTAATGCCCGACCCCAAGGGGCAGAGCCACACCCATTTTTTCTTTGTGTTTCTGTGTGCTGCCTACAGGCAACAATTCTTAATGGATCATCTTGGAACTTGGCTTTATATTCCTTATAGCCCAAGGATGATGCCCAATTTTTATGTTTATCTTATATAGGCCGCCATTCTAAATGGATCATCATGGAACTTGGCACATGTATTCTTTATAGCCTAAGGGCGGCAACTATTGATTTTGGTGCATGTTGGGACCTCAAGGGGCAGATCCACGCACATTTTCTCTTTGAGAGTTTGTGTGTCGCCTACAGGTCGCAATTTTAATGGATCGTCTTGAAAACTTTTCATACTTATTCCTTGGATGAGCTCTTTTATTTTTGGTGCATGCCCGACCCCCAGGGACAGAGAAAATTATTAACATAAAATTGAACCATATGTTAGTCCCAAAATGACCGAGTTTATGTCGAGGGGACGTTGAACCCCATTTCTCTGTCTGTCTGTCTCTCTCTGTGTTAATAATTACTTTCACAAGCCCACAAGTAGTGACTAAAGTTTGACCTTTTGGCACTATGACAGAATCTTTTAAAATTTAAATATAATTGAAAAAGACGTCACCCCTTTGCTCTTATGCAAAGAAAACCTATCAGTATATAAATCCAAAATTATCTCTGTTCTTTTCTTTTTAAATTTTAAGCTTTCAAATTTAAATATACCGGTTAAATGAATATTTTGATCTTGTTCAGAAAACACGTCATGTAAATCCAACATATTTTTGATAGATAGCTACTATTTTTTTGCAAAAATATTTTGTAGGCTTACAGTTAATACATTCATATATTTTCCAGGGTGAAACATTAGATGACTTAAGTCAAGCTGTAATAAATGATTGTGCCCAATTAGTTAAAGCCAATAGTATAACAGGTAATTACAATTTAACTAATTAATAATAAAAATTCCATTCTACATGGAGACATTTTTCATTTACATTTATGGTAATTAAATTTGATATATTTATATGATTTTATAGTTGCAATGGGTGTCATATTTAGGACAGAATATGCTTCTTTTTCAGAACACCTGAAAAGACCTTACTAATACAGTTTGGCTATTGATTATTTTGATATTTATCTGTTACGAAAATCCACTTATTATTGTCCTGATTTTACCTTTCGGGTAGAGTTACAATTATCCCTTTTGTAAATTTCAAAATTATTTGTATTGGCTGATGGTACCATGGATGTAACAGAATGCAGTTCTTTGGATTAATACATTTATCTACTGAAATGAATGATCTTTAACATGATCTAGCAAGTCTTAAAATACTTTTTAGGGTTCTTCTTCAAACAATTTTGTATAGAAATATTTGTGGTTTTATTTTGTTCATTAGGTAATAAAATGAATAATGTAGATGTTGTATATACAATGTGGTCAAATCTAAAGAAATCAGCCAGGATGGATGTAGGACAAGTTGGTTTTCATAAAGATCAGGAGGTAAGTATATGAAATGTGTATTCCATTCTTCCTTTGTTCAAAACCATATCATTGAACAGACGCGCTGTAGCAGAAGGCCTTAATCTGTCCTTTATTTAAACTTAACAACAAGTACAAGCATACTATGGACCAGGAACCGAGTATTCTTAGAATTGTGATTTCATAACATAAGTCACAATTGTCCAAGAAGCAAGCCAGCCAAATTTCATGTCGATCATACTTAAATTGATAGATAGAGCCTTCGACTTTTTTAACCGCGTGTCACCCCCCAAGAACAATAATAAGAAGGAAAACAAGATGGGTAGCACTTGGGGCCCAGTTCCTGGTAGAAAATAAGGGCTTAAAAATCTTCTTTAACTAATAATTTAGATGATCAAAACAATACAATGTGGGTTATATATAAACAATTTTGACCATGATGTTTGTGTATAGATATGAGTTCATCAGGAGTCGATAGATGATTACAAAGATGGTGGTGTAAAATCAGTATGAAGTAATGTGACCAGCTAGCCATAACTCATAACCAATTTTGGATTGATCAGATTTAATAGTTTTTAGACCATTATAATTCTTTTTTATCGTATATGATCTGAAGTGAAAGGTTATAATTTGCCATTTATACTGGGTCTTTAAATTGTGTATGGAAGACATTAATTCCTGCATACAAACTGTGTTATGATATATTTAGATCAAAAACATATTCAAACTAATTTATATATCAAAAGTTTGTTTCAGATCTCTTTTAAAAAACATATTAATCAGTAGAAAACTCCCTCTTGTCGCAAGGACCTTTTCTTTTATCAGCCTTGTTGATTTTGTAACTTTATTTTTAGCTTTTATTTGTCACTTATCACTGTTTACCATAAATATCAAGGACCAAGTAAATTCCTTGATTGTCCTGTGTGGATTTTATTGCAGGTGCGGAAAGTACGAGTAGAAAAAAGATTAAATGAAATTGTAAATAGATTAAATAAAACCAAAAAAGAAGTCCATCCAAATTTACGAGATGAACGAGAAGAAAGAGATCGGAAAGAAAGAGAGAAAGAAAAGAATTTACAACATCAATTAAAGATAAAAGAAAAAGAAGAGGAAAGAATCCGAAAAGAACAAGCAGAATTGAGGTGATCCATGGTTGTTTAATAAAAAATCAAAAAATCAAGGGCAATGGCTTGCAAAGATTCTAGTTAGAAAAAGAACAGGAAAAATCAATGGAAAGCATAGAAATGAAAAGGATGTGCCTAAAATTTAGGCATCATGTGTTCATTTGTATGTGACAAGGAGAAGGGCAGCTTATCAACTTTCATTCTCAGGTATCCTATCATGCCAATGATCCCACTTGAATTAATGAAAAATAAATATGATGTTGGGGACCATGTTGTGCTTGAGTGGATGTTTAATCTCACTTGACTAGAGGTTATGGTTGTTTATAACCCAAATACTGTAAGCAGACCAGTGCCACTAAATTATTTTATGGGTCTTTTTTTAATCCATGAAAAATTAGATATTTTCTAAAATATGGAAATGACAATCGGCGTTTTAATTGGAACATTTATTTCATATAATAAATTTATATTTTTGAATATTTTTCTTCTGTAGATCTTATTCAACGTTAATGAGTGAAGACAATATGAAATCAAATTATGTAAGTATACAGAAGAACAATTCTTTCTGTAATTTCAATTTAGTAAACCATTTTCTTTATGTTTGATGCTGATATACATACATATTATTTGATCATAAGATGGATACGAGGGGTTTTATGATTGTACAAGCTGTTTTGTTCTTGGCATTTATTCTTAACCTTCCAAATTTTTAGTAGTGCTGTAAAGGGTCTGTCTCTGTCAAGTAGGATACTACAGAAACAGAAATATTTCTGTAAGTCTATATTATGAGAGGAAATTATCACAAGCGGCGATTATTCTGGTTGTAAAAGGAAACAGCTTTTGATGGCAAAAACATTGATATTTCAGATTGTCTACTTATTCCATGTCAATTTAGCAATTTGGTTGTATTATCTATTACTAGATAGAGATTTGACTTCACAAAATATGTATTACTCCCCAGTTAATGTTCATTTCATAACATCACAGTGCTATTATTTATTTGTGTAAAATGTTTTATTTTTCTCTTTTTCAGGATGATGGGAATGACTCTGACGATTTTATGTAAATTATGAACTAAACAATGTGAACTTAATCTTTTACCATGTAATGTAAACATTGTATACACCAGTCAAGAATTTGACTTAAATATGGTCATAAAGACTTTTATTGCTATCAAAGAGAAAATGGACTCAAAATAGAGTGAAAAAGTAAAAGCTTAAAATTGTGGCAACTAAATCAAGGGAAAGAAAACTATTATTATGTTATCATACACTGCAGATGGTGAAACATCTAATGACTAGACTACATTTTACAACCTGCTTTTGAAAATTGTGGAAAATAAATATTTAAAGGTCTTTATTTAAATGGATTTAATCGCAATTGTCACTATTGTATTGCGCTCACTCACTATCTTGGGGGTGCTGCGCTTGATTCTAGTGTTCCTTGGGTGGTTCCAAGCCTGACATGGATGGGACAAAAAAATGAGGTGGCATGATATAGATCTCCGGACAGTTGCAAATCGAAATAATAGTAGACTGTATAGAGCCACTGTCAGGGCAAAATTCCCCTCATAGCATACTACATGATATATGCCCATCTTAATTTGTACTTTGATGCAGAAAAGTAAATTTCGTCCCTTCGGTTTTGCTACTGAACACAAAATCCATTATATATCGATATTAGCTCTAAAATTTTAAGTGTTAACAGATACGCAATTATCAAAACAAAGCAACACATTACCATCTAGAGACATTTAAATTGGTTGCATTCCGCCATCTTTTTGCCACTGATATCTGTTTAGAATATATGATTTGTATCCTATAACATTGAGACCAAGACATTACCTGACCTACATTTGTGGGTTTCTCTATTAAATTATTATCTATATATTATATACCAATTTTCAGCCCATATTTTTGTTAAATCTAAATGATGAAAATTGTCATTGGTCCTTTATACATACTTTGTCAAGTTGCCATTTACCAAACTTTGTGGGAATGTTTGTACCATAGGACCCATATGGTATTGAAAAAATTTGCTTTGCCTGGTCAATGTGGATATTTTCTCCTAAACTGCATGTCCATATTAGAAATATTATTAATTAATATATCAATTTGACTTAAATACTGATAGGTGAATAACCCAATGTGAGAACTTTTTGTAAAACACTGATATGTTTGAATTATATAGCAAATGAGGTTAATATTTAACAGGTTGTCATAAAGATGTACAAACCTAAAGAATACTGTATAAATTAAAATATATGTATGTTGGTATTTCATTATTTTTTCACCAATATTCAATTCTATATTAAATTCAAATGCTTGACTTCATTTTAACAATTTCCCTTCACTTCCTGACAATCGCCATCTAGCATAATTAATGCCAAACTTATTAGCAATAAATATTCAATTGGCTGCCAATATCACTGAGAGGGATGGCATCGGGGTGGGTTAATTAGCTCTCAGTATTGACTCCAAATTAAATTCTAAAACAATTTTTTAATTAAGAAAAAAAAGGTAAATTGGTACATAAAATTTTACACAGAGGCGTAAAATAAGTAAAAGGCACCAATTCTGCTCAGGCAAGTTTGTGTTAAACATCCGATGTAAACAATGCACATGTTATCGACGCCCTATGATGTGACATCACATGTAGACCTATACTGCATGTGGACTTAAAAGGTCAGTAAACTTGCACAGAGTAAAAACAAGGCTTTTGCATTACAGCTGTGAAACAGGTTGAATTAGCCACTCCACCGTTTTGCCATATTCCTGAAGCAATGGCCCGAGAAATCCCTCTCAGGCCATTGCTGTATTAACTTATGATACTTGAGCTTTTGAGGGAGTGTGTCTATTCTTCCCTCTCAGGCCATTGCTGTATTAACTTATGATACTTGAGCTTTTGAGGGAGTGTGTCTATTCTTCACGTTCAACCAAATCTCTCCTATATACAGCAACATGACAGGGTCTTCCCTAAAACTTTGGACAGTGATTTGAACATACATTATGCAAAAGCTAAATCTGTCTATTGCAGGTCTTTCTTTAGGCCTGAAATGTTATCTAAATTACTAATTAGACATTAATTAACCTATCCAGACCATAATCAACTCTCGATGTCAACACTAGCCTGCGATATTTATTGGATTATGATCCGATTTGCTGACCAACTTTCATTCATGATTTAATCATGAAATAGATAATCGAGACTATATGTTTTTTTATGTACTGACATTAGTAATGATGATCAAGGCTAGGCCAAAATTTCAATCACTTAATTCTCGGTTCACAGTGGATCAATTAGACTGAAATTTTCAGCAAATTGCCTTTACATTATCTAGTTTTTAACAATTAATGTGAGAACTGCCAGCTTTTTATTTAATCCCCCAGAATGTATCTTTAAGGTATTAAAAATGGTGAAAGTATTGTTCGTCTTCAATCAGTATGGTTTACATTATAACCGTTGATAGCCTCGTTTGTCATGCAATTAGTTTTTCTGCAATATTCTGCTATGCACAGGTTAATTGTGCTTAAAATTTCCAGAGTCATGACGTAACGTTATCTAAACAATGTGGAGCTCTGTTTAAACCCGAATGACATTGTTATGCAGTTAGGCATTGGTTGTTAATCGGACTATTGACCAATCATAATTTGAAACAGAAATTTGGTTTCATTACGGCAGTGCTTGAGTGGGTTTAGGTCTAATCAAATGAATTACTGTAATGCCGTTTTTGGGGGGGGGGGGGAAAAGTTTGTTTTCAAATGGCTACAGCATGATAAAAAATTTGCATCAGTGCATTGTCAATTTCAAGAGGTATTATCACTTCTAACAATAAAAAAAATGTACCAGGTAGGTTACGGGTAATAATAGGCTATATTATATTAATGACCCTAGACATAAGCGACTAAAAGGCCTATAGAAAAAAGTAGAACCTGTAAAATGAATGCTAAAACATGAATATCTCGGCAATTGGTGGTAAATTTGGCTCAAAACAATACAGATCGCCAATGCAAGGTTTGTCATTATACAATCAACGGTAGCGTGAAATCTTTCACGGATGTGGATCAAACTGAGTGAAGGAATGTTACCGTCCCATGTGAGAAGATGTACAACGTCTTAAAATCTTCGGGGGTTGGATGGCCGAATGGGAAGGAGTAGGGTCGCCTGTCCAACCTCGTGGGTTTTCTCCGGGTCCTCCGGTTCCCTCCCACTGCTTAAGACCCCTATACCCGAAAGCGAATAAATTATTAAAATAAAATTCAACCATATATGCAGTGGCGGCGCCAGCCGTCGGTGATTGGAGGGGCAAAGTCCAAGGTTAAGGGGCCAAGGCACGAGCTTCAACTTGGGGTAGGGGGCCTCCCCCAGAAATTTGTTGAAAAACAGATTGCCGGAAATGCAGCTGGCAGTATTTCAAGCACTGATCGATGAGGTAAAGTGTCAAACGAACGGACTTCCAAATCACGACGAAGCCCACTCACGAGCGTCAAAGTAGGGAGTCCTCCCCCAGAAAATTTTGAAAAATAGACTGCCGGAAATGCTGTCTTACAGTATTCTGTCAGGCACCGATCTCGAGATAAATAGATCTGCCCAGATACCGTTCGTCGCCTGATCACTAGTTTATATCCGACTAGAGAACAAAATGTCAAATGAACGGACTTGCGAACCTCAACGAATTCCCCTTGTGAGCGCCAAAGTAGCGAGTCCATTGGGGACCTCGCCAAGAAAATTTTGAAAATAGACTGTCGGAAATGCTCTACAACATGCAAGTTTATGAGTATGACTGAGTGGGGATGTGGGATTTATTCACCGTAGAAGGTATTGATTACCGAAACGTATCACAAATACTTTTTTTTATTTTCTAAAATTATTGGGGGGGGGGGGGGCAAACAGAGGGCAGACCAAATTGCCCCCCCCCCCCTTTGCGCCGCCACTGCATATATGTTAGTCCCGAAATGACCTAGTTTGTGTCGAGTAGACATTAAACCCCATTTCTCTCTCTCTCTCTCTCAAAATCTTCAGTGATGGTCAACTTCTATTTCATTTCTCGAACTGATCTGAAATAAAATAAAACCTTGGCGGGGAAAATCAAATAATGGGTAACTTGGATTTCGTTTCGTTAAAAAATACCTAAATTAGGTATGTTTTTGGGAGAGGGCAATGAATTAATTACTAGTGAGGAAAGCGCGGTCTAGTTATGTCTACTGTCGTTCAAGATAATAATAAAAAAGGTAAATATTAGTTAAGGTATTAAAAATGTGCCTTGGTGTGTCTTTAACATTAGTTTATAACCATATTACACAATCCGTATTTTAACTAATAAATACTCCCAAGTCACATGACTTGTGCGGTGTATAAAATCACGTGTTACTGCTTAGAAACTGTAAACAACATGACTTCTTCAGCGAGTTCACACGTATTCGAAGACTTGAGAGATGAAAGGGTCCCGCCAGCTCTATATTGGACAGGTGAACAGGTTTCTGCATGGATAGAAGAATTGGGATTTCCACAATATAAGGTATAATAATATATTAAATATGGGTGTATAATAAATGCATATCGTCATCGTGCTGTATTTAAAGAACAGCACCTTGTCGTTCGGAAGGGACAAAAAAAAAACGAGGTCACGTGTAGCCTACACATTGGCAAGTACATAAAAGCACCCTTGATGGTCGGAATTCAATTGTTGTCTGACCCAATTACTATTTTCATTGAACATACATATATACTTATAGTATTTTATTTGTTGATTTGCGCCGACCCAAAACAATGGAGAAATGAAATCCAGTGGTTTACTTACTACCTCAAGGTTCATTTATCAAATGCATCTTAAAAACTAAAATTATTAAGCCACTGGCACTGTACATTTAATTCCAAAGTCCTTGAGACTAACATTTAGCTTCCAAGACAATGATAACCTACAGTACTATAAAAAATAAAAAAATAATTTAAGGGTGGCAGCAGTTTTCAATAATAGGCCTACATGAAACAGCCACAGGTTTACATGGTTAGGGGTAGTAAGGACACCAGATGGGAGAGAGTATATATATTTTAATAGGTGGGAAGAAAACTGTAATTGTGTTTAACCATTGCATAGGCTACTGGTACATAGTCAATCTGTTTCACAGAGAATTATGAGTCTTCTCTAATATCTCTGTAAAAGATGACTGCCTTTAACATGGGCTGTCACAGGACGCGACGTCAATCATTGGCTGAATGGCGCGTGCATTGTTTACATAAGACGTTACTGCTTCGGTCAGAATGCTGCCTTTTAGTCATTTTAATACCCATTTACACTAAATAGGAAATAATTTTTACCTACAAATACGTCAAACGTCTTTATTTATTTTTATAATACATCAAAAAAATGTTTTAGAATTTAATTTGTCAGTGGAAAAAAGTTAATATTTGAGACTCATTAAGTCGCGTTGATGTCATCCTTATCGGTGATTGTAGCGTCCTAGCGAATATTCACTGCGGATCAGTGTGGTACATTGTAAGCTATATATATATATATATGCTTCTGGGAACTGTATGGGTTGAAATTTGAAATAGGCTTCAAAAATTCTAGATGATTTGTAAAATTAAGTCTTTGTTCCAGTGCAAGAACAGGATCCCATGAGTTTATATATTTGCCTGCATTAATTATTGATTTTCATCAATAATAAAATATTTGGAATCTTTTTGTATTGCAGCCATGTTTTACAACAAATTGTATAGATGGACGCCGACTAATAACATTACAAGCCTCTAGATTACCTGAAATAGGTATTACAGACTTTAAACATATTATGGTATGATTATTTACTCTACCTTATCTTTGTCAAGTAGCTAAGGAGGAAGCCTAGATTGAATTCTTATGTTTTAGAATTATAAATTTCAAACACATGATTGACATGTCAGAGAGTTATTTTTTAAATGAGTTCATAATAGATTTTTGACAACTTTCTGTGTGGAATTTGTAGAGTTAGCACAGGTGACTGGTTGATATTGGGGTCTGTTGGTTTTAGTGGATAGTTTACCACATTCTATATTTGAACAATAAATAGATGAACAGTGTCAGATACTTGAAACAAGTTTTTTTTATGCAGCCTGTTGAGGCACCCACCCTCCTCAAAGCATGAACAAAATTAAACATAGCCATATTTCAGCTGGAGGGATGCCATATTGAAAGATCTTGTCATCAACACATTATTTGATCCAGAAAAGCTAAGAACAAAGGAGCCACTTAATATATTTTAAAGTTGTTTAGAGTAAAGTTATTAGTGGTTATCTATTGCTAGAATATAAAAACACAAGAGTATTAAATTTAGGAGAACACTGCATGTTGGAATAATTGTATTGACTGACTTGATACCAGAGTGTTATAATCTATGTTACTGCAGAACAGGTTGTTGCTTTTTATTTGTTTTGTGCTTGTTTTCACTGTAGTTTGGTGTTGATTTTCACAGTTTGTCATTGCTTGACCTTGTTTTTTTATTACTCCTTCAACTCCTTGTTTGTATTTTTCTATCAGATTAATCACATATTATAATTTCAGACTATATCGAATAGTGTAAGAGAATTATTAGAATTAGAGGAACCTTTTTGGAACAGAAGTATTTCTCTCCCTCCACGTAATGAAATAGGTAAGATCTACCATTACTTTTATGGCTATGTTTTAAAAAAAAATATTACTCCTCTACTAAAATTTGATTTGGAAAAACTTTTGCTGATATTTCGGATACAGAATTTAAATTTTATTTAACTGTTTGACTTTCCAGAATATTTGTCTTCAGAAACGGCTTTCTTTAATTTCCTGAACTCGAAGGACAATATTCCTTTTTCTGAAAATTAATGATACAGAGTATATAATAACTTCAATATTGGGAACTTACGGCCAATCTCACTTACGAGTTATGACTATAACTTCAGCAAATTTAGACATGGTTAACATCAGGCACGGACACAGTCTGAAATTTTGAGGGCTAAGGGTCAATCCCACATGACAACTGAAAATTTGTATTTCCTTTAAAAATATTATATACAGAGCTTCAAATAATTGCAAAGAAAGGACCAGTATAAAGGTTTGCAAAAACTTTCCCCCCAAATCAATTAGTTTTATTCATTGACTCCTTTAAACTGTTCATTTTATTTCAGGAATGTATTTAGAAAAGAAAAGCGTTCGTGGAAAAATAATAGACAATATGAGTTTTCAGAAATTTTTGTTAACAGTACAAAGCAGAGATCCAAAATGGCAGCCACCATTATCAAACCAGTGTGCAATAATAGCACACAATGTTCCTGCTATCAAGTGATGTTTATATTTTAGGTTTTTAAAGTAAAATTATCTGTAGTGTACGGAACCATCATAATTTGATACCATCTTTTGTTTATGTCATATACGTATACAATTTTTACTGTTTTTGTATAAATACAATATTTACTGCTTTTGTATATATACAATATTTACTGCTTTTGTATATATATAATATTTACTGCTTTTGTATAAATATAATATATTAAAATAGATATTATATAATTAGTACAAATTGTACAATCCTGTAAATGATTTGTTTGAATCCAGTCTTGTTTAAGAGGGAATAAAAGCTCACACCACTGCAAAGGTATTACATGCTCCTTCTGGGAATGTAAATGAAGCAAGTAGAAGCTCTGATTAGAATTTGGATGTTTCATTCTCCTTCCGAGGTCCATTTTATCAATCAGCAAATTTACAGAAATGTTTATCATCGTCATAGGACATAATTGACTAAGTATAGACAATGAATAACCGTGATGCCATTCATTTGTTAACATTCCTTTTAGTTTTTAAAATATTGGACGTGAAAGATGAGAGTTGTCAATTTTAGCCAAAATGCACGATTGTGTTACATTTTGTAATTCGCTTTTAAGTAACCCCACTGTCGTATCCTTGACCTTTCGTTAATAATAGTGAACTGATGTCAGCTAATTACAGCACTAATTACAAGATATTTGTTACAAGATTGATTGTCTATATGTATGTGCTTCTGTAGAAGGTTTTCCATTCCTCAGAATTAACTCGGGTTAACTCAAATATATTGCCCCGTTTACCCGCATTAATAACAAAAACTTCAAGTTGATGCAAGACTAAGTTGTATGGCTCAACCACAAAATCACAAGTGATTCTTTTTCCCCAGTTGTGAAAAACAGGGCAAATTTTTAATGATTTTTTTTTTTGCATTAAGACAAGATCAAGAGTAGATAAATTACTGAGTTCTGAAGAAAAATATAAGTATCAATTAAGTTGAATCTCAGATAGGGTATAAATTATAATAACAGGTTCCTCAGATCTCCATCATTTTTTCAACATCTATTATAGCCTCATTTGTAAATTTACCTGAAAGTAGAAAATATTTTTATTTCAACATGATTGATTAATGTTGACTTAATACCTTAGGTTTTTTTTTGGTTTTTTTTTTTGATAACCTGGTTTTATATACAATTTCTAATGAATAAAGGGACATAAAATACTTTTCTTTATTTCAATCAAATCTGTTTTTATACACAATTTCTAATGAATTTAAAAGAACATAATACTGTTCTTTATTTCAATAAAACACGGGTATACTTCTCAATTTATGAAATTCGATAAAGTAAACCATTTCAATAGTTCCCCCCCCCCCATACACACAGTATTATATAGAAAGGTTTTAATCACAATGCTTGAATATTTTATAAGTGTGCAGCATTGGACTCAAGTGTGTAAACCTTACTAAATAAACACCTCTCGGTCGAACACCCAACTATTTTTCCAGATCATTATGATTTTGGGCTGAAAAAGCTTAAAACCTGAATAGTTACGTGTTGTGGATCGTCTAGAAAAGAACTTAAGTCTTACCCATGGCTATTATTTGTTGTCGATGTCCTACTATACAATCCTTTAATTCACACTTTTCAGACAACTGTGCTTGAGAACAAATTATACTCCCTTGAATATTACAACTGTTAAATGAAACACATACATATTTAATTTAAATTGCATATATTACATTCTCTTATTGTCATTTGAGTGATATGTTCAAAACAAGCCTGCACCACATATAATTTTTACCAACCCAGGAAATTATCTGTTGTTTATATTTTGTTCTTTGGGTTAAATTTTAAATAGCTGAATGTGTATACAAATTATCATATAGCTTAATGTGTATACAGATTATCATGAAGACATCTGAAACAGTTAAAGAGATGTTCATAATAATAAGTGTATCCGGAATAATAATGGTATACCAAAAACTAAGTCAAAAGTTTCATCAAGATATCTTGAATGGTTTATGAGATATGCTCTGTAAACAAAATTGCAGTGCTGGAATTAACAGCCAGATGTCGTAACCTGGTTATAGGTTACCACCAAATACATGTACATTATGGTAACCTCACAGGTCGCCTAAAAATGATTTGTGGTAACCCATCAGGTTTTCTGCTATGTATTGTATTACTAGCAGGATACCCGGCTTTCCCTGGGCCCAAATTCGATGGTCTAAAACAAATCACAGGGTCATGCTGGTTAATTTGATACCACATATGAAAATGAGTTAATTCTTTCGCCCATGCATGTAGACCATTAGATTTTACATGTTGCTCTTGTCTGTGTAATGTAGTTAATTCTATTGACAAACGCAAGCAACGAGTCAAAACTTTGACCCATCACATTGCATAATGTTCCTTCGTGTCATATTTCTGCGTAGTACATACTACATATCTTGCAGATAAGTTTTGACAGTTTATTGTCGTCAACCTCCTACCAGAAATCATCCTTGAAGTCCCACAACAGAAAAGTCTTCAACGGAACTGTCTTGTGGTTTCGTGGTGGGGGCTGCCATTTGTAAACGAACAAAATGTAGTCTCATGTGATCGACATACCCCTTATATTTACTGGGGATATCTCTCCCACCGTCTGCCTTGTCATATACGAAAATTACGCATGGAATGAAGGGTCGTTTGCCCGTTTTATAAGCATGGCGACCTCCCGGTAACCCAAATGACCGTTCGCCACTTTATTCAATATTCCTTTAACTTCTTTTGATGTGTGAAGTAGGGTAGTCCAAGCATTTCAATTCTTAAAGTTCATATCTTACCTCTCTGCTATATGAATGTTATCCATTATTACTGAACCAGTTATTTTAACTTTATCCCCTATAATACAATTACGTCCAATCACAGATCGTTTTATAGAAACTTTCTCACCCACAGTAACATCTTCACCTACTAAACAATCTTGTCCTATCTGTAATTGATATTTATATAAATAGTTTTAAAGATAACCCAACCCATTCTCAACAAATCACCATATTACATTTTGAAAGCACCCTAGTTCTCTCGGTCCTAATTATTGTGCCATGTCCCTTTAAAAGTTTCTTTTCAAGCTTGCTTAAACCTCGATCAGGATAATAGGAACCAGATTCCAAGAGAAAAAACTACTCTTGGTTTCTCATTTTTTATTTGCACCTGGCTCCAAGGAGAAGTTTACGTTCATGCTTATATATTGGTTGAAACAGAAACCAGACTCAAGGAAAATCTAACCAATCATACAGAAACACCATTTTTCTTTATTACATGTAGTAGTAGTTAGCTGACAATACTAGTTACCAATGATTCAGTAATATGCTGGCAGCCAAAATGCTCCCTTGCTCAAATTAAACTTAAAATTAACAAACCTGTGACTTTTCTTTAACTACTGCTGTAGGATGTATTAATTTAAATTCTTTATGTGGAGATAATGTACTTAATAACCGAGGTACCTGAAAAAAATAATTACAGGCAATATGACAATCATTTCCCTACTAATTTTAACAAGATAAAATAATATATAGCAATTTCACAAGTTTGAGGTGTTTAAATAGGGAGAAAATTCCAATCTATGATTGAAAAAGTTTGAATTACAGGGTTCTTTTTCATGACCAAATGAACAATGCCTGTCAAGAGAGAGAAGGAGAAATGGGGATTAACGTCCACTCGACACAAACTAGGTAATTTCGGGACTAACATATGGTTTAATTTTATTTCAATGATGCGCATAGTTGTCTTTAGCAGTGGGAGAAAACCAGAGGACCCAAAGAAAACCCATGAATTTGGACAGACGACCCTACTCCTTGTCACGTACAGCCGGGGAATCGAAACGACGCCAGACCTTATGATACAGCGCGCACATGCTAACCATTCGGCCATCCAACCCCCCGAACAATCCCTGTAAAGAACTGAAGTTGACTAGAAATGAAATGAAATGGGGTTAAACGTCCTACTGTTCTGCTCCGAACTGGGCTAATAAAGACGGGCATAACCCATACAGTGTGCTATGCGGGAAATTTTGCCCGGACAGCGACACTACAGCCTACTCTTATATCGAATTCCAACTGTCAAGGGATCTTTTACGTGCACGCCAAAGTGTACATGGAACCTCGGTTTTCCATCCCATCCGAACGACTAGAAAGCTGTCCTTGTCAGACCCTCCGTCCTGCATCACTGACAAGGGGGGACCACGCCGTAAGAAGTTGACTAGAAATGCAACAAGAAGTGTTTATAGGTGAATAATAGTTATTGATATCTTAAATCAAAGTACAAATCATCTTACTTGTCTGTTGGCTTCACAATAAGAGCTTAACGTATTTGCACGAATACAGAATCCCTCTTCCTGTATGTGAGCATAACAACGAATACTTTCACCATGGAAACAATCAGCCATATCACCATCATGATCAATCCACGTGGAGAGATCAATAATTTGAGAAGAGTAACTGTCATTATTTACTGTAAAGTCATGGATACCTAGAATAAACAAAATACTTCACCACTGTTCATCCATTATATAACAATTTAACATTTGAGTTTTACAGGGGTTATTGTAGGCCTGTTTTGATACCAGTCCATAACCAGAAAAAAGATGATTATTTTTCTTTATATTTTGCTAAACTTCAAACTGTTTCACAAAGAGTTCACCAGACTGCAGGGAATGTTTTGTCATGTCATAAAGAGTTTCTAGTCAAATTCCATTTTCAGCAAAATATCTTAGAAAACCACATAGATCCAACAAGACAATGTTACTGATCATGCAGATGTATTAATTATTGTTTTATAAATGTGCATTTTTAAGAGTCAACCCAAATGTTTGCATTTCAGTAGATGTAAATCTGTCTGGTGACCTGGAAATGACTATCTCTGTGTCATTTCATGGTCAATTAGGAAAACGAATAGTCCAGAAATATTTTTCGGCAGTATAATGGAAGGAATGGTAGAAAATGCAAATTAATAATCAAAGAATTACAGCTTTAAATATGTATAAATATAAATTGTTTATTTACTAGCTTTGGTATCTTGCTGTGATGCTAAACTTGCAGGAGTATTTCCTGGAATTTCTGATTCTTGAGCTTTAGGTCTACAAAACTGTCTTCTGACTAAATGTGGTATTAATTCTCCTTTAATAGTATACATTCTTCTGTACAAATAAGTATAATATTACAACAGATTAATCCACAACGTCTAGAAATAAGTCCTTCATATCTGTATATAAATTGGTATCAAATGCTTTTGCAGAGGGAAGGCACAGTGGCTCAGTAAGTAAGACGTTGGCTCGCTAATCTGGCGGTCCCGTGTTCGATCCCTGCTTTGCCGAGATAGTCCATTAGGATTTTTCGGCATGGTTACCCCATGTCAGTGGTGCAGGACGGACAGAGAGCCTGGCAAGGGACAATGTATAGTCGTTTGGATGGGACGACTAACCTAGGTCCCATGTACACATTGGCATGCACGTAGGCCGTATTGACGCCGTTTTGGCAAAATTTCCCACATAGCACACTGCATGGCATATGCACGTCTTTATTAGCCCAGTCAGAGCAGAACAGTAGGAAGTTAAACCCCATTTCATTTAATTTGTTTTTGCAGACATGATTTTAGCTGTTGGAAAGATAAACTGGAAAAAAATCTTGGGGGCAGCACCAGTGTGTTATGGGGGCCAGCTGCAAATGGCAATTTTAAGATTTTAAAGTAATTTACTACAAATTTTGGCTTAACTTAAATTTAATTTATATCTCTACCATCTATGGAATACTTACTGTCGACCATATCTATTGCGCGAAAGAACTGTCCAGAGAATATTATGTACCATCATAGATGTGGTACCATAGAGAAACTCTATGTTACGTACACATTGACAGGCAATCTTGTTAGCAAAAAGCAGGAAAAAATCATGTCTGATTTTGTCAGTTCTGATAACAGTTTGGGTGAGAATAGAATTGTGAAGTAATCTAACATTTCACCAATCTTGATTGGTAGAGACATCAATATATTCAGTTGCCATATGGGGTAAAATTCTCATGTCTACTCAATAACTTTCACTATATTGGGAAAATTCAATATTGGAACATTCAATTGACATCCCCTTTCCAGAACTAGAACTACATCATTTATTGTTTCATTGCTTGATAATGACTAGAGAAGCCTAGTTGAACCGTTGATCAGTAATAAGCAGAATTGTATTCCACAGAACTGTGACCTGTATATTACATTATATATGTACTTACTGATTTTCTGCTAAAAAGTCTACAACCCATTTTTTTAATAAATATAAATGACAGTCTGTTAGTTTAGATCTAATATTAATATAAGGATGTCTGAAAAATAAAAACAATTAAAATACAGATGTGACGTCGTCATCCTTTGATGTTGGCGTACAATTATTTCAAATAATGGTACGGCCAATGTGCCAAACGTACATTATTTATACTAGTTGCAATTTTGGACCCATGAGACGTATTTTTATTGAAATGCACATGCTGGATAGTGTCTGTATTTTAAGTTGTTTAATGGTCTCATGCAAGATATTGCGTAATATTTTGATATTGCCCTCGTGCTATCACACTTGTACAATATCAAAATATTACTTAATGCCTCCCACTTGACCAATAAACTACACATAAATGCTAATGATAGATCATAGAGAGAGAGAGAAATGGGGTTTAACGTCCACTCGACACAAACTTGGTCATTTCGGGACTAACATACGGTTTAATTTTATTTCAATAATTCGCATGCGCGTAGGGGTCTTTAGCAGTGGGAGGAAACCGGAGGACCCGGAGAAAACCCACGAGGTTGGACAGGCGACCCTACTCCTTGTCACGTATGATAGATCATCATCCCCAAGTCAAGGTAATACAGTTCAAGAAAAATAAGTACATATGTCAATCACAGACAACTAGAGCTTAGAGTCTGATGCTTGTGTGTCCTTACCTATTTAAATTATCCAATGATATTGTTGGTTTTATCATGCCATAAAAGGCCCTCAAATTTTAAACAAATACAGCCACCGGAAATTGCTAAATTAATTTAAACTATTGATGAAAACTAGGCTGTGATTGGTCGAAAATATCACAGTGTCTCATATTTGTCTGCAAATTGAAACTGATTTGCAAATAATACCTTTTTAATGTTGATTTACTAAATGATATTGTTTCTTCTAAATCCACTTCAGATGTCAAAAATAACACTCTTTTTCCTTTTTCATCAAAACCTATAAAATCTCTTTCTGAAAAGTAATAAACAATCTTATTATATCTGTCTTCTAATTTTGAATGAGATGTAATTTAATAGAACATACATAAGAAAAAGAAGCCATATTAAAAACCTAAACAAACCACAAAATATAAATCAAGAACTTTCAAACATCACTGTATATCTGCAATCAAATTGTTGGCAATATTCAATTCTTGTGTCTTTTAATACGATACTTTAGTTACCCAGTGATTCTCAACCTGTGTGCCGCAGAATGTTGAACGGCACATTAAGAAAATGTGAAAAACCACATGATCCCAATTGAGCATTCACTGGTGTCTACTAATAAGTTCATAGCTGTGGTTCGAGTCATTCTATGTGTCAATGTCTACATTTGTGTGCCGTCTGACTTGCCATCTTTTTATTTTGCAAAATTCAAATATTTTTCATATATGTTTACCCAGGTGTGCCACTATTTTTTCATGTGTTCCAAGGTGTGCCGTTGGCAAAAAAAGGTTGAGAATCACTGCTTTAACCCATTCCCCACACAAGTCTCACTATCCAGCATTCGATACTGCCGTCAACTCACGCACTACACCAGTTTACACAGTGGTCAATGTTCAACATTTGTCAGAAAATGAGTTTTAGTAAATTTTAGGGGAAATGTCATCAATTACTACTCCTCAAAAAAAACCACCCCAAAACAGCCAAATTTGCATGTTTCATTTGTAAATGTACATGTATTAGGCCTTACGATCACATTATTATTATTGTTCAATTTATATAGCACATCATTACAACAAAACAGTTCTAAAACATTTTTGAAATAAATATGTTTTCAAAATCTGGTAAACAGATCCATGTGTATATATTTACGACCCTTTAACCCTGTAATCTTTCTCAAAAGAGTACTCTGTATATTTGTAAATACTATTACTTTATTATTTTACGATAAGTATGACCCCATTTCTATTTTATTATAGTAATACAAAGAAATATATTATCATTTATTTGGTTTCCATTGTATTGTTTATCATTGTCTACCGATACCAAGATTAAGTGTAGTGAATTGAGCTGTTAGCAGAGGTTAGTGTGGACTGCAAGAGAAGACAACTCTGTTTGGGAGATTGACTTAAACCCTGTATTTTACTGGGGAAAATATTGTGAGTTAAAATTAATGTAGCATGTAAAGTCTGTTGCAGGAAAATGACCTTTACTGGGATGTAAAATAATGTCAGTATGTTCTGTCTCCTAAAACGACAAATAAAATGTAAAACATACAGCTACTCACGAGATATATATGTTTATTAAAGGAATAATTAGGTCACACTTCCTACAGAGTTAAAAATACACACCTTATATTGAGAACTAAATTATTTGTTGCATGATTAATTAGTAAAGCATGACAGTCCTTGAAATTAGGATTTTTCTGCTACAGCACCAAAAATCTGAAAATGCCATTAGCTAAAATGAGCTGGCAAGGCACCACTGCAGTTCTTCATATTTAATACAAATTGTTGCAATTGTCCATGGAACGTGCAAATTTTTTATATATATTCGTAGATAGACAATTCAGTGTCAATTTATCTGGTTCTAATTATGTTTTGTCGTACTGTCATATGTATTAAATTTACACAGTGTTTTGTTGGAGTATTATATCAAGTTATCGAAATTTGTTGAACTTTTCCCCTTCGATCTTTTAGTTATTCATGTTCCCAACAGGTACGAATATTTGACAAGCATAACTAAAATTGCTTCATAAATTTTTTCACCTTCAATAATAAGGACACTATCTTAAAATGTGAGTATGAAATACTAAATTATAACGGTAACCACTATTTAAAACTAAATCTCGCATATGGTGCAATAACGTTCTGACAACCATGTCAACTGGCGGGTTTCGATTCCCGGTTGTACTAACAAGGAGTAGGGTCGCCTGTCCAACTTCGTGGTTTTCTCCTGGTCCTCCGGTTTCCTCCCACTGCTAAGGACCCCTACGGGCAAGCGAATTATTGAAATAAAATTAAACCATGTGTTAGTCCCGAAATGACCTAGTTTGTGTCGAGTGGACGTTAAACCCCATGTCTCTCTCTCTCTCTCTCTGACAACCATAACTAAAACTGCTTGATAATTTTTTTCACGGCTGTACCATAGCCTTCATTAATAAGGACATGCGTATAAAATACTAAATTATAACAGTAACCACTACTTAAAACTAAATCTTGCATTGCTGAATTATTGACCCAATTCCAACCATCTCTCAACGACTGCATGATAATTGATATTGAACGGTTATGACCTATGCATTTCAAGTGTCATCTTTACTATCTATATAAAAGGAATACATTTTTGTGTAGAAAACCATTTGGTATGTCATTTTTATTACATGAACACTTGATACGTGTACAATACAGTGGCACAAGTTATTTTTATTTTGCTGTAGCAGTCCGTGTTTGCTTTGCCTTTAATCACAATTTTGCCGTATGCCATGGTTGATTTCGAGCACTGGCCTTATGATTGAGATTATGATTTATTATTAATTGTTTATTACAATATAAATCTCTAACTTTGTTGGCACCGGTAGAGTGGTCTTTGTCAATATCATGTGATAAAATCCTGCCTTTTCTATAAATAGAGTTGAAAATACAACCATCTATTACAGCCTCTATATGAGCGTTCAGTCTTGTATTATGTCTAAACATAGTCACACACCTGGCAACTAAAATAAGAGGATTAAGTGCCAAGCGAGAGAGAATGATTTGTTCACAACATGAATAATATTTTAAAGGTATATTTGCCGAGTCCTTTTGAACAGATATCGGCTAGGCAAGTGTCGGCAACATGGACGTGTATCGGCCGATAACAATTTCTACCAATAGGCCACTTATCGTCCAATTACTGATAATCGGAACATCACTAATTTTAATCTCACCTGTTTTTTTCTTTGATTTAACGCCAGGAGCTGGAATATCTGTGTATTGATCAGGTAATGGTGATAACAACATTGTAACAGATGAATCATAAGCTTGATGTAAATTAGCTATCTGATGTAAACTAATATCAGATATTAAATCACAACCAACTACCAATATATCTGTCTGAAATATATATTATACATATTGAAACCACAAGTTTTACAAATGTATATAATAATTTCTTGTATATAAGTCACAAGAGTTCTATCACATACATAACACCATTATTGTCCTTTAACAACACCACAAAATACATTTCAATTTATAATCAAAACATTTTGAAAATTGACAGAATACTTTCTTATGCCATGATAAGCTATCTCAGAGTTTTAAAAGATTTCATGATCTGACGATAACTTTTGTGTGTGTTCACAAGAAAGGTTTGATGAGTGACAGACATAGGCGACTACAAGAACGGTCTGAAAAATTTGATGGATTTGTGGACAGTGAATACAGGTGACAACAATATATGTCTTTATTAAATGAGGGATGTTAAAATAACTAATACAAAAGATGCTGTCTACTTTACTACCTTTATTTTATCTTTAATATAGCGCAATGATTCTGCTGTACCCCAATCTTCATTATCTGGTATACCAACAATATCTAATTTCATTTTAATACCACGACAAACAAGAGACTTCTGTATATCTGTTACTGATGATTCTAACGCTATTACTATAACCTCTGTAAGATAAACACATATTGTGTTAGATTAATGATTTGGACGTGTGATACATCAACTGCATGCTGATCTTCATCTAAGAAGGTAAATGGCTACTCGGTCACAGTTCGGTTGCACAGATGAACCAGTTCAAAAAATTACTAACCGATATTCGTTTTCATATCATATTATCTGACCCTTGAGCCCAGGAATTTTACCTACAACATTGTTTTCTTTCACTAAAGACCACATACATACTTCATATAGCACTTGGCATTTGCAATAAATTTGGCTATAAAAATTGAGACAGTCATGACAGATACGGCCAAGTTCGTGTTAATTCTTAGATGTATGGAGAACGGTACTATAAAATGTGTAACATATACCTTCAAATCCAGCTCTTTCAAGCATATTAACTGGATACCATATTAAAGGATGATTACCAACAGGTAACATAGCTTTTGGACATTTTGCTGTTAAATCTGTCATACGGGAACCTCTCCCTCCAGCCATGATAACAGCTTGAAACTCCATCTTTGATTTTAATCTTTAAAGTCCTTTAACAAAACTATTTAAAAATTAGTTAAAAATGAGCTGCATAGTACTTAGAAATGGTTCCACTACTGATGTCTTCTGTCTTACTCCAGCCACAGTAGTGGGTCCTTCTAAGCAGTTCTTTTGAGCAAGTTTTTTTAATCAAATGACTACAAAAACATTACTGGCCTATAGCTCCCTTAATTTCCAAATATAAACTGCCCCAAACTGTACAAATAGATTCAAACGCACAATTGTCAACATATATCATTACAGTTTGTAATGAAATAAGTAATTCTATCTCAAATAGTCAAGTCTGGACCACTAAAATAGTTACTGAACTAAAATGACTACAAAAATGTTACTGGCCTATAGCTCCCTTAATTTCCACATAAACTGACCCCAAACTGTACAAATACATATCATTACAGTTTGTAATGAAATAAGTAATTCTATCACAAATAGTCAAGACTGGACCACTAAAATAGTTACTGAACAGTTTTTCTTAGTGGTAATGAGTTCTACATTTTCGAAGTGATATTTCTAATAATGTACAACAAGCCGCCATAACACCACCCAGGTGAAATCTCGCAAGTTTGGGGTCAGTTTATGTGGAAATTAAGGGAGCTATAGGCCAGTAACGTTTTTTGTAGACATTTGACTAAAAAAAACTTCTCAAAGGAACTGCTTAGAATGATCCACTACTGTGGCTGGAGTAAGAAGGAACACATCAGTAGTGGAACCATTTCTACACACTGAGCCACAGCGGTTCCTAAGCATTAAAGACTTTAGGTACCGTATAATATTTAGTCTCAGTTTAATGTTATTTAAAGGAGATTTTCCATGTTACGAGCGTCTGTAGTAGGACGTTAAACCCCATTTCATTTCATTTATTGAACTTGAAAACAAGTGCCAGGGCAGAACTAATTGATCTATCGGTAATTCAATTGTAATTCCTAACAGATGCTTCACTCAGTAAACATTAATTAATATTATCGGGTGGTACAACCTATGTAGGCCTACATCTCAAAATGAAATATTGGTAAATAATATATAATATAGCATACTTAGGCTACCACTTGAATTATTTTTAACTTCTGACAACTGACATAATATGTTTAAAACCTGAAATTATGTGCGAGAGAAGTAAACTTGCATGTATGACGAAACTGTTAGCCCACATGTGACACCATGTTTCTAAATTCTGGATTGTAAAGTCAAGTTAAAGAAACGAAATTTCAATTATTAACAGTCTTTTTCACAAAATTTCTTGAAGATTACACGAACGTGGAAAGTCGTATAGCGAAAAGTGAGAAGTTAGTTGTACATTTCCAACCCGAATATTGAGAAGCTCAATTTATTATGTTTATGACAAGGGGAGCGCTACGGTATGGAAAGCGGAATGGGTCATAAATGAAACTATGGTTCTTATGCACTAAATAATGCGTTTAAAGGAAACGTATATTAGATAAAGATGCGTCACCACTTTCACCATGCAAATTAGAGTTAATTATTCTATTAATAAATCATATTCAAATAAATATAGACGAGCACGGACCTACAAAAGGTAGAGTATTTTCCGCGAGCTTTCAACAATTAATTATATATATAAAAGGTGCCTCAACGTTAGGCCTATTTGTTACATGTATAGGCTATTTGTTGTATTGTATTAATGTTCGTTTATTTGTTACATGTATATCTGTTGTATGGTATTAATGTAATTTTTGTAATTGTATGCTGCTCCTCATGGGCGTTTTTATGCAATAAATTTACTTACTTACTTACGATGGCTCAGCTGATTTGCCCCAAATGTTGCACACTATCTAATATATATATGAACTATTTCTATGTTTTAATTTGATAGTAATTATTAATTTAAGAATTAAGAATCGATTATTTATTTATTTGGTATTCTATTGTAAATATTCTTTTGTATATTTTCAGTCTTTTCGTTATCATCTTCATTTTCATCTACATTTTCACCTTCATTTTCATTGATACTTCTGTGTGAATAAACTGTATTCTAGAGAGAAGTGTTTCACTATCTACGAAAATCAGATTCCTCCAAGAATTATTTAAATCAATCAATTCTAACCTTTTTGTAGACCACATATTCATCAAATCACTACAATAGCGCCCCACTTCTCCGTGTGGTATAAAAAAAAATTGCTACCAAAATATATTCTAATGATTCTACCCGCTTACTATATAAACTCCTGCGTTCAGCGAGTGGTCTTAATTAACAATTTATGGACGAGATGCGGCTTAATTTCGATGTCCTGGCAAAGTCCTTCCTTGCATTTTAACTCTTGGAGAAATATTTCACCCGGGTGTTAAATCGACGATTAACCTGAACGGTCACACAAAACCATTTCCTTCAATCTTCCATGTTAAAAATGTGATACGAGTTCACTTCAGGGGTTGACACAACATAAAGACGACTCACGTTTGGTGTGTAGTCTCTCTATACGATCAACAGTGATAAAGTAGAATGAATGAAAAGGTCGGTCCTTACGATCATTTCTACCAGGTATGTTATCTATTTTATCATTAAATATATCATCCAACGTGAATGATCTTTTGCGAGCGTAGCCTTGTTGTTGATCCATGGGTAATAGAGCCTCGAATACAGCTACGACGGTCTAAGACTTTTAATTACGCTACTTGTTAATTGACAACACGTTAAACCTAATTTTGTTGGTGTTTTTTGTTTTATCCCTTGTTGATCAAGTATATTTTGCATACTCTTATATCGAATTCTGTCAATGGTTCTTTTACGTGCACATCAATATGTATACGGACCTAGGATTTTTTGTCCCATCCGAACGATTAGACAGCTGCCATTGTTAGGTCCTCTGTCCAGCACCACTGACAAGAGGACATCTCTCTGAAAAAAAACCCCGAGAAGCGAACCCGAGACCTCCAGGCTATAATATACAGGTCACAATTCTATGGAATGCAATTACTGCTTATTACAGAGCAGCTAGCTAGCGTCTTACCCACTGAGCCACCGGGGGTAGGCTAGTCAAGTGATCTAACGCTTACACTATGAATCAAAATTTCTGACATCAATACAAAATCGTGCAATAAGATTATTATTCTTAGTCCTGTGGATGCCCCCCCCCCCCCACACACACACACACGCGCGCGCGCACACACTGCTAAAGACTATATTATAATATATGTTAATCCCGAAATGACCTAGTCTGTGTCGAGTGGATGTTAAACCCCAATCCCCTTTCCCACTCTATGTTTCATCTTTCAGGCATCTAATCAACAACATGGGTACATCTGTCAAACATCTAATCAACAACATGGGTTCAACTACCAGACATCCAATCAACAACTTGTGGGCACAGGGAGTCCTTTCAAAGAAAGATATTTCACAAAAAGAACTCACGATGGCGAGCCACCGCCGCTACCACTAGAAGAAAAAAAGAGATTTTTTACATATCTCATGGAAACTACGACGTTTTCTGGCATATCTAAAGTTTATTTTACCCCACGGTGGTACCTTAAACTTATGTGGATGCTATTTTTCACGGTGACGTTCTGCTATATGTCAATTATGATGATGGGATTGTTTAGACATTATTTTAAATATCCAGTAAAAACAGACACCACGCTTGGTTACAGGTAACACTATATTATACGAGATTAGCTCGTCGTTTATTATTAAATATATAGATAACTTAAACAATAAATCGTTTTAACTTATGAGAGAAAGGGACGTTAAACCCCATTTCATTTTGAGCAATTATTAGTTCGCAACATTCAATGGTACACATTAATATAAAGACATAATCGGTAATCCAGATGACATGGGAAAAGGAATGTTATTTAAAGTTGCAATTTCACATTTTTAAGTTATATTTTTAAAATGTATTAAAATAAAGCCTTAAAATAGATGGTATCTATAAACAGTCCTACCTTGTTAAAGAATAATCCTATTAATCCTATAATTCACTATTGCCAGTTGAGAAATTGTCAAAAATATCATTTTCAACTTCAAATTCAAACGTTTGAAGATAGCTTTTCCACGGGGGGAATAGAAAAACAAGGGAGGTAATTGTGTTATTATTTCCGTGGTCAAGGATTTATAAGTGGGAGAATGATACCTATCATCGTATAGAGCTGACAACCTATTGAGCAAAAGACATAGAAATAATTATGTTTTGACTTTCTTAGAAAATATGAAATTCTCGCTTTAAAACGTTCAACTTTTAATGTCTTGACGAATACAACTCTGTCAAGTAAATCGACTATTCTGTCCCATCTAAGGAAACAAATTCTTCCAATAAGTATAAGTCGTTGATCCATTAACCATTAACTTTCGGGGTCCTTCATTGTGTTCCGATTTGGTTCCTTCATAAAGTCTTGACGAATACAACTCCATCAAGTTATTCCAATAAGTATAGGGCGTTGACCCACTAACCTGGAGGTCCCGTGGTCCTTCATGATGTTTTTCATGGGTGTTCCTGCCTTGATTCCTCTGGGCTTTCCAGCCTTCATTCCCCTTGTCAGTGGTGCGGGCCCGGGCTGGGGGGGGGGTACGAAAACGTGCTCCCGTTGAAGCGTCTAGTCTTTCGGAGGGACGAAAAACATTTCCCTCATAGCATACCGTAAATGTCGTACGCCCGTCTTTATTAAGCCAGTTCGTGCTGAACAGTAGGACGTCTACCCCCCCCCCCCCCATTTGATTCTTTCATTCATTCATTTTATTCCAGCGCTTTACCATTACCTGCTGTAACTGTGTGTAATGAAAACCCTATCAAAAGATCTCGTCTTAAGGATACACCATGTCAGTTACAGCAAAGATTGAATATGTCCATGACTGAACGAAGTAAGGTATGCTATTTTCGGCAAATTTATGAGAGAAAAATGTGAAACCAAGAAGGACAAAAGATTTAAGCGTAGATATCACGCCCTGCAAGAATTAGAAAGTAATCAAGTTCGAATAATATCATATTAAAGATATTGTTTGGTGAGCTCGCCCATTTACATTCCTGTGAATGGTTTGTAGGTATGATCCCTAGTACACTACTTTGCTCGGGGCCTATAATGCTGTTAAGACAACCTTGCGAGTGGGCCTGGGTTCTCTCCCCTTATTTTTCGATCAAGTTCCTCTGGATTTTCCGGGGTGGTTTCCCCTTGTTAGTGGTGCAGGAAGAAGGGCTAGACGGGGAAGTGTCTAGTCGTTTGGATAGCGCGATAAAAAAAAACCAAGGCCCCCATGTACACATTGGCGTACTCGTAAAAGAACCATTGACAATTGGAATTCGAAATAAGAGTGGGTCGTACCACCGATGTCGGGACAAAATTTCATTCCAGCCCAGTCAGCGTATGTCTGTTTTCATTTTACCCGAAAACATTAGTGCGACTCGTAAGTTATCACATTTATATTACCATACACATAATTAATTGGTATTAATAAATATTAAACTTGACTGTTCGTGAAATGTTCATTCTCTGAAATATCAGTTTTGAAATTTCAGTTCTGTAGACTGGTTGGTGATATAGAAGAGTCTGTAAACCTACAGAGCGATCATGTAGAATGCCCTGAAGAAGATACTGAGTGCCAGGAATTTGTAAATATGGCCGAGAATGCTGTTTTAGAGACTATGTTTGAAAATAGAAGACGTATCAGAGATGATATATTAGAGATGGATCTGTAAGTTGATTGTCCAATATTTATTTCTGATAATAGGCATACCATAAAACCTATATCACCGGTTCCACCGGATTTTCTCTACCATTCTACATCTATTCACCCCAATAGCTTGAATGAAACGGGGATTCGGAAGTAATTAAGGTCGATGTGAATAGTGTCGTCCTATACAATCATCCTTTGCTATATTTCAATTTGCGCTAGATTGTTGATAATCTTTGAATGGCATTTATTCGCCTTAAATACACAAGTATCTGTTTTCCATATATGTAGGCCTACATGCTTTGTTGTTACACTCATGATGTTGACACGGGTTTTCTTAATCCCCGTTCCAGGGTCTTGTCATTCGTCCAATCGCCATCAAATGGATACTGGGCCTAATAATGCCGAAAGCATTGAGCCTTGGACATTATAAGTCTTGAGTTAATAATCACTTTCATTTCATCAGCACAAACAAGATTATTGCATTCGCAGTGTATGTATATTGCGTCTTGTTTATTTTACAGTCAAGATATATACAACTTGGGTCACCAGAAAAATGATTTTATACTGAGCTGTTCCATTCGTGGTAAATCCTGCACCTCAAAGTAACTAGTGGACAATTTAATTTCTCAACAATATCAATGCATGCACTGGATATATTTCATAAAGTCATTGCTGGAAACTAAAATTAAAATTTATTCTAGCTTGTACATGTAATCTCTTTAATACATTTGAATTAAATATTTGAATCTAGATGCGCATATAATATAAGACAAGTATTATTATGGGTTATTGTAGACAATTTCTCCTGGCTTTATAGATTTATTTATGCATTTTAAATAACTGAAAGTCAACATTTCTGTTTAGATCATTTTTTTTAACACTTACATATTTCAATATTTGAAGCTCCTTCAAAACATCACTATCATCTGAATATGGAAATTGTTTTACTTGGTTACCACAAAATGGAACAGACAAAGTGACTGGCAGTGGTCCAGAAAAAGGCAAGTGTCTAATAACTGTTTCTCTCTATATTTTTGTACTCGAATCTCGTTATCTCATGTCACTAAACTTGAGGAAATAATATGCGCCAGCCTGATCAGATTCAACACTTTTTCCCTGAATCAAAGAGGCCCTGCTTTTTTGTAAACTCGGCGAATACCCTGAAAAATCTGGGACTGGTCTTTCACAGGAAATATAACTTTGGACGAATGGTATTATTTAGTTACTTTTTGAAATTTTATCGCCATTTGAATGTCTCGATTCATGTCCATGTTGATAAAAAAAAAGCAAGGCCTGCTTACTGGTAATTTAGATAAATGTGAATCACATAATATGTTACTTCACAGGGCTGGAATTAGTTTTAAATTTAGAGATTGAAGAATATATCGAAGAATATAACCAAGGTTATGGAATACAAGTTATTATACATGAAAATGGTACCATAGCACTACCTAATGTAGAAGGGATGTCTATCTCCGGTGGTGAAGAGACCAGTATCGGCCTAAAACTTGTAAGTGTTTTTAAAAGTCATAACAAGACAGTGGTATGACCAGTCATTTGGGTATTGTAGAGTAGATTTTACTTGAAGAATTTATAGATCGGTTCCTCCAGTAGATTGTGAACAAAATTATAGGCTGCTGGCCAATAGGGAGTGTATACATTAGAATGCACGTAAAAGATCCCTTGACAGTTGGAATTCGATATAAGAGTAGGCGATAGTGCCGCTGCCCGGGCAAAAATTTCCCTCATAGCACACTGTATGGCGTATGCCCGTCTTCATTAGCCCAGCATAGGAGCAGAACAGTAGGACGTTAAACCCCATTTCATTTCATTTTGCTAGCAAATAGAGGTATATCCATCTTAAAATCACGCGCTCAACCACAAAAAACACATTCTACTTTCAGACTGACCACGTCACATGTCGTATCTTTTGTTGTCAATGATTTTCTATAATTACTGTAGGTAAATATAACACGTATGGGTGGTTGGTATGGAGATTGTACTGATGGTGTTGAATTTAGTGAAAAATATAAAATGAGCTACACCGAAGAGGTAAATATACAAACCCTTGTTATTAGACTGTGCCTAAGCAGACACCAAAGTTAGCAATAACAAAGATAGCCACACAAAACGTGGAAAAACGCCCACACGGCAGCTATGTCTTGATAATGATATAGCCATTTAGAGCAGTCTATCCGAAATGAAACTAGGATTTTGACCAAATTTGATAAGGATCTGTTATGCCTTTAAGAAATCTAACATCTATCGTGCTCACAAGCTTTTCAGGCCACATAAAATAACTCTGGAATAGAAAGTCATAGAATGCTGAAATGCAACAGGGTTCATTCTCGCCGATCGCAGTGCTTCATGTCAAATTTGAAAATCAGTAGGGTTAATCCTTTCAAAGTCCTAATGCTTAAAACCAAATTTTTAAAAAAAATATTTAAAACTGTAGTCTTTAACACGCCTTCATGGTTTTCAGATAAGCATGGATTCCACCGTGACGGAATTACATGATAGCCCTTATTGTGGAGTCTTAAACATAAAGAGACTGTTTAATAAAGCAATAGTATTATTTCATTGGGGATTTTATAAGACGAGGAGAATATGTAAGGAATGATTAAAAATCCTGTTGAATTCCGTAGATCATATGCATTTTTAAAAATGTGGCCTATAATATTATGTGACTGAAGTACCCACTACGTATTTATTATTAAATCTGCGAATCAAGACATTTCAAGGCGGGCATTTTAGAATATTCTAAAAATGGCTAGCCACTACGGTAAAAAAACACATTTTATAAACAAATCATACCAAAGAAAGTGATTCATTGCGCAAAATATGAGTGAGGGAATTACCTTTCACATTGTATATTTTTCATCTGTATATTTTTCATCTTATTCTTTTTATCACTTTTGGTCAGGGTTCATTTAATTATGTAAATAAACATTGAAGTGTGGGGTAACTCCAGAACGAAGATCGCGGAACGCTGAATATTAATAGGGTACATCCTCTCATGACTCCAGTCATTCAAACCATATTTGAAGAAAATCTGCCAAGAATTGTAGCGTCTATTGTGTTCACAGGCCAACTGTTAAAGAACCGACGGACTGATAGAAGACGGTATAAAAATACAAAAAATAGCGATTGTTTTTTTATATGTTTAAAATAACACTGATTAGTCGTGATGTCGACCTTAATAAGCCGACAACCAGATATCACCACATTTTAACCCGACATCACGACAACCCGACATCACAACATGATACCAAACAGCCACCATGACTAACATGCATCATGTTATGCAATCTGTTTCACAGAGAATTACGAGTAGAGAATTACGAGTCTAGTGATATATCTCTGTCAAAGATGACTGTCTTAACACGTGCTGTTACAGCACGCGGCGTCAATCATTGGCTGAATGGCGCGTGCATTGTTTACATAAGACGTTACTGCTTCGGAGAAAATGCTGCATTTTAGTCATTTTAATACCCATTTACACTAAATAGGAAATAATTTTTACCTACAAATACGTCAAACGCCTTTATTTATTTTTCCAATACATAAAAAAAATGTTTTAGAATTTAATTTGTCGCAGGAAAAAAGTTAATATTTCTGGCTCATTAAGCCGCATCGCTGTCATCCTTATCAGTGATTGTAGCGGCCTAGCAAATATTCACTGCGGATCAGTGTGCATGTTATGTTGTTTTAAACAGCTGGTTCTGATGTCGTATCTCTAAATCATAAGGGATATTTTGATATAGAATATGTTTCAACGCATTGTGAGATTAACACCCGTGTTTCATTGAATATCTCCATAAGCCGTGGATAATTATCTTCTATAAAATCATTTTTTTAATATTTTGTTTTTCAGTCGTGTAGATTACTTTGTTTATCCAATGCTACTCAAGTAAATTGTGGCTGTTATCCGGCTGCTGCTATAGAGCTAGACTATTATCTAAAAACAAGACACGGATTCTGTCGTCGTCACAGTTGAGTGGATAATCCAATCATTGAGTACATTGGCTTGGTGGGACAGTCTCGGGGCTGGGCAGATTTTGTGACGGCGCTCAAGTAGCGTTTAGTAGGCTCCGCTGGACCGCGGATTGGAATATCGCAAGGGAACCGATTGGGGGTATAGTAAACTTTGCAAGTCACTAATGGTTTACAGTTCTCTCCTTACAAATCAGTTGGAACATCCTTTTCAGCAGATGCCAAGTTCTTTTGGGTTCATTTATCAGCATGGACGTCTAAATGTTATTAACCATAGACTGAAGCTTTCCGAGTTGTTAATGGGACATAGAAATGCCTTCTCGTGGTTTTGGGCGTGCCTGCACGTAACTCATTCAAGCCCCACCCCCTAACTTGACACGGGTTTTAATTATGATTTTAATGTCCATAAGGAATATGATTTTAATATTCATACGGAATATGATTTTAATGTACACCAGGAATATGATTTTAATGTTCATAAATAATATTCAAATTTTCAGAATGGGTATGTGAAGATTGGATGGAAAACCATTTTGCCCGTCACCTAACAATGGTTGAAGAATGTGGGTGCTTCAATCCCTGCAAGTAATATTGATTTCAATATTATAACATGTCTGTCATACATCATAAATCAGAATGGAAATGAAATGGGGTTTAACGTCCTACTGTTTTGCACCATCTAAGCTAATGTTGACGGGCACGCGGGAAGTTTGTTCGGACAGTGGTACTAGACTGTCAAATGCCAGGAGTTTTTTTCCGTTCAGCCAATGTGTATACGGGACCTTGGATTTTCACCCATCCGTACAACTAAACACTGTCTATTGTCAAGCATTCTATATTCTGTACTAGTGACATAGGAACATCACGGTAAAAATTTCCGAGAAACTTTCTTTGCCGATCCCATGACTTCCTGTTTAATGAGCCAGCGCCTTTCTCACCGATCCACCGTGGTTCCCAAATCTAGACGGAATACTCATGGGAAAACCTATTCAACTGGATAGTAATAACAGATTGATTTTCACTGACGTTTGTATATAATGTCGGAGGAACCTACATTAATAAACCTAACACAAAACGGGAAAACCAGTTATATTAAACAATAATAATTATATATTTTCAAAAAATGTTATTTCTTTCAAATTTATCATTTCAAAAGTTAAAATATTTCCAATGTGTATGTTTCTTGCAGAAGGAAGACTTTTGAAAAGCGAGTAACATCAAGGATGTGGCCATCAAACCATCTGTTGGTGAGTATGATAATACCAAAGGCCTCTTTACACAGTTCAACAAATGTGTGACATGACGATACAAGATACCAACATTGTTCACCACAAATGTCGAATCGTGTACATGTTTTTTCTTTACACTTCCAAAATCTCAGCGACGAAATTGCATACACAGATGGAGTCAGGTCATTCTTCCTGTGTCTTATGGCCATCTACATGCGGTGACATTGTCTCGACACGCGTCTCATATCGTAAATCCTTTAGATTATGCAGTCAAGTATATAAATATATTTGCTTATTCTATTTCAGAAAAAATTAGAAAAACAAGTTTGTAGTAGAAATAAAAATAGTCCAAAATGTAAATACACCAATAATTCCAACACGAGTGAACGCAGGTAAATTTGAAACTTCTACTTAATAAACATCAGGGGCACCTCGAATTTGATCCCAGTTAAAAGTTTTATAGGGTGATACAATCGTAACAAGATATACATGCATAATTTTCGTAGTTTACTTCAAATGCTCTAGAACGCATACCATGCCTTTTGCACAACACCCGTCCCTACGTTTGGACCAGAAACCGGGATGTTCGGGCGGTATATTTTTACACTATTCGCAAATCGCAAATAAATGTATAAATGGGATTTGAAATATTTGGAAAGCGCTCAGTTTATTCTAGAACTGACAAAAAAAACAAAACTGTCCGTCTTAACTGTCGTGTAAGACGCTAGCTTGATAGTCTATAGAAAGTTCAGCGGCATTTTCCGAGGGAGTTTCCCCTTGTCAGTGGTGCAGGATGGTACGAAAAATCGAGGTCCCGTGGTGTGCACATAAAACATCCCTTGACAGTTGGAATTCGATATAAGAGTAAGCTTTAGCGCCGCTGTCCGGGCATAATTTCCCTAATAGCACACTGTATGGCGGAGCAGATCGGTAGGACGTTACCCCATTTCATTTCGTTCCTATTTTTGACCATATCAATTCATCATTTTTATGAAAGGTATTGAAAGTGTAAAATTACCCTTTCAGATCTTCTTTCGCAAAAATCTTTATATTTTACGAAACACTGAATTACCAAAATGTAGAGGAGAAACCATTTTACGACGTAAGTACACATAACATGCTGGCCTTTAACGGCAATTACTAAACCCACAAGATAACAAAACATATTGAGGTTATTTGAAGAGTGATTCTATATACGATTGGGTCGTTTCTAACCAATCTCAATATGATTTGGTGGTTCTAGGTTTAAATGACAATACTGGTAGCCACCTTTCTTACTAGTTTAACACAATCCGAATATGATTTTAACACAGATCGTTGCTAAGGCTAACCTTACTTATCAACGATTTAAAGATTCCGAAAATGAACTAAATAAGGAAATTTATTGTTACCGACTAAGTAGAGAGTAATGATAGCTCACGTATAATTCCTGTGAAGACGAAGAAATTTTATATGTGACTGTGACCATCTAACTATTTATGAAAGACTTGACTGCGAGGAGATCAGAAAGTCATTTGCACGGCGTAAAAGGAGCCTTGACGTTTGGAATTCGAAATAAGTGCAGGTAGTAGCAAACCTGTCCTGACAAAATTTTCCTTATAGCACACTGTATGGATTACACCCGTTTTCATTGCGTAGTCGCTCCAGAAAAGTAGGACGTTAAACCCCATTTTATTTTATTTAAGTTATAGACTGTTATTGAATTTTCTTTTTATTATTCTTCCTGTTTTCAGAAAATCTCGTTTATGTCTGATATTGGTGGAACTATGGGTTTAATGATCGGCGTATCATTATTGAGTATTGCTGAATTTATAGAGGTTTTGGTGGAATATTTCATTATGATGTGCAGGAAATTGGGTCGATAACAATATGTTGTTTTTTATACGAAATATATTTTTGTTATCTGAAATATTTTTTAATTTCGTTATACAAATCAGATATATCCAAAATGTATCCTGTGGTATAATCTACAAATCTGTTAAACAAATTGAGCTTCAGAAAAATAAGCTTAGTTACAGCACCAGGTGCCTAGGAGTGGTTATTATGCGAACCGAATCGGCCATATACATTTTAAAAATTTGGCGTCATTAAACATACATTATGCAAGATCTAAATCTTCTTATTGCAAGTCTTTATTTAGGCTTCAGATGTTCTAGAAATTATTAATTAGACCTTTATTTACATGACAAGCCCAAAATCAACTCTGTAGACCCTTCGGTGGCTTGAATACAGCTTGGATTTAAACAGTCGTCCATTTAAAATTAAGTCAATAAATGACCGACGAAGCTAACGTTACCGTTAGTCAATGACGCCACTACCGGAGACTTCCGATGAAAGGCCTGCCAAGCGAGGGTACCATAGCCATTGAAAATGTACTTGATAATCGAGAATATGTGGGTGGAGTTATCGTCAGTCAATTAAACGATCGACAATTCTCGTAGACGGTGCGGACACAATTGATGCCTATTTCTAGTCCAAACTTTCAACAGTTACAACTCCGTTCAGAATAAAGTAATTTGACTGAAGTTTTCAATTTTTTTTCTTTTTTTATACGCCCACATTTTCATATGGACGTATATTGTCGTCGCCCCTGTCCGTCCATAATTTGTTTGTGAACACTCGACAGGTCACAATTTTTATTCGATTTTGACGAAACTTAAAATATAGGTCTTTCTCCCAAAGATCTCGGTTCCTTTCGATATCGGCATATATCGGGGCATAATTTCATGGATTATGGCCCCTGATTGTACGAAAAATCTCTAAAAGGACTGGAGGATCAGAACTGGTGGCTTATTTGTATTCTAGAAGACGTATTATATATTTCGAGAAAATCACCAGGTGGTTGCGAGAAATATCCGCTTTTCTTGCCGTGTTTTTAAACACGCCTACAATACAATACGGTTCCTAATATTAGCTTCTTTATTTATATTGAAGATATTCCGTTTTAGGATGTTGGTATTTTAGGCAGAGAGGGGTACAAATTGCAAAAGAAACCAATGCAGATGGGTTCAATCATACAAAATTAATATATGAGGCAACATTATACTCAAATTCGGCCCAAGTCGGCAATGGCGAAATGCCGTAATTACCTTATATCAAAATGGCGGTCTGCAGGAAGATTCGGATAGCCATATCAGTGCAATTTAGGGGTTGGACAATCAATATACCGATATATGTTTTAAATCTTCAAAAACAAAGTGGTTTTAGAGGCTAAATTTGCCGGAAAAAAAACAAATTTGACCAAATAAGTGTCCCAAAATGTATTTTTCATAAAATGGCATATCTCGTAAATAGTGCATATTAGGGGTTGAACTATCAATATATTTAACCCCAATCTGAAATATGGTGCCCCCTAAAAAGGTGTATGTTCCCTGAAAATCACCTTGTTTTACACATAAAATTGTACCCACATTATTAGTCTATTCAGGTCCTGATATTGTACCCCAGAAATCCCCATATGGGTTTAATCTATCCCGCATCCATCCCCTACCTTACACCTGGCCCCCTCAGACCTGGGCACGGGCCTGTATATCCAAATGTAAATCAAGTATTTTTCTACGAATAAACATAAACAATAGACTATATAGAAACATTTCTATGAGCTTCGTACGCACCACACTAGACATAAGAGGAACTAACTGTTTCGACCCATGCTGGAATTCAAACACCTTGCATTCTAATCGAGAAAGAGAGCCCAGTTGCATAAAAGTTTGATTATCCGCTCAACGTAATCAGTAGTTTTCTAGAGGCGACGCAAACACGTTGTGCTTAAAAGGGTGCTCAATCTCTGTCAGTTCATGTCCAGAACGATTCAGCCATTTAATGATTTAATTTAAAAATGGAATGGAGAAGCTAAGTCTCAAATAACCAGCACCGTGGTTATGATAATACACAATCAATATATTCATTTGTAATATTATATACACTATAGGAGTTATTTTAGTTCTTTGAAAGGAGCTCTGTTTAATATATTAAAGTCTTTAAACAAATGGGTGACAAGAACTGGGCTAAATAGGTACTTTGCATTACTCTACAACTTTCTTAGACTAACTCACTGACATTTCTTCCACCATCCATTACTAGAAGTGGGTTACTGTTGTTGTCCAGCCAACTGGTGTACAGTTTAGTCCAATTAAATAAATAACGTTGACGTAAACGGGCGTTCAAATAAAAACACTAACTCAATTATGGAAATGACCTGCTGTAATAGATGACGTATCTAAACGTTTTATATATATTAAAGAGCGCGGTTAAATTTGCTTCAGACATCATTTTCGTCCGGCAAAGAGACATCATGCAAATCTATTAAGAAGTGTGTGGTTCTTGCCACCTTTAAGACTTTAAGGTATAACCAGACATCATGTGCTATTCTCAGAAGCAGGTCCCGTGTACACATTGGTGTGCACGTAAAAGAACCCCTAACAATTGGAATTCGCTATTTTAAGAGTAGACCGTAACGCCGCTTTTGGTGATAAATATCCCTCATATAGCACACTGCCTCGTCTTCATTAGCCCAGTCGGTGCAGAAAAGTAGGACGTTAAACCCCATTTCGTTCCATCATTTTGTTAGGTTTAATCTGATAAATATATACTGTCAATATTTCAGGATTCTTTTATGTGCACGCCAATGTGTACACAGGAGCTTGTTTTTTTGTCCCATCTACACAACTAGACACTGTACTTTGCCAGACTCTTTGTCCTGCATTACCGACAGGGAGAAACCACGCTGGCAAGATCCGGGGAACTTTCTTGACCTACACCAGGACTAGTGTATATAGTGTATATAATCATAGTATTGAGAGGAATATGGTCGATAACCCGACACCACGACAACCCGATATCACGACATTTTAACCCGACACCACGACATTTTTACGCGACATGACATTTTTAATGTCGTGGTGTCGGGTAAACCACGGTTTACCTAAAGAGTGCTTGGCACCAACAGTCTGCTACATAATACTATGATGGGCGATGTTGCTCGTATTGATTAAAATTCTAACACGGAACAATATGTTGTATCCTGAAATGAAATGAAATGGGGTTTAACGACCTACTGTTCTGCTCCGAACTGGGCTAATGACGATGGGCATACGCGGCACTACGGCCTACTCTTATATCGAATTCCAACTGTCAAGGGATCTTTTACGTGCACGCCAATGTGTACACGGGACCTCGGTTTTCGGACCATCCGAACGACAAGACAGGTGTTTTGTCAGGACCTCCGTCCTGCATGACTGACAAGGGGGAACCACCCCGGAAAAATCTGGATTTACTTTCTCGGCCAGTGCAGGGATCGAACACCCGACCTCCAGACTAGCGAGCCAGAGAGTACAAGTAACGACGGATCTCGAAGGAAATAAAATGAAATGGGGTTCTGCTCCTAAACTGGGCGAATGAAGACGGGCATACGCCATACAGTGTGCTATGAGGAAAATTTTGCCCGGGCAGCGGCACTACAGCCTACTCTTATATCGAATTCCAACTGCCATGGGATCTTTTACGTGCACGCCAATGTGTACACGGGACTTCGGTTTTTTGTCTCATCCGAACGACTAGACAGCTGTCATTGTCAGTCCCTTCTTCCTACACCACTGACAAGGGGAAACCACGCCGGAAAATATTGATGAACACCGGGGGCGGACCCGCGACCTCCAAGCTAGCGAGCCAGCGTCTTACCTACTTAGGCTCCCGGATCTGAACAATTGTTCTACTTTTCCGAACCAATTGGACTATTGAAGATAGGCATACGCTATGCAGAGTGATATGACGGAAATTTTCAATGGACCATGACATTTCTTCATTGAATTTCAACTTTGAAGGATTCTTTTATGTGCCCAACAATATGTACACAGGAGGGTTTTTTTTTTGTTTTGTTTTTTGTCCCATCTACATTACTAGACACTGTTCTTTGCCAGATCCTTTGTCCTGCACTACCGACATGGAGAAACCACGCTGCAAAATTCCGGGGAACTTTCAGTGTACATATATATAATCATAGTCATACAGTATTGACAGAAATATGGCCGACATCACGACATTTTAACCCGACAATACGACATTTTTACGCGACATCACGACAAAAAATGTCGTGGTATCGGGTGAAAATGTATTGTCGGGTTAAAATGTCGTGATGTCGGAGTGTCGGGTTAAAATGTCGTGATGTCGGGTTGTCGCCTTATGAAGGGCCACCATAGTATATAGCCCAGACCTCTTGACAGTACTGAAAAGAAGGTTATGAAAGAAATACATTGAGCTTATAATGCATAAATTGACCAGCCGAAAATGACCATCCGGTTTGAATCTTGCAAATGATCGCCGACGTCGTGAATCTGGTTTTTTTTTGTTCTTATTTTATATCCCCTAATCAAACAGAGAATATATACCAATGTTCCGACAGTCAAAAATAATGTGTGAAGTTGTTGTATGAGGAGAATCCTGAAGGCCAATAAACAAAGAAGAGGGATTTTGTAAGTAAATTGATTAGGACAGTGTAATTCCTATTGAAAGCATGTCTCCCCTATCCTCTTCAAAAACTGCAAATAAAATGGGAAATAGCTAGGGGTAGGGGTGACCCACCTCTAAGCGCATGTGGTTTCACTGATAACGTGTGAACAACAATCTATGACAACTTCCTGGTGGTTTCTGAAAAATGACATTTTTACCTGCTTTTCTGGAGAAAGTGAGATGATCTTGAAACATGAACACCTGACTGCTTAGATGAAATAGATGACAGATGTTTCGGAAAATAATTTAATATTTAAAACATCCTTGAACAAGCACAATCCATCCTAACCAGTGGTTAACAAGCCAACAGTGAGGCTGATGTCCCCCGCCGAAATCCCCAAATAAATAGATGACACATATTAATTAATCGCACATCTATTTTTTTCCAAAGTATCAAGCAGTCAAACTGATTATCAACTATACACTAAGTTTCATCACTCTCTATCAGATAGAATCAAAGTTATCTTGTCCCAAAGCAGGAAATTGCTTATCTTTGCTTAGCTTTAGCTCGATATGTTAATCATTGAACTCAGTCAAGACGATCATCTACATCAAGTTTAAACATTCTACCTCAATTAGAAGAAGAGTTGTTATGTTCCAAAGTCGTGACCAATCAAAATGCGTATTGCTCGTTAGCCTAAGCAGAAAATTCTCATCATCGAACTTAGTCAAGGTATTGATGTAATGAAACTATACACCAAGTGTCATCACTCTCACTTAATGAGAACTAAAGTTATCGTGTACCAAAGCATCGACCAATCAAATTGCTTATCTATGCTTATCCTAAGCAGAAAATGCTGATCTTCGCACTCCATCAAGGCATTGACCTCATAAACCCCTACACAAAGTTTGAACATTCAAGCTTAAATAGAAGGAGAGTTATAGTGTATTCCAAACTCTCGGCCAATCAAATTGCTTATCGCTCTGCTTACAATGAGCAGAAAATGCTCATCATCGAACTTAGTCAAGGTATTGATGTAATGAAACTATACACCAAGTTCCATCACCCTAAGCAGAAAATGCTTATCTTCACACTCCATCAAGGTATTGACCTAATAAACACCTACACCACGTTTGAACATTCTAGCTCAATTAGAAGGAGGGTTATTGGGTTCCAAAGTCTCGGCCAATCAAATTGCTTATTGCTCTGCTTACCCTGAGCAGAAAATGCTCATCATCGAACTTAGTCAAGGTATTGATGTAATGAAACTATACACCAAGTTCCATCACTCCCACTTAATTGGAACTAAAGTTATCGTGTCCCAAAGCATCAACCAATCAAATTGCTTATCTTTGCTTACCCTAAGCAGAAAATGCTTATCTTCACACTCCATCAAGGCATTGACCTAATAAACACCTACACCAAGTTTGAACATTCTAGCTCGATTAGAAGGAGGGTTATTGTGTTCCAAAGTCTCGGCCAATCAAATTGCTTATCGCTCTGCTTACCCTGAGCAGAAAATGGTCATTATCGAACTTAGTCAAGGTATTGATGTAATGAAACTATAAACCAAGTTTCATCTCTCTCACTTAATTAGAACTAAAGTTATCGTGTCCCAAAGCATCAACCAATCAAATTGCTTATCTCTGCTTACCCTAAGCCGAAAATGCTCATCTTCGAACTCCATCAAGGCATTGACCTAATAAACACCTAGGCTACACCAAGTTTGAACATTCTAACTCAATTAGAAGGAGAGTTATTGTGTCCCAAAAAGTGTGACGGACAGACAGACGGACGGACGGACGGACAGACGGACGGACATACAGACGGACGAACCCATTTTAATAGTCCTGGTCACAATCTTGGCCAAACAATTTCAAAGGTAGAATGTCACCTCAAAATCGCCATCTTAAAATTGTTGAAAAATTCACAAAACAAAACTCATAATAAGAGATTCCTCTTGTTTATTATGTGATTATTAATAAACTTTAAATTTTTCAGTTTGTATTTTTATCAAAAAATGCCGGTGTAACATTTTATATTAATGATAGACTGTGATCATTATGCAATGAATATGAATGAAATCCATATCAAGCCAGTGGACCATAAAGTTCCAATATTTTAATCATAAAATAACCAAATTATTGCGCTGGCAAGAGAGTTTACCCATTTTCTTTCCAAAAGGGTCTTATAGTAAAATTACCTTGCTAAATTATTTAAACACCAAAAAAACATATAACCCAGAAAAAAGCCAAAACATAAATAAATGAATATTTTATTATAGATTAAATTACACCAATAATATCACAGTTTTAATAACGTTACATATCAAAAAATATTTCAATCTTGAACCTGAACTAAAAAACATGATCAGCAGGACCAACAGGGATCTCAACATCCTCAGAACGATTTTATTCACAAGAATCTTTGGAAATAACTAGATAAATCTATAAAACAAATAATGTCTCTTATTAAAACAAATTTAGCCACATTATTTTGATTTTCCAGAAGAGCTGGCTCTACCCGACTTAGGTTTAGCTTCAGGTGTTTTTCTACCAGTTTGCTTGTCTTTTGATGATACTGGTGTTTTAAGCTTGTACCTTGGAGGTGGTCCTAATAATAAAAGAAAAAATTATTAATACAGGAGACCGATACAGGAACATCTGTCTTGAATAAATAGTACCTTTTGGAGCAATCTCATTAAAACACAGATCTATATTTCGTTTCGTTTTTTTATACTTTGATGGTCTCTACTACATAAAGATCTGACAAGTTGTACTGGAAAGTTGCGTTAGAGGTCATACAAGCGGCTTTTGACCCTAGACATTAGACATTTGATTAACCAATCAGCGTTGATGTTTCTAGTGGGTACCCACGTTTCTGTGCACCTCATGCCAAAAATTTGCTGTAACAGACCGTTTCATTGATTGGCTAATCCCTCACATTATCGAGAACGATGACAACTCTTCCAGATGCTAGTGTAGTAAAACAACTATAAAACCGAAACGAAACAGGATCTGTGTTTTCATCAGATTTCTTTTGGAGCTAAAATGTCACTGGTAAAAGCAAAATACTCCAGTTGTGGGTGGGTTGTCATAGGACTGATACTGTGAAGAATTCAGGTCTAGCAATTTCTTGCTGATTAACGTTTTTTTAAACTACTTGAAACAAAAGAATTTTGTCAGTGACATGGTAAAACCTTGCAAGCCATTTTTTTATGATTTGGAGAAAAGCATGAAAAAAAACAAAACATTATAGCATAATTGCATTCTTAGCTGGGATTATATACTTTACAGATAATGTTGCTCAAATGTAAGTTTGATGTGTTATTTGTAAGATATTTAAACAAATTAACACAAAATAATGTAAATAATAGGGTATTTTTTGTACTAATGGGGCTTTCAATTTCAAAATATAGACACAAATGCTGTTTTATGTGTTTATTCTGCATAATAACAAATAACTAAACCCCAAGGAATTTGTTTTATACTTTAGTGATCATAGAAAACCTTGTAAGTTGTTTTCAAATTGAAATCGTGCATAAACTACACACGACAAGAGCTAGCCAATAACATTGACAGATGGAAAATTAAACAGAGAATATGGATCCCAAATAAAATTTATTTTCGATAAGTAGACAGACTTAAAAGGTTTTTCAATGTCACCGACGAATTTATAACATTTCACCTACCTAGTACTTGTGGTCTTGGTAAACTGGTTTTCTCTAGTTTAAATTGTAGAGTATCCTGTGTTTGTACAATGGTTGTTTTTAAATCATCAGTTAATGAAGATGTATAACATGTAATAATATCTTTAATCATATCACTTAAACTCTGAAAAACAAAAAAACATAAACTCATTATTGAACATTCATAAGTGGGTCTAGTAGAGCATAACACATCCCTATTTGTTTGCTAGGTTATTAGGAATGTTCTTTAGTAGCCATACCTAATAAAAACGCTAATAAAAATAATGAAGATAAAAAAACATTAAATAACAAGATGGAATAATGTACCTCTTTTGTAAGGGAATCTTCTCTATCTTCATACTTCCTAAAGATTTCTTCTTTCTTTATTTCATTTTCATCATTTAATTTTTCTTTATCACTCAGTAAACTGTTCATTTTTTCACTCTCTCTTCTTTCAATATCACAGATTGTCTGTTCATATTCAAATATACGTGATTCTTTGCCAAGTTTAAACGGTTCTGGAGATTCTGGGGGAATTATTTGAAGTTTAACTTTAGGAATCTCTTCATCTCGTTTCTTTGTCAAGACGTACTGATAAAGTTGATAGTGTGAGAGAAATGTGGAAAACACAAAATCAGTGTACATCTTAAAGAAACGTTCCCCAAGTAAAGGAAACATATTTTCAGCTTCTTTGCTATACCAGGTCACTGTTTCTGCCAGTGACTTCCCTGAAAAAAGTAAAAATTATTTTTAGGTATTTCAATTAATACAGGATCATTCATAGAGAATTAATCAACTATGGAATAAGATTACCTATAATATAATTGTGTTATCTGACACCAAAATCTTCATATCAACCAATATGATTTGGAATCTGCTGGCATCAGGCATATAATATAAATCAAAATGGAACCATACAGACAATTCCCAACACCCTTTACATTGTCATTGTTATAAATACATCAGAGGACCCTGTGCTGAGATGACAAGGAAAGTGTGCCTGATCAGTCAGATGGAAATTCAATGAAGTGTGGGTAGAAATGCAGCTGTCCAGGCAACATTCTCTCCCATGCATTGTAAGCATATTCAATGAAACAAAAATGTTTTGTTAGTTTCAAAATGATCAAAGTAGCCTATTGTGTTGACAAGATGTTAAATCCCATTCCATTGCCCTGATGACTTTGTCATGCCAAAATGAATGGAGTTAGCTTGCTGAAATCACCCCTGAGGAGTTATATAATGCTGGCGCAATATGCCATACTTTAATAGGTCAGTGCTTAGATTTTTGATAATTCTACTGAGTTTAAAAGGTCAGTTTAAATATGATATTGTCCAAAACTAATTTCTTAGTGAAAGTAATAATACCTGTTTAAAACTACCTTTTGAAAATTTTAATAATTTGTTGGCGAATTTGACAACTATGCCGACTGATTTCCATGGAAATCCTCTTTCAACAGCAAACATGACATGATCATATAAATAGTTCACATAGATATCTGTAATTGAATTCTTCTCTTTATCATATGGTTTAATTCCAATACAATTTGCCAACAAACTACAGGCTTCGGATTTCTGAAGAAAGAAACATTCATCTTGAACATGACACATAGGATAGACTGTCAAGAATAACCTACAACTACAAGGTATTCTATAGTAGTTCTCTTTAACTTGTCAGTTTGCACTCAGTTAACCCAGTCAGATGGTGTGTGAACATTACAAGAATAGAGTAGAATAGGGGGCAAATAAAAGAAGTTAGTTATATTAAATGTTGTTGTTCTTAGTGTTTTAAGGCCGCTTCCACCGAAGGTGATATCGCAGACAAGTCTTATTTTTCATTTTTATTATCTGAGCGTACGCGCAGGGGTCTTTCCTGTGGGAAGTAACTGGAGTACCTGGAGTAAACAAACGACGTTGAGAAGGCGTCCCCTATCTGATTTCCAAGTCACATACATAGCCGACATAGCGATCGAAACCACAACCGCTGGCCAGCTAGAGGTCAAAGCACGGCACTCTAGACCACTAGGCCATCCCAACCCCCCAGTTATTTTAAAGATATTCTCCATTTATTACAGATTTGTATCTATCAGTATCGTCAAGTTGACGTCAACACTAACGCAAGTTGAGTAACGTAACGGAGTTATTGTATTCAGACATTTTCTTGGATTCTGTCCTTGGACCGTGGTCAGTACAAAAGATTGGAGACTCTTTATTACTTTAGAATTTGCAGATAGTAATTGTGAAATTGCACATAGCTACCTGGAAATAAGCAATGTTCTTTAAATCCTGCTCGCAAAGCTTGTCAATGTCAGCCATCTTGGTTGCTATAAACGCTTTGTAGTGTCAAGAATATCCAGTTACCAAAATAAAGAACATTAAAAGCATTGACGTCAATGATTAAAAGTGTCCAATTAAACAAGACTGTCAAGGGGAAATAACTATAAATAACTAAGGGATAACTCTAATCTCCTGCACGGAAGCATACCACCATTACTTTCCCCAATGATTTCAATTCAATGTTAATTCTGATCTTTTTGACATTCTATTTCCCAAATTTTCGTTTTCATTACAGACAGAGCAACAAATGGTCAAGTCTTTGCTTCAATTTTTGTATGAGGTTGATCACTGAAATTGTAAAATAAACAACCTTGAAGTACATATCACCGTAAACAACCGCTATCCTTCTGCCTCTAAACCATGAATATTTAACAAAACCATATTCCTTGTCACTTACAACCAGGGAATCGAAACCACGCCAGCTGACTCAACAACAGACCTTATGATGCAGCACGCACAGGCTAACTATTCGGCCATCCAACCCCCTTTGTAAACACAGACCAATTGGGTTTTCAAGTGGTATCACAAGTAATCTTTTATGTAAATTTGAGGTACTTCGATTTTTGGAACTATTTAAGAGCAAGGAAGGACAAAGAACTATTTCTGTCTAGAATAAGATCTCTTCGCTGGAACACAGTCTAAAACAAAATCCAATGTTTGGGAAAGACTCGTTTATGTAGTTAGTTAGTTCTATGATCAAAACAACAAATACACAGAGTCTACCCTTCTAAAAGTCATGCACAAACTTCAATTAGCTGTAGCACGGCCCTTTAATGTATTAAACCATGGCCGTAGTAAGCAGTAATGAATGTCATGTACCAGGCAGGGCATGTTTGCTTTGTACAATTTCTATATCTACTTTCATAAGCTTCTGTAGGTTACTGTCAGTTGCCATCTACATGCAGAGTTATCTGAACAAAAAAAAATATTATTTATCTGTATTTAAAGCTTTTTACTATTTGAAAAACCACATAAGAACACAAATTTGTACAATTAAAAAAAAGGTTTATTTACAATAAAAATAACAATTTTATACAAGAACTAAGAAGCTGACAATAATATATTAAATTAAACTTACACAAGTTTAACAATAGCATTTACAATTACTGATATTAATGCAAACAAATAGTTATGAACATTGTGAAAATATCATATTTAACTACAAAAATCTTTATATAACAAAATGATAAGCTTCTCCTCTTTTGGCCAAACCTGCCTTCTAATATTACTGTACCTAATATATCCTTTTCAGCATTAAAGAAATCAAATCTCTTCGAATTAAGTCAAAATAAAGTACAGAAATTGTATTGATCTAATGTGTTATTTCGCTTAGTGATGGGGCAAAATCTATTAAATTTATTTTCGAAAGATTGGGTAAAAAATCAAGTGTGCAATTGGGTAGATCTGAAGTGTTATTTCAATAAATGATGGGTAAAACGTTCTGTAAATAAAACCGATTTGTTTACTTTGACCAAAGTGGAACACAAAATTCAACAAAGACACATTGTCATTGATCACACAAAGCAATTATATTTTTGATCCAAATCAAGAAGGACTGGTCACTTTAATTTGTTGCAGAAAATATTGTGAAAGCTATATATTTTAGATAAATAAAATATGGATAACAAATAAATTATGTTTTGTTCAGATGTAATAAATTTTCAGCCATTACTCCTTTTGTTAAAACTTTCAGTTTAAAATATTGAGCAATCTTGGACTATAAATAAATTCAGTTTGTCTAGTCAGACCCCATCCACAAGACTTTCATATTTGTTTGTTTGATATTGAATTGGGTTACTGTAAAACCTATCACTCAATATATATTGAATATAATTTTACATGTACCCCTTTTTTTCTACAATTTTGACTATTATTTTTTTAGTTGAAGAAAGAATTAATACCCCCTGTTTCTTTATAGAAATTGAACAATTATGTTTACCAACATGTGTTTTGTCTATTGAAATTAATCAAGCTGGTTGAGTAGGTAAGTCACATTTAACAAACTGATTTCTTACTCACATTATTTTTTATTTATATAGTACTCATAAATATTCAAAACTAATGAATTTAGCAAACTTAACCACTTTCCTAAAGGAAAATTTATATTAATATACACAGCATGAACAACAAGTCAGACTTACTCCAAGATGTAAATAATAACATATTATATAAACATATACAATATTTACAAATTGTACCTGGTACATAATTTATGTATATTTCATACATGAAAGTAAATAAATAAAAAAAAAAGAAATTGTACTAACACAGGGAAAGTCATTATAGGATTACATACTCATAAATACAACTGAAAAAAAAATTAAATATGTAGATTATAAGCTCTTGTTTCCAACATAAGGAGTTTTCTGTTCATATTTTCAAGGGAGATAGTTTCAATAGCTAATTAATTTCATAAAGGCTTCATTATCGACCAATTGACTTCACAAATGATATAAAATACTTCTTTGATGAAATAATATCATGTACTTGTCAGATTTGTTCAATCCTAAGATCAAAGTACTGACAGTGAAAGCAAAAACCAATTCGATTCCAATATTAAATTTGATTAACATCCAACCATTTAATGCATTAGCCATTGTGGTTTATTCATATCCATCAAAAGATATAACTGTCTATCACAGATATATCATTCGTATCTAACACTCATTATGGGAGATTAGATAAAGAGCTGGCAGATAATTTTCAGCCTAGCCTCGATCATAATTACTAAAGTCGGTACAAAACATAGTCTTGATTATCCATTTTTGCAATAGGCAGATTTAGCTCTTGCATAATGTATGTTTAACAGACTAAACTGTAACTATATGCAAATGCCAGAAAAAGATGTGATTAAATTACATACATTATTAGCCATTTCAGAATTCAGATCTGAGTTAGATAAGACGTGTTATTCAAGTGCTGTCTAGCATACTAACACAATATTTTGTTAAAGGAGCTGTCCAAGATTTTACAGGATATGTATTTATGAAAGTTGAGTTTTTATACAAATTAATGGCATAATGTGAAGAAATCATCCAAATACAGGTCTGGAAGTTTCAAGTCAAAATATTGTGCCATTCAGTGGTGATGCTAATTTTCTAGGACAGGGATGTATAAATCATTCAAGGAATTCAAGGTGAGACTTGAAATGTTGACAGTCATTTGGAAATTGAGTCACTAGAATATATCTGGGACAGCTTCTTTAACACAGTTTTGTTACAGCAGCAATATAATCATAACACTTGGTATTCAATTTATATAAATAACAGAAAAATAAAGTACAGTATACCAAGAAGATAAATATTTGCAAGACACAATTCATATACAGTTTGGTGATAACAGGTGTCCCCAAAAAAGCCATTTTTCAAATTTAAAAAAATGAGGAAATTTATAAAACAATTATTGCATATTGATGATAATTGATTTGACTTTTTAAATGTTTGGTTGTGTCCCTTAGCTCTGTGATAAAACTGTATAATAATATTCAAGAATAATCTTCATACAGCAATTGTCTTTGGACCTTGTTCAAAATTTCTTAAGATTTGGGGACATATACTACATGTATGAAGCCAAGGCAGGTGAGCTTCTTAAGAGTGAAAGGCAGACCTTATCTGTCAATTTTTGATAATCTTTAAGAAGATAATAATATTAATGTTTCTTATATTTTTAATCAAACCCATCTATATTACTCATACTGAGGACAGTCCAAACAAACCGTCCTACATTCTTTGCATTCAAATTGTATTATTAAAGACATTAAGATTTCTAAAAAAAAATCTGTACTAAAGTAAAAAAGAGGATCCATTATGTTCTTCGGGAATTAATTATCTCATTTTACTAGCAATAAAGTTTTTAACAAGTTGTTTAAGTATTTGTGTCTACTTCAGTATAAAATATATAAATACAATATTCAGATCAGGAGATATCAGGTTTCTTATGGGTACTGTATTTGATCTTTATATAGGTTAAACTGATGAAGTTTTTATTCTTTTTTTGCACCATATGAAATTTCCTTTTCTGAGATGGATTTTGATCACCAGTTTCCATAATCAAAGTCATCATTAGCAAACACAATAAAATATCCCAATATGGTGGCAAACACCACTACATTTCCAGCTAACACTAAACCACATGCTCCCCACTGAATCTGAAAAACATGAAAGTTTGTTTTAATTAAAGTTAGGAGAGAGAGAGAGAGAGAGGCCATTTCGGGACTAACATATTATTTCAATAATTCGCTTGCGCGTAGGGGTCTTTAGCAGTGGGACGAAATCAGAGGACCCAGAGAAAACCCACGAGGTTGGACAGACAACCCTACTCCTTGTCACTTGTCACGTAATTAAAGTAACCAGAGAGAGAGAGAGATTAATCTCCACTTGACACAAGCTAGGTCATCACGGGACTAACATATGGTTCAATTTTATTTCAATAATTTGCATGCGAGTAGGGATCTTTAGCAGTGGGAGGAAACCGGAGGATCCAGAGAAAACCCACGAGGTTTGACAGGCGACCCTACTCCTTGACATGTACAATCAGGAAATCAAAACCATGCCAGTTGATTCAATGACAGACCTTATGATACAGCGCGCACGTCACACACGCTAACCATTCGGCCATCCAACCCCCCAAAATAAGAGTAATCAATTGAAAAGAGTGACAGAATTAATAGAACAGACACGTCTTGAATGGAACAAGTCATGTTAAACATTTGGATGAATAATGATATATAACAGTCAGTGAATCTAAACAAACACAGTACAGTCAATCTGATACCTCATAGTCCATTAGAGTTCGACTACTTCCAAAAATATCAAATGTTATATTATTTTGTATAAATATTACAACTTTTCCTTTGTAAAGACCTAATAGACCAAAAATCATTTTAAGTATGTGTTCATTACTAATTTAAAGGATTAAAACAAAAACCTATGTAAGGCACCATTTTAAGTTTGATGTTCATGGACAGAAATGTTGTTTGTCTGTTCGGGGTTTGTGGCTACATTAG